TGTCCTATATCTTAAACCTAAGACTCCCACCCTTATTTTTTTTTTTTTTTTTGGTTTGTTTGTTTCTGTTTATTTTGGTTAAGGTCACCCTATTTGTATTTTGTTATTGTTACTGTTCTTTTGTCTTCCAAAATTCCATTTTCCATTTTCCTTCTTAGTTTCATATCATTTTTTTGGCTGTTTTGACCCTTTTTATCTCCTCCCCCCTTTACTACATCTAAATTGTTTCTTTTTTTCAGTTTATTATACTTTTTTTTTTTTACATTTTTCACTCCTCTTTTATCGTACTACTTGGTTCTTCTGTTCATTACCAATTCCTTGACTAATACTACTCAGATTAATCATCTAGTAGTAAACCCAGCCATCTTTCATCATATTCCATCACTTTTTCACAAAACTTCTCAATTTTTCATTTTCAACCGTTGAACAACCGTTTGGTTAAGACAGAATCCTTATTTCTAATTAAAACTCATTAACTTGAGTTTTCATTTTAAAAGTAATACTCATTGATTTGTGTATTTTTTTGTTCTTCTCGTTAATTGTTTATTATCAATATGGCTGCTAGTTTAACTGAAGTTAAAATTCACCCAAAGCGTAAAATTTCAGAATTAGATGACATTACCAATAGTAAATATAATTCAAATGAACCTCGTCCAAATAAAAAAATGGCCAGTGTTAATGTCATTAAAGATATCTATTTAAAAGAAGATTACCAATCTTATAAAAAATCATCTCACGTTGAAATTCAACAACGATCTCCTTCTCCTTCAGATCATTCAACCTCTTCCTCTCCTCCAAAACATAGACAAAGAACAAAATCAGTTTCTTTTGAATTATCTCATAATAAACATTATGAAAATTCCCCTTTACTTACTCCAAAAGATGATGATGATGATGATGATGATATTATAAACCTTCCTAATGATAATGACTTGATAAATTCTAATGATACAACTAATACTTCTAATGATTGTAATCCTCCTCCTCCCTTTTCAACTTCTCCTTCTCCCGGTACTTCTATCTGTGGTAATGAAATATCATATGGAAATAAAATATCAAATCAAAATATATCCGATTTAAATCAAAATCCCGATTATTGCTCACTTACATCTTCCCTTAATCTACTTGAAAATAATAAATTACAAATTGAAAATGAAATTATTCAATTATCAAATCTTTCAAACAAAACCAAATTAAATAATTCTAATATTGATGAAAAAGAAATGTTGATTAATTTTTATATGAAGTTAATTAATAATGAAACAAATTTACCAAAACAACATCAAATATTGAAAAGTCCAATTATTAATTGGTCAAAATATCATTCAGGTTTAAAAAATGTTAATCTCGATGATTCAAATATTAAAAATATTAAAAATTTAAAAAATAATTCTTCAAATTCAAATACTTTGTTTAAAACTTTAAATGTATTTGGTAATACAAATAAACGGGCTGATCAATTATCTCCACCTCCTGGTGTTGGTGGAAGAAGTATTGGATCTAAAACTACCGGGAAATCTTGTGGTAAATAATTTTTAATTTCCTTTTAGTTTAACAGATTATGATTTCTTTCTTTTATCTTTTTTTTTTCCTTCTTATTTTTCTTTCGTTCTCTTTTATATTTTGTTCCTTTATAGTTGCTTGTTTTCCGTTCTTTCCATTTTAGTTTAATATCATACATACATTTATATAGTTTTAAATCAATTTTACGAGTTTTAATTTATTTAATTAGTTAAAAAAAAAGATAATGTATAAAAAAAAATTATTTCTTATTCTTTGTATCATAGTTAGAAACACCAGTATCTTCATCTTCACTATCAGTTACTAAAAAGGCATCTGAATTAATTGGCACATCTGAATTCAATGGTTGCCATTTATTACCACGGGTAACATTTTGTTCTTTATTACGATTTGGTAATGAAGGAGCAGAATCATCATTATTTGATAAATTTATACGATTATGGAAATCACTTGATAAAATTTCCGGATCTTCATCAAATTTATTTTGATTTCTATTTTGATTATTGTTTTGATTATTATTTTTGAAAGAAGATCCACCTAAAGCTCCAAATAATTGAGGTTTTGATTGATTTTCATTATCATTTGCTCCTTGAAATTTTTTAGAAAATCCACTAACCCATCCATTTAATGTACTTCTTGCTTCTTCAATACCTTGAGTAAAAGATTCTTTGATTTGATCAAATTCATCTGGGCTTTCATCGTCATCATCGTATCTACGTTGTTGTTGTTGTTGATTTGATCTTCTTTGTCTTTCTTGATGTTTTTGTCTTCTTTTACGATCTTCTTTTTCAAATTCTTTTTGTAATTGTCTCGCTAATAATTCATCATCAGTTAATGTTGAATCAGGCTTGGATTTTTCATTTATTGGTTGAGCATTGACTTCAATAGTTGGTTTAAAACTTGGATCGGATATATATAATAAAGCATTAAAAGCAGGATCTAAATTACCTTGAGATGCAATTATAACTGCAGTAATTAACTTATCTTCAATATTAGGGAATGCTTCCTTTAAAGTCTTTGTCAATTGAGAAGCTGGCGACAATGGCCTTGGAGGTGGTGCTGGTGGCGGAACTTCATCATTGATTGGAACTTCATCAACCTTTTCTTCAGTTGGCTTTGGTGGTAAAGCTGGTGGTGTTTCCTTTAATTCTTCCTTATCGTCATTAATTGCTTTACTCTCTTCTCCCTTCTTTTCCTCTTTTTCCTCCTTCTTTTCCTCCTCCTTCTTTTCCTCCTCCTTCTCTTCCTTTACCTCTTTCTTATCGTCGAAGTCTACCGGTTCAGATGATACAACGGTCAATTCTTCTTGCTTTTTTGGTGCCATTATCTGTCTTATCTGGAGTCAAGGTGTTCAATCACGCGACTAATGAATATCAATTGCTGGTTCTTCTCGATTAAAATATGATTACTTCGTAAGCTTATCCTAAATTATCAAAGTAACCTTGGTTTATCAACAGGTTTACCTCCACATAATTGCCCTTTTATTTTGTTACCGTGACTTTTTTAATTAAGTCTGAGAATTACGCAGCGCCTGTGAGTAAATCAAGGCATCCGATAAAAAAAAAAAGTATATAAAGAGCAGAGTGCTACTGAAAAATCAATTTGTTTAAGTCTTTTCTTCTTTAGATAGATAATGCCTCTGAAAATATGCTAGAGCTTTATAACATATTCACTATTGGTATAGAGTGTGGACAGCGGAGGAAGATTGAACTAGCCAGGTACTTATGATTTAGACCATTCCGTTAGGAATGGATATACTGTATTTAATCTTGGATTAAATATGTAAATCATCGGTTTCACAATTGTAGATATAGATATTCTTACTCGTGATGCGTGTGTCATTTATGATACCCGTGATTGTATGCTGTATGTGTATGATACCCGTGATTGTATGCTGTATATGTATGATACTCGTGATTGTATGCTGTATATGTATGATACCCATGATGAACATGTATGATATATTTTTATATTTGAATGATATTATGTGTGAAGACATTAGTTCTTCTTACAGTGATTGACTATCGAAGTTTTAAATTAATTGAATAAATACATAATGAAAAGAACATGGTTCATAAAGATGAAAGAAAGAAAAATGCTCGTGAATGAATGAAAATGACTTGTGTCTATCTTCTATTAATGGTCTGATGGGTATTTTTCAACATTTGAATTGATAATCCCACCAATAAATGTTATAAGGTTTAGTTTTGTAATTCAGATCTTCTCTTTTCTTTAACTTCTTTTAATTCTTGTTGTCTTCTGATGAAATCCAAATTTTCACATTCTTCCCAGGAATGTTTATCATGTTTACAATCAACCGATGAATTGGCTGATTGTCTTATAAGACATATATGATATAAAGAAAAGTAAGCAGCACATCTATCTCTCCAACGTAATGGAACTTTATATTTTTGTAAATCATCTTCCGAAACTATAATAGCAAAGTTAGTACTCTTTATTCAATCAAAATTCAACAGAAAAGCTTGCCGAAACATCAGCATGGGTACATACGAAGAGGTGGGAACTTGGTAACTGACATTATCAATGCTATTTCTACCTTAATTAATACTACCAAGAAGAACTCAAGTAATCAACGACTTTTTCTAAAACTACGGCCAATGAAAATTCTCAAAAAAAATTCAATGTAAGCAAATTCCCCAAACAAAGGCCCATACACCTTAATTAAGTGAATAATTCGGTCTACGGAGTAGTTAAATTAAAATTTTTGTATTATACAAAGTTGATAAATATATATATATATAAATAAATGAATAAGTGTAGAAAAATCTGACTTTTGGTAAGAGGAAAGAAGAAAAGGGAAGAACCGGGTTGGAGATGGAAAATGGAAAATCAAACTAGTCTAAAGGTTTAGATCATTTGTGATAGTAATGCATTATGACTGTTATAGAGCTAGAACAAATTCGTTATTTCATTCCTAATCTTCAACTGGTGAAATGCTATGAAAGAAAATCTAATAAAACAAATAAGATAAAAAGTATAATAGTCTTCAACTAAGTATGTTTATCAAGTCTTTCTTTTAATAAAAGATATTGACATTTGTAAAATTCATCTTTAGTCTTGTTACAGAAAGAGGTTCCCTTGTCAAGACATTTATAATAGTTGATCAAATGAGATGAACATTGATCTCTATGAAGAAATGGAACATCATGTTCATCTAATTCTTGTTGGGAGGCTAAATTATCTGGTTAGTATTCGCTTTGTTATTTATCTTCTTGTTTAGAGCAACTTACGGATTGGAGGGTATTCGTATTTTTCAGCAGGAGCAGCAGTCATTTCGGTATTGGTTGATAAGCTAATCAGATATAGATTCTAGTCTATTGATTTAAGCGTAGTAATTTAATATTGACCTTATTTCATTGGTTTTTGAGAATTTTCAAATAACTAAAAAACAAAAAAAAAAAAAAAAATTAGTGCCATTATCAAATGGCCATATTAATTTGGATGGAAAAAAGATTGCCGTTCCCAGGAATCGAACCTGGGTTTCTTCGGCCACAACGAAGTGTACTAACCACTATACTAGAACGGCTTAATATATCTTCTTGGAAAATGTGGGTTTTCCGAGTTGGAAAGAATATTAAGGGCCAAAATTTAAGGTAATTGCAAAAAAGTTTTCAATTCTTTGCTTTTAAACCACCAATCGTAAGAACTATTCACAAAAGTATCCTACTTATCTAATTCGTGAATGATATCGGAAAAGAAGGTTTTTAAAATGGTGTAATTCAAAATACAGATATGCGATTTCAACACAGGGGTTAATTTCTACAGCTTTCCCACATTGTATTCAAGAGTCCTAATAGCTCAATGTCGTTAAATAAAGTGCTTTCTTTGTTGGAGGATTGAGAAATTTCATATTGGTTTTAGAAGTCAAGCTATTAGTAAAATAAGAGAACGAAATTCTACGGTACGTAGAATACTGTATTTCTAAGATACGATATCGAACTCAAACGTCACTGAAGGGCTAATAACATCCAATGCCCAATCCAATCTACTCATAGAACCTGCTTCACAAAGCTGGAAGTAGCCTGTTTGAGCGCATAGCGTGGTCTATTAGTTTTTTTGTATATATATCTAACGTTCGTTCAGATGGATTTGTTCAACGGTCTTGTAAGAAAAGCTGCGGATATCCAAATTACTGAAAAACAGTGATCGATAAATCCTGTCATTGAGTAGGCATATGGTAGTATAAGCGTGCTCATTGTATTTTGAATTGCAATTAATTAATGGCTGCAAACCTTACCTCGGGGAAGCTTCGCATCAAAGGTTTTTACAATTAGAAGGAATAGAAGGATATAAATTTGGCTAGAATACACTTAAGGAATTGAAAGAAAATAATGCAAAGAAAAAATCTAACTATGGAGGTACTTATTTTCACAATCTTGAATAGACTGAGCAATAATATTAGTAATTGTTTCAATGAGATCTTCAGATACGTCAAAAGAAGGGGCTATTAAAATATGATCACCATAGTGTCCATCAATAGTACCGGATCCAGGATAAACGGCTAAACCGTTACTCCAAGCAGTTTTTTGAACCCGATAACCGTATTTCACGGAAGGATCAAACGGTTCCTTGGACAATTTATCTTTGACAAATTCAATTGCCCAAAATAAACCTCTACCTCTAATATTACCAACAGATTTCAAATTTTGGAGCTTTCTGGAAAGGCATTCACCTAGATAATTACCCTGATTTTTAACATTTTGTAATAAGTTATTTTCTGAAATGATATCTTGAACAACGTTTGCAGCAGCACATGATAGAGGGAATGATTGATAAGTATGGCCATTATTAAATGCGGAAGATCCATTACTTAAAGTTTTTATAATTTTATGACCAATGAAAATAGCCGATAAAGGAGCGTATCCACTGCTAAGTGCTTTACCAGAACATGTTATATCAGGAACAATATCTTCTTGTTCCCAAGCGAAAAACGTTCCTGTCCTTCCTGAACCACACATAACTTCATCAAGAATTAAAAGTACATCATATTTATCACAAATTTGTCTTATACCTTTAAAATAATTTTTTGGAGGTAAAACACAACCAGCGGTAGCACCAACTATAGTTTCCGCAAAGAACCCAGCAACGTTTTCCGGTCCGATTTCCAAGATTTTAGATTCTAATTCATCAACCAATCTTTTAACGTAATCATCAGTTGACTCATGTTTTAATTTACCTCTATATTCATTAGTATCACTTATTTTATGGAAATCCGAGTTTAAAATATGTTCATAAGGTGCTCTTCTGCCCTTATGGCCCGAAAGTGATAATCCAGCTAAGCAATTACCATGATAAGACTGATTACGAGAAATAAATTTGGTCTTTGTAGTCAATCCACGTTCAAAAAAATATTGGATAGCCAACTTATAAGCACCTTCACTAGCTTCACTACCAGAGGTTGCGAAAAAAACTTTACCAATCTGATCATGATAGTTTTCCAAAAGCTTTTCTGCTAATATTTCCGATGGTGAGCTAGTATATTCGAGCGTATGAACGTAGGTTAAACACCTCAATTGGTCGGCCATTCGGTCTATCACCGTTTGGTTCAGATGCCCAACCGATATAACGGCAGCACCACCACAAGAGTCGAGGATCTTGGTCCCATTCTGTAAGTATAGATAAGATCCAATGGCCTTCTCGACCAAATGCGGAGAATCATTCAAACTTCTATGTAAAAGGGAAGAAGAAGAGATCTTCTCTTCAGGATATACTTCACGAACTGTCATAAAACGAAAAAGCAAAAAGGCGAAAAAAAAAAAACACACAGACTTAGACTTTCTTGACGGAAAATTTCTTCAATTGCATTGCAAATATGGATCCTTTTATTTCCCAGACCAAATCTCCTTTCCAAAATGAATCCCGAGAAGTAGGTGATGCAATCTTCTTTCTTCCTTTTTTTAAGTAGTTTAGGTTTGTCTTTTTTTTTTTGCGTCCGCGGGTTTCGCGTTTCGAATTCGCATAAAGCTTTTGCGCCTCCGGCACTCGCCTTTCCTTAAACGGATAAGCGAAATCCAATAGGAAAGAGCTTTCGATGGTTAAAGGAAATACTTGTAAAGGATTGCTTCCTTCTTAAGGCTACATTGGGAACTAAAGTTATCCGAATACAATAAAACATCATCCACGCAGATGCCTTTAGTTGGTACCTTGCGCAATTGCGGAAGATGCTTTTGGAGTTATTTATTATGGAATTATAACTGACAAAGTTAGCATCTGGCTGTAGTTGACCAGACAAGATGTGATATCATAATAGAAAGACCAAATATGAAGCTGAATTATAGAAATCACCAGATTTCAAGGTTACGAATACCCTTTATCGGCCTATGCTAATTCTTATGATTGTCATTGCGACTATATGAGGTTAGGTGGAAATGACTGCAAATGACGGCAAATGGCTGTTAACAACCGCAAATAGCAAAACCATTAATCAGAAAGCCTCTGGTTATCCGAGATCTACATTGTTATGTTATCATCTAGCATATCAAGCTATTATCTCATATGGGGATTCCAAGCAGCACTTTGGGTAAAGCTGTGACCCGAAAGCCGAAGAAGGTGTAACTTAGACTGAACATAGTAAATCCGGAAATCTGGCATCGAAAAGCGGAATTGATTGTTGGAATTATCTAAATGGAATCTTCTTTACATGATGTAAAAGAATCCTTCAAATTTTAACCATTTGATTCAGGTGTCAAATATCAGATCCTGTTGAAAATTGAGTTTTTAGTTCATGAGATTAAATTTGAGGTACAGATGTTTTTTTTGATCTTCTCTTCTTCCTCGATTCTGTAATGTAACGTTACCTTTATGAAAATCTCAGAGAATCTAGGATGACACAGATAGAGGCAACACTCAACTTGAAATTCGAATACCCATACGAACATATTAATTTTCTAGCAAAGTTAAAGCTTTTTTTTTTTTTTCCATATATGTTAAAGTGATGCCCACTTTGATAAGCGGATACAAGGATGTTGCCAAAGCTTCAGTAATGATCTCAGATTCATATGCGTTTTGGTGTTCCAAGTCGGTTCAGTAGCAAATGAAATAATCATAAAATAAAAAATTGAAAGGAGAAAAAATAAAAAAAAAAATTATTAGGCTTAAACCACACGGATGTCGGTCAGTATGGTTGGCCTTCATTGCCGACTTACCAAAAGGGAATATTGCGTTTTGTAAATTTTTTACTCTTTCCTGCAGTAACGATTCTTTTCTATTTTTATCTGCTAAAAGTGGGCACATTTTCGAACTCGTAAAACTCACTCTAGTGTTTATTTGCTGAACGTTTTTAATGCCCGGTAATAAACTTTCAAGTACGGCTTCCAAGAGTATCGAACAAAACTCAAAATATGTGTTTTTCATTGTAGCTTTTAATAATATCGGGGAATCAAGAGTTTTTTTCGAGTCTTATAATAAAAGAATTTACAAAATAAAGAAAATAGCAAAGTATACCTGCAATAGAAAAAGCCTGGAAACCTTGAAGAAAACACTACGCTCAACTCCCAATCGCCTTGATTGCTTGTCCTACATCAATTAGATATTTCCACTCATTCCAAGGTAAATCTGTTGAGGACGCGGCTTGCAGCTTGAGTTTTGTCAAGTAGGGTCTGGTCTGGCTAGAACTGTATCTGACATCGCTCACGTAATAACAACTTTTCGTTTCTTTTATCTTTGCAGTTTCGATTTTCGAGAATCTATCAAAGAGCAAAATGTACAACCAAAAACGTAAAGAGAGATGTCGGATTGGCCCGGACGTTGGCGGATAGTCCTAGCCGGTCCCAGATTAAGCCCGGGTTAAGACGCCCCGCTCCCAGAACCACCTACCCAAAACGGCCTTTTCCCCGGTATTAACGTCCAGAGCAAGCCAAAATCGTGTTTCGGCGGTAAAAGACTGGGGGGAGAAGAGGCTTCTTTGCATGAGCTATTAACACGCGCAACTCGTGCAGCAATGCAAGTCATCACCCACAAGACAGTTCTCGCTTATACTTGACCTGTCTGGGAAATGATGTAGTTTTCAAAGTCAATCTAAAGGTATAATTGACAAAAAATCAATTTGAAACTTAGTGGGGGAGGCTGCTGGAAGCTTAGGTAATTCGGAATCACATCTCTTACACTCATCTCTTATACATCTCTTATCCTCGTAATGACAAATCGCCTAGCCGCAAAATGACATTACATCTTTTGCCAGGACAGATTCTATACATATTCTCTAATGATATAATATACACTCCCGATGAAACGGTTCAATACGTCTTCGTAATGGTTTCTCAACAATAAAGTTTACTCTGATCATCCCCATTTCACTTAATCAAATCCTCAATTCTATTGTAGTTGCAATAGTTCGCAGTGGTTCAGAGGTTTTCCGATGCTGGGTTCTTGATTGTTCGCTTTCTTTGCTCTTTTAGGTGAACGTAAATCAACGCTAATTGAGTCGTGATGAGTTGCAAAATACCTCGACGGATTTTGGCCACGGACCAGAGTCCTCGGACTTATTATCGGACATTCTAGCCCGGATATTCACCATCGGATATTTATGCTCGGACTTACTAGTGTATCATAACGTTTACCTTGCTTACGATAAAACTAGTCAACCTACGTTATGACAGAACTGCAATGTTATGTAGATAAGAAGAAGGATCAAATGATTGGATCAGAAAAGGCTTCTACTTCAAGCCAGGATGACTATCCGGAATAACCAGCTTCACTAAAAGCGCATCATTCAGATCATTCTATATATCAGCAACAACCTTAGAGAATATCACCATGTGAAATCCTCGAGCAATCAAATTCCCTCACTATGTAAAGTGAAGCCACAGTAAACCATGTGTTGTCGGAAGACTAAATGAAAGTAGTGGAATCAAGTCTTTAACTTCCCCCACAATCTTCTCTATTTCCCCGGAAAAAAGGAGGGGGGTCGGCCGTAGAAAAAAAAAATAAAAAATAAATAAAGGAGCAAGATGTACGGGTCGGGATTCAATCTCGAGATAAGTATCCGTACCTCAGCATGCTTCCAAAATTAGCTTCATCCTTGCTATCATCTACGCTGCTTTACTATTGGCCCAGATCATCAAGGTCGAAGGGGTGATGCCTTTGTGACCGAGGCAGATGGTAATAAAGGAAGATAATATTATTATCAATCTGTACTTATCAGCAGATATTATTCGATAGAATTATTTTTTATTTTATTTTTTTTTTTTTACGTTTATTTGATTGAAAAGCGCAAAATTTTTTGTAATCAATAAAGTTGTCTAGACTGCTTCTTCTTATTAGTTAGTTTCTTATGTTAGTGTAAGTATGTCCGCCTAGTGCATGCATCTACGTTTGGCTTGAAACAATACCCTGCGATGCACTGGTAATACGCGCATCTGCATGAAGTGAAACAGTATATGTTTTTTTAATGCTCTCTAAGTTTTTGAGTGTTTTCCAGTGTTTTTGAGTGAATTTAAGTGTCTTCTAGTGCATAATAGAAGAGTCGCTATTTTTGATTCATTCCTGTTATGTTTGGAGGGTCCTGTATTTGTAGATTTGTGTGCATCCGGCTAATTTTATGTTTTGTACTTTAATTTATTTTATTTTAATTTATTTTTTTTTTTTTGTATCTATTATAATTTTCTTAACCGGTTAAAGCTATTGAATAATTATAAATTGATTATCATTAAATGTCCCCTTCTTTTCTTTTTTCTCGATTGGGCCTTTGGCGTTAATGTACAGTTAACTATCATTAGCTCGTTAAACTTTGGTGATATCTTTTTTTATACTCAATAAAAGAAAGTTATATAAACCCCCCGATTTCCTACGTCAAAACCTTTTTCATAAATTTTTTTTTAACAATCATCGTTTATTTATTACTCATTATTTATTTTATTTATTGGTTTTTTGCAGATATATAATTTTGGTTAAACATGTCTGCTGCTACTTTTACTAGTATTCCTTCCATTTCCAAGGTTAATTCTATTTCATCGAATACTTCTAATAAGATAAGATTGCCTTCTATTAGTGAATTAACCAGCAATAAAAATATATCAAATTCTCCAAAATCAACAACATCTCCAAATGGTTATTCTTCTGTTGGTTCTCCGAATGAATATAATTTCAAGTATTCAATTAAACCATTATCTAATGATTATATGTTAACTAATGCATCTACATCTGCAAACGTTCAAAAATTACCTTCTCCTACCTTACCTTATGAACAATCTAATCAAAGTACGCCTCCACATCAACCAAATCCACAACCACAACCACATCCACAAGCTGCACATCATCAGCAACCTCCAACTCAACAGCCACCTTTTTATTATCAATCTCCAATTCAATTGGCTCCCCCAGCTAATAATTCTCCAATGCATTCTAATCGACAATCTCCAACCTATTATACTCCTGCTTATTACTATCAACATGCTCCCCCTCAACCTCGTGCCATGTCATTTCAAGGTGTTCCTGCTACTGCTAATGCTTCTAACGGGTCTGCTGCTGCTTATTTACCGGAAGTGATTAATAAACCAACCAATAAATGTCATAGATGTGGTACTACCGAAACTCCAGAATGGAGAAGGGGTCCAAACGGTGTTCGTACCTTGTGTAATGCTTGTGGTTTATTTCATGCTAAATTAGTTAAAAGAAAAGGTGCTGCTTTTGCTGCTGAAGAAGTCTTGAATAATAAAGTCTGTAAAGGTAAAAATGGTCGTAGAATATCAATCAAAAAACAAATGTTGGATGATAATCATTTGAGTCGTCCTCAATACCAATCTAATCCAATAATGGGTCATCAACCCCATATGTTACCTCCTCAACCTCATATGTTACCTCCTCCAATTATAAATCCAGGTTACTCTAGCATTCCTTTATCTCATAATTAAAAAAGTAAGGGTTGGTGAATGAAAATTACATGATAATGCTGTCTACGTTCCTATTTTTCAATTCTCTAATAATAAAATTATATAAACTTTTGCCTAATAATTTTAATTTTCATTTTAATACTAATTTTAACTCATCAATCTTTTATTACATTGTAGATTTTCTTATTTTAAATTATTCAATCTTGATACAAGCCTTTATTTTCCTCTCTTCAAAATATCGCTGACCGCCTTATGTGCTAACCTGCCTTCTGTTTCGTTATATATTTCCCTCGATGTTTTTATCGCTGACTAGACATTTTTTTATTATTTTAAAGTATTCATAGAGATTTGGCTAGTTTAAGAAAACAAGACAAAAAGCAAATAGCAAATAAAGCTAACTGCAAGCCTTCTTTTAGAGGAGAACATGTTGACTCCTGTAAAACAATGAATCCACCACAACCAATAACAATCCAGTTTCTTATAGTTTAAACGATCCGTATTATTATTGTTGCAAATAATTGACATTGCTAGTAACGTAACCAAGACAATTATTAAGCACATACAAATTGTAGAAAAGAACAATCTTTGTTTATTAATCCAAATCTATTCAATCTTAGCTGTTGCATAAACAGACAAAAAAAAAGAATCTCGAACCCTACTTTAATCTCCCAATTACAATTCTATTTTCCACTGAATATCCGGCATCCCCTCTTTTAACTAAGCATTCCACTTTTCAAATAATCACCTTGCCGGACGCATGAAGCCATGAAAAGAAACAAAAAAGGATAAAAAAAATATTATTGGTTGGCGACATTTTCCTATCATCATTGGCCCACTAATGCTATTGGTGGTCATGACCAATGAGTCCTCAATCAAACAAGGAACAGAAAACGGATCTAAAATAAGTTTTTATTTGTGTATCTTATTATTGTCCATGGTTGAAGTATCCTTGTCCTGAATAAGCGATTTGAAATTTTAGCTTACGTCAAAATCAGACTACAATACCCTCACCCACCCTCACCCACCCTGATCCACCACCCTCACCCACCCTGATCCACCACCCTGCAGTAATGGGAGACACGAATCATACTCAAGTACACTTGACGATATTAATCGACAATTTCTTTCTTTGTCTCTCTTGAATGATTGTGAGAAATTTAGTGATATCTTATGAATGTTACATCTTGATTTGTAACCAGATGCTTTTCTCGGAATCGATTAACGGTGAACAATGCTATCTCTGACTGTTGTTGTTTGTCTATTATTGGTACAAAACAAAATCGCACTTAGTCGAGTACCATGCCACAACACCGATCAATAGTAGATGAATTTTTCTATTGATAACGAAACCACTTCCAATTGACTATTTCATCTTAATTAAATAATCTTGAATCTTATAATAACTTGACTTTGTCTTTTCATTTTTTATTTTTTATTTTTTTTTTGCATCTATTTGATTGTATACTTTGTACAACCTTACCAAGTCGCTCCGGTTTTTTTAAGAGACTACTGTGATGGAACCTCCGCTAACACTTCTCTGGAGTATGTATTACTTGATAATCTAGGTCCACTAATTATGTTACATTGCTCCTATGGTACATACTCTTTGAGGATGCAACATACGTCGACTGCCGGATATCAATTTGCGAGACTCAAAACAACATCCAAACATCCACAGAAAACGGCGGCGCTGAACTAACAATCAAAATTCAATCACCGTTTTTATTTTTTTGTTTTTTTTTTGTATTATTTGTTTTCTCACCTTTATTTTTTATCTCGATCTTTTGTTTGTGTCAGGAATTAACTCTCCATCTGCACAAAAGCTAAGGAAATGCGCATGCACGCGGCATTCTAAAAAAATGCATGTTCCCTGATCCTGTACACAATTCTTTTCTAGAACATAACCTAGAAGAGAAATCCACAGGAAGAGGGTTTTCCCAATGGACTAACTCAAACAACTTCTATACTTTATTAATATTTGTGTAAGAAAGAAGAAAAAAGATGGAATTACCTAATTGAAAATCCAAAGTCAAGTTGGTGGAGTATTCGTACCACACACAATAAAGAAATATTATCTTAATCAATCTGGTTAAGCACCAGATGTATCTATCTATTTACCGATATAATCTCATCTGCAAGGTTCCACGAGTAGATGAGTTGGGTAAATTCAATTTTGAAACTTCGATTGGTGAAAGGTCATCATTTTAGTTCGAAATGCTTATCAAGGCAGTAAAATAAAAGGTTTCAGGGCGACCTCTGGTGGATTAACTGGGAATACTTGCTATTCTTTCTACTGCCGATCGGCCTGAATTGATGAAGTTAAATCCTATTACATGACATAATAAATAAAAAGAAAAAAAAAAGACAAAAAGCAAATGTGTAAACAGCCATTTATTGATTTCAGTAAGCATTAATTATTTGTGTTATAATTACTGTATGGAACATATTGACCAGTCTTCTATGACCTGATATTAAGCTGTAAGGAAGTGTAAAATCTTTGTGATTCAATAACAGACCCAAAAATTCATCCCGAACGACAATCAATTTTTAACAACTTTGCTGAATCGTTGCCGTTTGGTTGTTGTTTCGTATTCAAAGGCACACAGGCGAAGACAATATAATGATAATTCAGTAATAGGGCTAATAATAAAAGCGCATTTACCCTTTGGAAGGACGTATTAGGCAATTGACAAAAAAAAAAAAAATCGTAAAAGATTAAAAACCAGGATAAGAGCAAGTCCCAGGCTTTATGAGCTTGTCAGCAAGCCTAGTAGTTTGTATTGGTTAATTAGTTATACCCATTTTTCAGTAAAATTTCCTTAACAGAATCATAAACGTTGTCAAAAACACCTGCGGTTGGTCTAGCTACTATATGGTTCCAGTCATCATCTTTAAAGACTCCAGTTCTTAATAAGATTGATTCCCAACCATTCTGATTAGCTCCTTGAATGTCAGAGGCTGGGTTATCACCAACCATATAAATTTTCTTGAAAGGAGAATTGGTTGGAGTTTCATTCAAGTTTGGCAAAGTCAAATCATTAGCATCATTTACATCATTTGCAATCAATTTATTTCTCCAATTAATCAAAACTGAATGGGCAAAATCATATTGAATCTTGAATGGCTTACCCATTATAGTGGATTCTAATTTTTCATTGTGCTTTAATTGATTCATTTCTGAATATAATGCTTCAACTGTGATTCTAAAGGCTCCCTGTCCAAATCTAGGTAATGGATAATCATTGGCCCATACAAAATCATTATTACTGAATATGATTGGAATAGATGGTTTCTGACGATCTTTGCCGTCATCAAATGGCCTTTTAGTACCAATTAATCCTTCAACCGAATTAAGAATATCACAAACTATTTGTACATCGGTGCCTGCATCTCTTGGATCATTAAATATTAAAACGGCTTCAATTGGTTTGGTTAAATCTATATCTGGTTTTGTAAAATTTTCAATTTGTTCTTTTGTATATCTATGATGTGGAGAAATTGACGGTTGTTGGCGAATTATATCTCCTGGTGTAATAACTTCTTTAAACCCGTATTCTAATGCAACATATCTTGCCTTATCTTCGGGCCCACCAACAACCATCACTCGATTATACAAGTTGTTTTGAGCCAATGCTTTCATTGGGGTATGACTTTGTACAATTTGTGATGGGGATATTGGAATATTCAACTCTTTAGAAATAAACTCAACTCTAGATTTTTCACTAACTCCTCCTCCGTTAGTTAACAAGATATATGGAATCTTATTAGTGTTCAATAATTCTAATGCTGGTTTAGCGCTTGGAATTGCCTTCTTACCTCTTAGCAATACTCCATCAATATCAAATACAAAAGCAACTTCATTCTTAATACCATTGGTACTTAATCTTCGGGTACCACTTCTTCTAGTGTAACTATGAAATAAGGAATTCCTGCATTGGGACAAACATCTTGGAAAGGTTCCAATAATCAATCTACGATTAATTGAGATCATTCTATAATTATAATTCTTAATTCTTTTGATTAGACTTTATACTACTTTCAAATTTAGTTATAAAGAACATTTTTCCTTAGGCATTTGATTCCGTGCGGCCTCGCGTTTCGGGTCTGGTTATTGCCCGTTTTGCAAAGAGTCGCTTTTTCGGCACGTGATGAATTCCGCTTTACGTTTTTTTGGTTTAAAATTGCAGCCAAATTGAAGTATTTATTTTGAATGGATATATACAATAGAATAAATAAGAAGAATTGAAGGGTTAGGTTATGAAAGTGTCTGGAGGTGGGGTGGCAGCAGCACCATCCACCGAAGGTTGTATAAAGTTGGTATCCTTTTTAATTGAGGTCGAGGCTAAAGAAATGAATTGATTCAAATTATCATTAGTATAATCATAACCTTCTTCGATGATCCAGCCTTTTTCTTTTAACTGGTCTTGCTCTTTAAAGATGACTTCACAGGAGTATCCAGTGACCAATAAACCAGGAGGTCTTGAGCCACATGCTTCCACTGCTTGAGCAGTCTTTGATAATGTAGTTCTGATCACTCTTTGATCGGGACAGGAGCTTCTCTCGATGATGGCCACAGGCAAGTTGGGGTCCCAGTTTTTGTCATCAATTAACTTTGGAATTAAGTCAACTATACGATGTAAAGCCATCAAGAATACTGTGGTTCTTGATTTAACAAAATCTGGTAAGTTTGGTAATACCCCACGGCGTCCAGTACCGGTACAGATTAAAACTTGATCGGCAACATCACGGTGAGTCACTGGGATATTTGATAATACAGGAGCGGAAAGTGCAGAAGTTATACCTGGTAAGACGATCGGTTTAAAACCATGGTTCATGAAAAAATTGAATTCTTCACCACCCCTACCGAAAATGTAAGGGTCACCTTGTTTTAAACGAACAACTTTTTCACCGTTCAATAAGCTTTCTAAACCAATTGAAAGTAACTCTTCTTGCGCCTTTTCTGCATTCCCCGGGAATTTTCTAGCAATGAAAAGTTTAGTTGATTTTTGAGGGATTAAATCAAGAACTTGTTGAGGGACTAATTTATCAGCCAAAATCAAGTCCGCAGAGTATATTTCTTGTAAAGCACCAAGAGTTAATAAAGAGACCGAGCCAGGCCCTGAACCAATTAAAGAGATGGTACCCTTTTTATTTAGTTTGGTCTTTTTAGTTGCGGGTTTCTCTTCATTCAAGTCTTTATTAGCAATTTCAATTTTATTATGTTTATAAGCCTCAGTTAAATCTTCAATTGATATATCAGCTAATTTTGATAATGGGAAGTACTCGACAATCTGGGATAACCATCTTGATCTTTGCAATTTTTTCTGTTCTTTGGACATATTGAATTCCTCAACCAAAGAATTAAATTTATTGGTATTGATAGCATCATCATCATTATCCCCAACTGTATGATTTTCAAGGCTGATATTGTCTTCATTTTGAATTTTTGTACGAAGCTCACCTATTTTATTACAAACTTCACCAATATTACTTGGTAACTGTCCAATTAGTTCTCTTTTGATTCTGGAAGCTAATTTACAACCTTTACCCAGAGTAGTAACACCGAATTTAAAGTCACCATCTTGATAACTAGAAAGTAAAGTGAAAGTACATAATTCCGGGCTATCTGAAACATTAATTGGAATTCTTAATTTACGACATTGCGTTGAAACTTCAAATTTCAAATCATCTTCAGCTATTGGCAATATTATAAATACCTTATCCACGATATTTTCAACTTCGGATCTTCCTCTGGTTATTAAGTCATCCCTGGAATACTGATCACAAACAACCTTGATCTTGCCGTCATTTATTAAATCCTGTATTATTGGTGAAAAAGTCTTGATTTCATAAGTTGTTGAACCATTTATTAATATTATAGGAGTTGCCCCGGATTCAATGATTGAATTAAGGCGTAGATTGGTTATGCTCGAGCTATAGGTGGATCCATTGGTTATTATAAGGTGAGTTTCTCCTCCACAATTCATCGCAGCTAATATCGTCATTTTTCCTCCTCTATGGAAGCGTATCTGGAAAGATATAAATGATTGCAAATGAAATCTAATATATATAATGATTTTTTTTATTCATCTCGTTGATTAGCTCAAGTCACGTGAGATAAGAAATCACAGGTGTACGGAGGTTTAATTTGATGTACGGATCTCTATCTATGCGATGGTCTGATGGCATCGATGGGCCGTTTTTTATACGATTTTTCAAAATTTCAATAATTTTCAACATTTTCAGTTCTCCTTTTTATTTCATACAAGACATTAGCAAGATGGCCAAAAGACACTTAGGGTTAGGGAAGGCAGCCAAAGAAAAAGCCAAGAAGCAAAAAGTCGAAGAAGCCGCAGAACCCAAGGAAGCATCTAATGAGCTTACTGTTGAATTGAATGAAGAAATTGATGCAAATGATGATTTTGGACAATTGAAAGCGTTATGGAAGACATACGAGGAAAGCTCCAAGGAGAACGAGTTGGTTGTGAATGGGATAATACACGAATGTGACCGAATGTTAAGAAATGATACTGAAGGAAAGTTGAACGATGAATTTCATTCAATATACGCAAAAGCATTATCAAGTTTATCAATATACAAAACTGAAGATAAGGAACAAGTCAAACAATTTTTTGAAGCATCATTAGAAAGAATTGAACTTGGATTAGAAAAATATGCAGAATCCATCAGTTTATTATTTGCCAAAAGTAAGATATTAATTGATAGAATTCCTTTATTAATTATTAGTCAATTAACTAATGATAGTAAATTAACAAAAGAAAACAATGTTTCAAAATTATTAGATGAAGCGCTTGAAATATATGAAGGAGCTGAAAAGCAAGCTATTGACAAGAAACAATTTGAATATTTTAATAGAGAAAATCTGGAAATATTACAAGCACTTGATGATTTATTAGACATGATTGATAATTTTGGTAAAGAAATTATGGAAGGAGAAGAAAGTGACGAAGAAGATGGCGAAGCCGAAATGGTTTCTAATACATTAAATGAAAAACATCCATTAAATAAGATTAGACAAAGTGATAAATATAATCAATGGTGGAGAGATCATATATTAATTTTCTATCAAAATTTACCAAAAGAAACCGATGAAAAATTAGTAATTGATATTTGTGGTAGAATTGGCCAATCATATTTATTAGAAGCTGAATTACCAATGAATATATATACTACAATTAAATATGATGAAGATAACGAATTACAAGAAATTGAAGGAATGGATGAAAAATCAAGTCAATTAAAAAGTCAAGAATTAATTAAATTAGCTATTGAATATTTAAGAAAAGCCCACGATTCAAAAGAACCCGATAGTTGGGTTAATATTGCAGAAGCCTTAATAAGTTTAGGTAATTTATATGAAATTGATAGTAAAGAACAAGAAGAGAATTATCAAGAAGCGGAAAAAATTTTGCAAAAAGCAAATAATGCCACTAATGGGAAATATGAAGATATCTTAGAAAATTTATTAAATAATTAATAAAATTTTGATAAAGGAGAAGTGAAATCATTAGGTCTATTAGTTTTAAACTTTACCTGTAATGGTTGATTCAGATTGTAATTTCATTGCATTACGTTCATGAGCATTATTTTTACAATATTGTAATCCATTACATAAATGATCTTCTAATAAACGATGTTTGGCACAGAATTTACCTTGACAATGTGAGCAATCACCAACCATTCTCAACGATGGCGAATTACATGACTTGAAATGACATTTATTTGTCTTTTTCTTTTTTTTGGGAACTTCTTTACTAGTTAATATTTCGTCACTAGTTGAAGTTGGAGATAACTGAGTTGGGGTATCTGATCCATTACTCATTAAAATAACGGTATTCTCAGTATCTTCTAATAAACCAAAATCTTTTAACAGCTTTTGATAAGGTGATAATTTAACACCATTTGTAATCAATTTAAAATCCGGAGGTAGAGAAGTAAATGAAGGACAGGCAACTTTGGCTGAATTTCTTAAATCTTCAACGCTTGAATTATGAGGAATAGTTACTGAATATGAAACTTCAGTTGATAATCTAATAGTTACTTTCATTGGTAAAGAAGAAGAAGAAGAAGAAGAAGAAGCTGAGTTTTTTGATAACAGCAAAATATCTTTTTGCCACTATCAATGCTCACTCTTCGTCATTCATTGCCATATTTAATAACTGACTACACTAATTAAATACCTACATGGCCCGTCAGAATGCTCAAGCCCATGGAATGGGTGATGTGAAGGCCACGTAAGGTCGATGTGAGGGCCATAGGCCAACATCTCAAGCTATCGTCAAGTAGATGTAAATGCAAACTAAATATCATCAGAATGTAAGAGCCCGTGCATCCCTACACCGTATCCGATGGATATCACGGTTGGAAGCATCGTATGATCCGCTGAAACATGAACTGCACTAGTAAGCTATGGTATAAGTAAGTTAATACACAAGCAGTCTAAGAAGTGTTTTTACTCTAAGTAGTACTCTAAGTTGTACTTAAAGTTGAACTCTAAGCACTCAAATACTACTCCAAGCAGTACTCAAATACTACTCCAAGCAGTACTCAAATACTACTCAAAGTAGCACTTTAAGTCCTGGTCTGAGTCCTAGTCACTATATACCCAGTAGAGTAGTAGAGCAGTAAATAGAATACTGTAAGTAGATATTATTGTGAGTAGGCACCCTGCTGTAAAGCCTAAAGAGAATGATTCATACTCAAATTAGTACTGAATTAGCAACTTTACCCAAGGAAGGAGTCTGCTCACATGTGTCCCAAGTTTCTATGTCTCAATCAGCACAATGATTCAGTAGTCAAGTTACTCTAATAAGTATTCAGTAGTCAAGTTACTCTAATAAGTATTCAGTAGTCAAGTTACTCTAATAAGTATTCAGTGGTCAAGTTACTCTAATGAGTATTCAGTAGTCTCTAATAAGGAGCCAAGTAGTCAGTAGTGAAGTTAAATCAGTAGTCAAGTATTAACTCAGTAGTCAAGTGACTCAAATAAGTAGTCAGCTCTAACCGGTCCAGAAGCATCTAGCAGCACTCATTACTCTAAATAGAAGTATCTGAGTGAAGGTGCTGGATACTCAAGTAGGTAACGATACACAAAGATCTACTGTATTTACTGCATTCCTTGCATGGAACACCCCCTGGTGTAGAGGTTTATCAAGATTGAGTTCATGATACTTGAGACGTCAGTCAAGGCATTTATTCTACATTCGGTATATCGTTAATCGTTTATTCGTTATCATAAATCATTACTTATAATTACTTCCATGGTGATCGTCTCTTGGAACAATCTTATCAACAGAATAGCCAGTATTTCTTTTATGGATAGGAGATGGTGGATAATGGGTCTGTTTAGATTTATCCACTGCAGCTTGAGAACTTGTAGCTTTTAAATCAGTGTCTGCTGGGATAGGAGTAGCATTAACGATACTTATAATCGATAAAGTTAATAATCCGACTGATGTAAATTTCATATTTTCTGTGGATTGAAGGTGATAGTATATAGTGGTTCTAGTAGCAGTGGCAGCAGCAGTGGTGGTAGTAGTAGTGGTAGTAGTAGTGGTAGTAGTGGCAGTGGTAGTAGTGATGGTGGTAGAGTAGTGAATGTATAGTTAGAAATTCAATAGTTTATATACTTTTTCAGTTACTCAGTCTATTTCCATATCCAGTATTAATTTTGTGACTGAGATTTTGTTGCGCCTCTCCATACATTGAATTTCATCACTAGTCAAACCTCCTTCTGGGGCTAAACTCTACCCCTTGCACTATTCTATCGTGTTGTTTAATAAATAAGTTGTGCTGGCAGTGTTAGTATGGCAACAAGGTTCGCACGATCCTAACCTCGTGTAAAGTATTTGTATATCTGGTTATACGCCATGTTGGGGCAATGTGCTGTGATATCCATTACACGAAACACGACAGTTAGTTTAAATGTATATTTAGCTACATAGTGTTAAAGACCCTGTTTATTAATAGTACCTTTTCAACTTCTTCTTTTCATCATGGCGTTTCTTAGTTTAATACTAGCATTTTCATTTGGCTTATCGATATCTTCAATTTCGGATTCGGATTCGGATTCGTGTTCATGACTTTGTTCTTCTTCTCCTTCTTCATCGTCTTCTTCTTCGTGATTGGTAAATGGATCTAAAAAGTTTGCGTTTGAGAAAATTGGAATATCACTTAAATTGTTCAAATTAAATGATTCAGTCTTTGATAAGTTTTTATCGAATTTAGGTCTTGTTGAAGGAATTTCATCTTCTGAACTTTCTTCAATTTTGAAATCAGCGTCTTCGATATTATTGTATCTTTTGTAAAAATTATCAAAATCTTCAAAGATTCCTGGACCGTATTTATTACAAAATTTTGTAACTTTATTTGATAAGATTTGACGATTTTTTTTCAAATCTTCAATCTGTTTAACATCTAAGTGATGGGATAATAATGAATAAACCAATGGTTTCAAAGATTTATAATAATCAACTCCAATTTCCCCAATTCTTAAACTTGCATACGTAGTTAATACCGACCAACAATAAAATATAATAAATAATAGCCATCCATTAATATTAGTATTAAAATTATGTTTGATTATTAAAACTCCACAAATTGACCAAAAAATATATAACATTGGAGCAATTCCTAACGCAACCATAATCTTCCAACTACCTAAAACATCTTTTGCTTTAATTTTGACAACTGATCCTTCTAATGCTTCTTTTGCCTTTTGTTTACTGATTTTTCTTGAAATGATGAAAACCGGCAGAAACATTAAGGCTCCTGGTAAACTAAGGATGAAAAATAAAACAACTTTAAATAATCGATTACTGAATATGATAAAATTTTCAAACCGATCTGAACTAGTGATTTTTTCAACTTGATGATCATGTAATCCCAATCTCATTAAGTTTTTATTATATTCACTAACCAGTTTTTTCATTTCAATAACGTCAGGATTTTTAGAATACTTTTGATATCCTTTAATCAATCTTCGATTCATTTCAACAACTAAAGGTAACGGAATCAGTTCTCGTTTGGACAGAGTATATAATCTTCTTGCGGCTTGTAATGCCATTAAAGTATCATAATCATCACATAACACGGTAACTTCTCTTAGTCTTAACGTAATTAAATCTAATAATCTCCCAACTTGAGTTCTGGAATCTTCTTGATATTTTAATCCATCTTCTTTGCTAACCTTAATTGCTTTACCGAATTCAATGACGACTCTTGAACGAAACTTATGAGGATGGAAATAATTCATTCCAACTGGTATAACATTAATCATTTGATTTGGATCAGAACTTTTGGCCGCTGCTCCTAATGCCATAATAGCAACTCCTGGTTTTAAAGGTAATAAATCAGGACGATCATGAGAGCCTCCTTCCGGGAACATCCCCAAAACTTTACCAGCATTTAAATGATCAAAAACATTTTGGAAAACAACGTTATTATCAATATGAGGGGCCAGTCTAAATTCAGTACCATTAGTTAATAATTCAATAACTTTTGAATCCTTCAGTTTAATATCAAAAGGTTTACGTAATTTTAACTTGGTGTCACTGAACACTTTTTCAACTTGAGCATTTCCTAATGAATCTGGTAAACCAATTAAACCTTTCTCCATACAATTTTTAGTGAAAAAAGTATCTTTACCTTCAACAATTAAATTACAGTCATCATTCTCATCTTTGGGATATAGATTTTTGATAAAAATCTTACCAGGAACTGGTTTGAGTAAATCTTGAGCTCTTTCAACCGGAATTGCACTACACCATTTTGACATGGTACCAATAAATTTTCGACGATAACTTTTAGCAGCGACTAAAAATGATATTCTACGATTTGAATATTCTCTAACAATTGACATTACAACCAAAGGATCAACAAATTGGTTATGATGAGGAGCAATGACAAATACAATCGGTCCTTGTTTAGGTATATTAAAAGTTCCTCTACTTTTAATATCTCTGAAAAAAGTATGTAAAACTAAATTGAAAAACCATAAAACCAAATCATAAGCAATAATTCTTAATATTTCACCAAGGAAGCTGGATTTATGGATTTGAGTTAATTGAGGTGGCATTGGTGGTAATCGATCTTCATGGGGGGTCGTTGTATGAGGATCAGCTATTTGATAAAATCTCGAAACTGGATTAAACGAAGAATTAGGTGGTTGATCAACTGGGTTCTTAGTGATATCATCCTGACTGGTATTAGCCGAGGAGATCATATTGACTCTTACTGTGTTGAATTGTTTCTTATTGAAGATTTAATTGAAAAGAAAGGAAATTGTTATGGGGTCATAATTTTTTCCCCAAAAATGCACTTTAAGCAAGCATCTGATCTACAAATAATATAACGTATATAACGTATAATACAGATATATATTTCTATATAAGAATTAATCTTCACCAGCAGGGACCTCATCCTTTAAGTATTTATTTAGTTTAACTCTGAGTTCAGTTTTATCGTCTCCTCTCAAAGTATCTTTCAAAAAATAAGCATCAACGTCAAGTTGAACCATTTGTAAACACCCTCTTAAAATCCCACATAATATTTGAGAATACCATAACTCTTTAGTGATCTTGTTATCATTTGACAATGGTAGTTCTACAAATTCAGCTAAAGGATTATCGTAAATGATTAAAGAGAATGATTTCCCATCGTTTGACCAATTTTCAACCGTTGGTATGATATTAAGAAAGATTTTGAATCCAATTTTCGATATCATTTCTGAAGTCTCTTTAAATGATGAACATCTTTGAGTACCGGTTTTAGCCAAGTACTCTTCAATTAATCTTAATCCAATGTTATATCCCATTTTATCTAATTGATTATTCACCTCATGATAATTATTATTGAAATCCCTACACAATTGGGCAACCAACGACCCATAGGTTAATGTGAACAACTCCGAGTTGATTTTCTCAACGTTATTCTTCCATATATCATCTCCAGAGTATCTTGATGCCTTAGACATGTTTGAGTCGATGCAAGGTATGCTGTTATCTTGCACCAGTGAAGAAAAAAAAATTATATAGTCATAAATAAAGATCCGTACCTTTTTATCATATATCGAGATTCGACTAGTTTCACCCTCGGAAGTCCACCACGATCATTTTTGCAACCACTATATTTGTCCATTTGCTTAACTCTGTTCTTCGGGTTGGTTGATTGCCAAGCACTTATCTAGAGCTGAGTCACTATTGCATTGTCATCTGGTTTGCAATGACGTAAAGTGAAGGTTTGGAGATGGAGTGCATGTATTGGCAAAGACGGGCCAGAAGCGTAGTTATCCATGATAATTAAAGGTAGAATGGTGAGTATATGACTTGGTTTGGGGATCTATTCCATTATACAGTAATGGCCGGAGTAAAAGCAAACCAACTGAAAGGACACCAAGTTAAGGTTACTGGTAATTCACTCAAAGTAACAGGAGATGGGTTGAAAGTTCATGGTAACTCTGTGAAAGTTTCAGGTAACGCAATGAAAGGAAACCAACTGAAGGTTTCGGGTAACGCAATGAGAGCTACTGGGGATTTAATGAAGGTTACTGGTAATTCCTTGAAGGTGAGTGGTGGCGGAATGAAGGTTACCGGTAGTGGAATGAAGGTTTCTGGTCAACAACAGATTAACTCTGTGGATGTTCCAGGAGGTTCGGTGGAAGTTCATGGTAATCAGCTGAACGTCACTGGTGATGGAATGACGGTCACTGGTGACTCGATGCAAGTTAGTGGTGACTTCCAAAGGAAAGGAATCTATTGTATAGTGATATTGTATAGTGATATTTGTATTGTATAGTGATATTTGTATTGTATAGTGATATATGTTAACTTAATTGTATAAACTATGACCTGTTATCCTGTAGATCTGGGAACTAAGTTGACAATAGTTAGGTCTGGTTACTGTAGTATATAATCTGTTCCCATTTATAGCAATTACGAAGTTGACGATTCTCCTTGAACTTCATCTTCTTTCCTTAGTAGAATTTAGTTCGTTTACGATTACGTTTACGATTACGGTTACGATTACGGTTACGATTACGGTTACGGTTACGATTACTTTTACTTTTACCTTTCAATTCCAATTCACTCATCCATTTCCTGTGTGATAATCCCATTTGAGGCATATCACGATTTCCAGTAATCTTAAAAATCTTCTCAAGAGGATGAGGGCACTCGACTCCATCAGTAACAGCAAGATAATAATCTTCTTCTAAACCCATAATGTAATGCCTTTTAATCAAATTCTCATCTAGCCAGAGGTTTAACGAAGTATAACCAACTTTTGAAGCAAACTTTTCATAGACATTAATTTTACCGAGCAACTTCTTGGTATACATATTGTATTCATAAATTGAATACCGTCCTTGATGTAAATTATTCCATTCCCTTCTTAAAGTCAAGCCATAATCGGAAGAAACGTATCTTCTTACAATTGATTCACGAATTCTATGCCATGAAGCATTTTGATATGAAGTTCTTGTTAGCCAACGTTCAGCTTCTCCCTTGAGTAAAGACAGTACAACCCAATATGGATTACCATAGTACTTAACGGTTCTCTCGATAATATTATCGACGTTAAGAATCCACATCATTAAGTTTTGTGGATTAGCCGTCTTACCTGGTTCGTTTCCATAAAAGAATTTAATAAAACTTCTAAAACCTATTTTATATTCCCCACGAGTCGAAGTACGGTCTGATTCCACCTCATCCTCAGAGGATGGGTTATGTTCAGCCAGACGTCCCAGGACTGTCTCCTTAAAGTTATTTCATTAAATTTATCGATTATCTTCTTCAGCGACCATATTAAGAATACAAGGTTCTTTTAACTCGTAGTAATCAAATAACTGATTTTTTCATAAAATCGCTTCGTGAGATTGCACAACCAAATCTTGTCGAGAGATTCTGCTAATAACAGTTCAGCATCTTCTGGGTAATACTCTTTACCCATTCCATCATTATGATGTTCAGCATGTGTAGAGTTGATTAGCAGCAAAAAAGCGTCTTGTGCTTTAAAAGGTATGTTTGAATAAATAGCAGAAGGACACTTAGCTAGTCGTTGCGGATATCGGTTATCTTCATCGGAATGGCTCGATGATGTCATTATTACCAGTGATGAGTGAATGTTAGGCTAATCAAAAAGATATGTGTCGAAACCTTTTGGGTATTTGAGAAACACGTATTTAAAGAACATGTTTGGGATTCGAAAATTTGCAGCCATTTTTAAACAGTCGAAGACCCGTGTCGCTGCTTCGATACCATAGTGAAGAGCAGGTTGGATTCTCTCAGATACTGTTGTCCACGATATATATATGCTTCTTCGGTAATACATATGCTATTAATTTGGGGTTTACCATTTAGTATTGGTTGAATGTTACCTTTTTTATGTGAAAAATCCGCCACCAATAAAAACTTAGTCTGTATCTGGCTAATGTCTCATTGTGTTATGATTGTCCGTCTTGGAAACTACGTGGGCATATATGAACAGCGGTCTGATCCACCAAACCCGGAATATAATCTTAACAAATCAGCTCAATACTAAACTTCCATATAATACGGCTTCGGAAAACACCCTGAATCGCTTTTCAAACGCCAATCCAGCCATTTGACAAACTTTTCAGAGGAACTGAGTTTTCGTCCCACCTCAGCTATCTGCTTGTATGTTCAACCAGAGGCTTTACTGAAACGTCTACGGCCATATCCAGCATAAAGCATGATTACCCGTCCGATCAATAATTATTAAGCTGCTGAGAGCGATGCTGAGTACGTTAGTGGGAGACCATAATGGAAACCATCGTGCTGTAGACTTTCTTTTTGCCTCTGCCCTTCTTTAACCTTCTTTTTGCCCCGGCCTCCTCGTACCAGTTGCATCAATTCGTGTTGTTGCATCAATTCGTGTTTTTGCATCAATTATACTGCTGGTGTACCGGTGTTTCCCTCACGGGAATTTCGCGCAATCCCCGGCAAGGCAATCGGCCGACTAATAGGGGCATGGAGATGGTCCAGACAAGCCAATAACAGGGTATCTCCTGACTGCCAGCGTTCCGTGATGGGAGATTAGCTGTTTTGGTAGCATCTGCCATCGTGCACTCGTGCTCCCACATCACCCTACAATAGGAACCCATACAAGAAAGCAAAAGAAACAATCAAACAAAAGAAAAAAGGCAAAATACCGGAAAAAACAAATAAAAAAAAAAAAAATAACTTAAAAAAAAAGAATTAAAAAACAAAAAAACAAAGACAGGCAATAGCACCATCGTCTTGTTCTTGTTTTGCTATACAGATAGGAAAATCCCTAGATATATATGACAATATATATATATATCCCCTGTTTTAAGGCCCAGATAAAGTCAGATTGCAAAAAAAAAGGATTGGTATTGGTGAGCTCATCTCTGCGTATAATTTATTGAAAAAAAGGTTGAACGATGTTTATGGTAACTTCAGTTTTATCGATGGCAGATTCTATTAGTCCACCACGAAATTTTTCCAGTATCTTATCACAACCACAGTCGTTGGCACCTATTGTGAAGAGTGTGCCCAAGCCGAATGTTATTGAAGGGATCCCCGATGGGATATTGGCGTTGATTGCCCCAATCATTGCTTATTGGACCTACTCGACTTTCTTCCATCTTATTGATGTTTATGAGTTGGCAGAAAAGTATCGGATCCATCCAAGTGAGGAGGAGCTTCTGAGAAATAAGGCATCGTTATCCGAAGTGGTACAGGATGTTATTTTACAACATGTAATCCAGACCATTGTTGGTTATGCGGTATATAAGATTGATCCTACTCCTACTACTGGCCATGAATTGTATCAAATGTGGTATTTGAAAAACAATGTTTTCCCATCTTTTGTTCCTGATCAAGTGGTTTGGTTTTCTTATATGTACTTATGGTCGGCTTTCCGTTTAGTTATTGCCATTTGTATCATTGATTCCTGGCAGTATTGGTTACATCGTTTGATGCATGTTAATAAAAAGCTTTATCGTAGATTTCATTCAAGACATCATCGTTTATACGTTCCTTATGCTTACGGGGCTTTATATAATGATCCGGTCGAAGGCTTTTTACTTGATACTTTAGGAACCGGGGTGGCAAGTATAGTGACTTGTTTATCTCCTCGGGAATCAATCCTTTTATATACTTTTGCCACCATGAAAACAGTCGATGACCATTGTGGTTATAAGTTACCCTTTGACTTATTTCAAATCATTTTCCCAAATAACTCAATTTATCATGATATTCATCATCAAGCTTGGGGTATCAAGCATAATTTTTCTCAACCCTTCTTCACCATTTGGGATAGGTTTAATAAAACCGAATACGAATTTGTTGATGAGTATAAATCAAAACAAGCTCAAATCACTTTGGAAAAATATAAAGAATTTTTGGCTAAAAAAAAATATAGAAAATCACCAACTTCGGATGTTTCTAAAAAAGATCAATAACTTTACTACGTCTTATGTCTTTGTCACGATTTAATTTTGCCCTTATTTAATTCTATCTTAATTACTTGTGTTTATTTTTGTTATTTCTATTTTAATGGCGTACGTGAACTACTTAATATCTAATATATTGTTACTATTACTTCTCGATGTAGATGTCCCGGTACCGCACCGGAATCGGCGTATGCGGTTGCAGCAAAAATACAAAAAAAAACGGGGAACCCTATATAATCCTTAAATCAATTCCATCTTTATTCTAATTTATAGTAATTTATATCTCATTGAGCTGAAATGGCCACTTACTCTGCTGAAAACTTCAATACTAAACACTATGACCTGGCAAGACCAAGTTACCCTGATCAGTTTTATCAAACTTTAATCGACTACCATCTTGCCAAACGGGGAAACCGTTTGGAATTGGCCCTAGATATTGGTACTGGGTCCGGTTTCGTTGCTCTCAAGCTTATCAACTTCTTTCAAAAAGTTATTGGAACTGATCTTTCTCCAACCATGATCAAATCATGTAGTGAAAACCCAATCTCTATGGAGAATCGTGATAAAATTAGTTTCCACGTTTCAAAAGCAGAAAAGTCCCCTGACTTCGTTAAAGAAAACTCAATCGATATGATTACTGGTGCTGAATGCTGTCATTGGCTTGACCATTCAGCTTGGTTCAAAGAATGCCACAGAATCTTAAAACCCGGTGGCACTTTATCCTACTGGTTTTATCTAGACCCTGTCTTCATTGGTAACGATTTCGCAAACGACTTATTCACTCGTTACGCCTACGGTTCTTCTTTTGACTATGGGGTTCTGAAGAAAGGCGATATCGAAAGGTACATGGGTCCTTACTACGAACAACCCGGCCATGAATTTTTAAGAACTGCTTTGAAAACCGTTGAAATCCCTCCTGGTTTATTTGAAGATCAAGTGGTACGTCATTACGATCCAAAAGTTCACGGGGTTGATCCCAACTTCACCACTTTGTTCATCGAAAAGCACATCACCTTAAGCGAATGGAAAAATTACGTGAAAAGTTGGAGTGCTTATCATGCTTGGATGAAAGATCATGGCCAGTCTCATAAAGATATTGCCGAGGTATACGTTGATGAATTGAAACAAAACTTGAATTGGAACGATGAAACCGTAATCCACATTGTCTTCCCCACAATATACTACTTTGCCAGAAAGATATAACTCTATTTAAATATATATTCTTTTCTCATCAACTTGTAGTTTTAGCAGCAAATCGAGATAATGAAAAAAAAAATAGCACGCGAAGAACAAAAAAAAAAAGGAAGAGCAACGCGTTGAAATTAATTACCAACTACTGGTTTACTTCAGAAGAACTAGAACATGACCATGGATATCCCATTGGACGAAGCAGAGTTTTTAACGGAACGTGTGATTGCTGCTAAGGAACCAGTCACCTACCATACTTTCTCCAAAGAACGAAATCTTCACCATGACCAAGCTAAACAGATTCTTTACGAATTTTATAAATCCAATCGAGATCAAGTGACCGGGTCGTTTATCATAACTGGTACTTCAAATGAAAACACAACCTTGATTAAGTTATCGGAGAATGAAGCACAGTTAGCGGAAAATGTTAAATTGTTTTCAGCCATTAACACCATACATATTTACTGTATTCACATAAAAGATATAGACAAAACCAATGAAGAAATATCATTTTTAGAATTGAAACATTTGATTGACCATAACAACTTAGATCCGAGCTATAAGAATGGGCTCGTCAAGGGGCCTGAATTGGTTGTTGTTAAATCAGAACCACGGAGAATGAAATCAAATACCCCATCAACAACTCCAAGTACATCCAATACACCTACTAAATCCAATGATAAAGAAACAAAACCTAAAAAAACTACTGGGTTAACATCAGGGTATGTTTCAAGAAAACAACAACAGAATGAAGCCAAACAAACTTCAAAAAGACCTCAAACTGATATACTGGCAATGTATACTAGCAGAAAAGGCGAATCGAATAAAGATAACCAGACTAAAAGAGCAGCTACTACCTCGTCTGGGTATCAATACAAATCTAGAAAGTTGGAAAATCAACCATCGAAAGAGCGAGTTGTTGTATCCAATGTAGATGATAATGATGACATGGAAGTTGATGATGTTAAACCAAAAACGCAACCTAAGACTAATCTTCAAGAGCTATTTTTGGACGACGATTTTGAATTCAGTGATGACGATGCCTCCAATGATAAGAATGGCAAAGAACATGAGAAACAACCTGAAAAAGAGTCCGAAAAGGAACCCGAAAAGGAACCCGAAGAAGAACTTGGAGCTACTGAAAAAGACATACCAGAACAAGATAAAGAGCCAAGTGAACTACAAAACGATGAAACAGTTGAACCGGAAAGAGAAGCAGGTTCCTCCGAAAAACAGGAGTCAGAAGAACCAGAGACAATTGTTGATGAAGATGGTTACATTACTTCATACAGAAAGAAACCTGAACCATCTAAACCCAAACCAACTTTGGCAAAACCAGAGCCTGCCAAAAAACCATCAAACAACAGTAACAAGAAGGCAGCCTCAAACTCCAAGAAACAATCTTCATTGATGAATTTCTTTCAGAAAAGATAGTTAGACTTCAATTTTATTTATTTATTACTTCATTTGTAGGACTGGTTAAGAGGAGAACTTGCCTTCAACAAAGACTCGAGTCGTAAAAGTAACCTCGTAAGTTCTCGAAATTACTTCATAAGGTGAGCTGCAACGATACCAAGACCTTTCCAAAGGGTTTGTCGGTGTAAAGTGAAGATAATTGCAAAAAAAGATCAAAAATCCCTAAATAATCAAATAAAAAAATAAAACGCTAACAAAACAAAAAAAAAAAAGAAATCGAGAAACTTTGCAAAAAAACAAAAAAATTTCCTTTTTGGGGCATGTAATTGAAATTGCAGCATACAAACAGCACCAATTTGTTCAAGCTTGATCTTTAAATAGTCTTCTGCTTTAAGCGGACTATTTTGGAAAGCCTCCCCTATAGTAGAAGGGGGCTTCGAGCTGTCAATAAACGGGCGCAAATGTAAACCAACATCGTTAAGGATAGTTGAAGGGAAAGGCCATTGCAATTGGTGGTGCTTTGAGCTAGCGAAAAATAACCTGAACCACCACAAGAAATCACTGGTGAGATCACCACCATCACAATAGTATTTTAGAAAGGGTGGATCAACCATACCAGAGAATTCACCTTATTAAGTTATAGAGTTAAGACAAAAAGAAGACAAAATAGTGGCCGCCGCCTGTGTGCAGTACATCATCAAGTTATGTGCAGTACATAATTACCAAAAAGAGTATTGATTGCAATTTTGCAATAAGTTAATGGATGGGTTTACACTCGATACTTGGTTTAAAATCTTTTACCACTTTCCTAAAACATATAACAAAATACTCGATTGAAAGAGATGGCCAATGCAATGTTTAAAGACTAAGCAGTTTCTTATTTAAGCAAAATGAATTCCCAGATATTTTGAAAACCTATATTCCTTTATTTTTTCTTTTCTTAGAATTATAAAGCGTTCTTCACTCTTTTATTCATTCGTTTAATTACGTTCATTTACGCTCGCTTCAACATTCAATGAAAGTCACCCATACTTACTTAACTGCCATTTTGGCAGCTTCAATTGTAACTGAAGCAGCTCCAGCTAAAGTTGAAACATCAAATACCAATGAATTACAAGTTGCTAAAAGAATCACTCTGGATGAGTTAATAGCCAAATTAGATGCATTAGCAGCTTCTAAATCTAAAAGAGATGAAGCTTCTACTGATTTAGAAAAGAAAGAATATGAAATTGTTACTGAAGTTTTATCATATTTAAATGATACTAATTTAGCACCAAAAGTTATTAAATATTTAGCTACCAATAAAACTTTGGAACCAATTACTATTTCAACCATTGTTGCTGTTATAAAATCTGGTTTATTAAACCTTACTACTTTATTAGATGCCTTGGTTCAATCTGGTTTAGTTAATAGAGTTATCGAAGATGTTATTTCTGATTGTTCATTATACGCCAAATTATTTAGTTTAGCTAAAACAATTATTGGCGATTTAGCTGATAAAGTTGAAGAAAAACTTTCCAGTAAATCTAAAAGAGAAGTTGATTTGGATTCTGCTCATGCTCAACTTGTTGCTAAGAGAAAATTAGATCTGATTGAAGATTTAGACATTGAAAAAAGAGATTCCGAAGAGGTTTTGGTTAACTTATTAGAATCTTTAGGTAATTCCGGTTTGGCTTCTTCTGTTGTCAAATCCATTCTTACTGATTCTTCTTACATTCCTTTTGCAATCGATTTAGTTGGGGCTGTTTTAGCAAGTGGTTCTTTAAATCTCTCTAAAGTCATTAGTGCAGTTAAATCTTCTGGTTTGATTGGTTCTTTATTCCGTCAAATTTTCTCTCTCAATACTTTACAAACTGTTGCCACTAATGCTTTTGCTGCTTTCGAAGGTGATTGTGGTTCTACTTCTGGTTCTTCCGGCTCTTCGGGTTCTGGTTCTGGTTCTTCCTCCTCCGGTTCATTAATCGGTGATTTACTTGGTGGCGGTGATAAGGGTTCTTCCGGAACTACTACTACTTCTACTGCTGGGTCTGGCTCTGGTTCTAACCCATGTAAAAAGAGAAGAAGAAGAAGAAGAAGAACAACCAACTTCTACTAAGCAACCTTTCATGATGCGGATGAATAGGCTAATGGTGTATTCTGCCAGTCATGGATGAAGACCAAAAACTTCCTACAAAAAACTTCCTACAAAAAAAAAAAAAAAAATAAAAATTCTGCTACGCTTTCACGATATCAACCACGACAATTAAAATTCTTTCAGTAGGATAAAATACCTTTCTTTTATTACCTTTATAGTTCTTTAATTTTTGCTTCTATTAATTATCTGTTATTAGTATTCTTTATTCATTATTACTACTTTCCCCTTTTATTCCTTCTTCAGTGGTGACCTTTTACTTTTCGTTGTGGATATTTTCTTTAATTTATTACAATTACCAATTTATATTATCAATCTATTGTAGTTTAATCTTCTTTTTCATTTGACTCGCCATCTACCCCATTGTAATATCGTGTTTGCCAACCCAAATCCACGATCAATCTACCGTATTGGCTAGCATTTCCCAATGAAATCTTTTTTTAGGATGGCTAGACCTACAATGTTGCAGTCACCAAAGTCTACTCGGCTATTTGAGTGACAGTCGTCAATCGCCAAATCGGGCCCACAAATAAACAAAAACAGCAAAAAATAAAATGTTCCATCAGTTTTTTAGATCAGCGCGTCCCAAAAGAGTAAGAAGCTGCTCGAAAACAAACGGCCACTAAATCAACTCAAAAAATTCTAAGACAATGCTTGCATCAAAAAGAATTGTTCTTCAAGCAGCCATTTAAACCAAATGAAGGGCCGAAAGACAACACCAATAGACGAGGAAGAGATTGCGAGAGCATTCCTTCAACGGATCAGGTACAATTGGCCACAAGAGTGGGAACAATTGTATGGAATGTCGTACTGAAGATGGGATGGTGGCACAATCACGTCTTTTCATCATTTGGAATTGTATTAGATAGAAATTCTAAATATCAACGGGTAGGAATCAACCATCGTAGTTTAGTTTCGTACTGGATGCAACAATCAGTTCACTGGTAAGAATTGCAACTGTAAACCGGGAAATTAGTATTGGGGAAAGTGATTAAATAGCTGCATAATTTTTTAGTATTGTTTTGTTTTAGTTCATTCCATTATAAGAGATTGTTATTCTAAAATTATAAGAAGTTTCACAAAGGTCTCTGCTAATAACTTTTTTTTTCCCCTTCAATTCTCCTTCCTCTGCTTCACCAATCCATAAAAACATAACTACTTCTCCCTTTTTCCTTTAGTAGTGAAGTGAAACTACCTTGAATCGTTTTTTTTTTCATATTTTGCTTTTCTATTTTTGTCGTTCGTTATAATTACTGCAAGTTCAGTCCTCACCTTTAGTCCTTCTTTGAACCACTTACTTTAGTCCTTCTTTTAAACCACTTACTTTAGTCATTCTTTTAACCTATATACCGTTCAAAAATAAGAAATGAACATTATCCAATCATGAAAGAAAAGAAAGATGATATCGATATAAGGCGCCATGAAACACCAGAATCAGAGGCCTCAGCTCCCCAACAATTTCAATTTCAATTACAAAAATTTTCACTTTCACTTTCCAAGCAAGCTCAAGAAAATGAAGAGAACCGGAAATCTTCTAGTAGTAACGAATCATACAAAACATCACCTTCCAAATCAATAAAAAGCTTCTTTAAGAATAGAGCTTCTGCATATTCAATTGAAAGTATCAGTGAAGAACCTGAAATCAAATCGTTAACAACGAAACATGATTCCATAATGTCCCATTCTCATCATCCGCATTCTCCCAGTCGAAGTAGTGGTATAACTACATTATTAAAACCAAGTTTTATAAAATCGAAAACCCTGTTCCAAACTCTTTCGTCCTCAGGTTCAGCTAATCCTTCAAATACTAATCGTAACATTGATACAAATTTAACTTCTAATAATAGACCAACAACCATTGAAGATTTCGCAGATACCTCATCTTCATCATCAGATGATGAAAATAAAACCCGAGATTATGACTCCGAATCAATAAACTCCATAATTGACGATTACGATCAATCTGATACTCATTATTTCCATTACGGCAATAGTTCTAATGACCAAACCCCAAGAAAGCAAAAACCTCATCGTCCTGACAGTAAGTTTGTTTTTAAAGAAATATTTGATGAAGCAACATCCTTTATTGAAAATGATTCCCCAAACACAATCAGAAATTCCCAACACTCAAACTCAAATTCAACTTCGACTTCAACCTCGAATCGTAATTCTGGCTCATCTAAGAGATCTTCTCAAAATTCAAATCGTTCAAATTCAATACGGAGAAATCCAAGTCTTAAGGAAACCAGATCAATTATAGAATTAACTTTAGCTAATTCAGGTAATAGTGCTATTCCACCTCCACAAGTAATTACAGACAGTCCAAAATCGTTGCAGTCATCATCATTTCATAGCTTTAAAGAGGCTTCCAGTCAAAGATTTAGTGGATCGAGCTCTAATTCAAATAATACAACCGGGAAATTCAAAATTTATGACGATTCAACATCAGTACATCGTAGTCCATCAGCTTCTTCTGACATCAATACCCGATTAACTAGAAATGATCTGCAAAAACAAAAAAATGTTCTAAGTGCATCATCGAATATTGATTGTAATAGATCATCGTTGTTGAATGAAGTTAGTGATTTATGTGGTAAACATAAAGAAGAAAGCACCCCGATGCCAACCCCTTCAAAATCACTTATAAGTCCTGACAGAGGTGACAACATTAGTTCTGAAGATTCATTCTCAATAACAGGATCCATGAATGAACAAGCAAACATACTGGAGCGACCAATTAGAACCAAATCGCTTTTAAGTCAAAGACAAACTCTGATTAATTTTGATGAAACATTATTGAGACAAAGTAATTTAAGTAATTCCAGTTTAACCAATCCAAATCAAAGTAATCCAAATATCAATAAAGACTTAAATCGTGGTACATTTAGATCATCAATATCATCGGGAGAATTATTAAGTAAACTTGAAAATTTTTATGATTCAAATAGAGATTCCAACATTTATCAAGTATCTAATTTAAATCCAAGATCATCCTATAATCATGATAATGCTAAAAATGCTTTAGCAAATTTAACCGCTGGATTAGATTCGAATTCCGAATTACCAGTTATGCTTTATACAGTTCAGGATAAAGACTTTAATGAAGGTAATCAAAGATGGTCGGTTTACGAATCAAGAAATAATTTAACCCATTCCAAAAAAAGTCAAACCAACTTACAACAACCTTACTCCAGTAGTAGTAATGATTATCATTCAATAACATCTAGTAATATTGATCATCCAGAAAAAGTTCACCATAAGCATGACCATCAAAGCCCATCATCATCACTCAGCAGTTCAAATAGTCCTAATTCAAGAAATCAATTATACATGAGTCAAAATTTCAATGAAAATATCGGCGATTTTAGAAGAGTCCAGCCAAGACCTAATGATCAGTATTACAACCAGGAACAGTCATTATCCAATAAACCTTCATACGGAGCTTTTTCAATATCCAAACCAATGAAGAATAATCATTTGCATGATAAGGTATCGATGCAAACTTCTCATGAGAACATGTTAGATCAAAATAGACCTTCGACAAACAAAGAATGGAATGAGACAACCTTAAGTGGCGATCACTCGTTCAACCAAAGAAAGGAGAGTTTCGATAAAGATTTCGATTCGATCAACGACCATGTAACCCAATCGTGGGGTAGATTTATCTTAATGATGGTATTCGGATTAATCATCCCACCTCTATACTTCCTATTGGCGCTTGGAGCCTTTGACACCAGCAGCTACAATAGAAGTCAATATTTCTACCAACAACAATACTCCAATCTGGTCAAACAAAGAATAAATAAGAGATATTCAAAGACTCAGAAAATCATCAGTGTTGTATTCGGGTTATTCTGGTTTGCAGTCATTCTTGCCATGATCGGTGTGGGCTTTGGCTTGGGTCTCACCCGAGAGGCTTAATCTATTCCTCTTCAATATATAATCTACATATCTATTAATACCTAATATAACTAATATCTTTGCGTATTTCGATTCCATCAATCTAGGGTCTTGTGACGAATCTTTCCTACTATTCATCTGAAATCACCGTTTCAGAGCGTTTTTCTGCCCGCTCTTCACCTCGTCACCTCATGACCATCTTCTGCTAGCTGCCCTTTCCTATGCATAAGCTCACGTCGGTGTAATTCGAGCGTAGGCCTCCGATAAAGCCAATATCAATGGCTTTATAGGGGTTGCTTTGCAGCAAAAGACAAAAAAAAAAAAAAAAACCAAATAAAAAAAGAAAGGGAAAGACAAACCAGCAAAGCTTATACACAGGAATTTGGCACACAAACGAAATCCCCAATTCCAATTGTCATTCATTCATCATTAAATTCTTACTTCGCTACCCTTCGAAAGAGGATAAAAGTCTGGTAATTAGATAGCAGATAGAGAAGAAGACCATGGGAAACGTGCCGGCCAAAGAAGGAAGGAGCAGATCGAGTTCGTACGCCAGTTCGTCTACGAATTACTTGGAATCAGGGAATTCCAGATCAGCCCGAAGAAATACTAGTTCCTCTATTTTCAGTAGTAGTTTTGGAGGAGACTCGAAGAAAAGCAAGACGGAAGAAAAGGATAGACAGAGAGAAAAGCATTTTTTCAATTTGATTGTTCGGTTTGAGGAGAGTGTTGATGGAGGATTTTTAGCCCCATTTGGAACTTATAAATCCAACTTGGATTATAATACTGATATAGTAAGAAATTTGGTTATAAATCGGAGAATATCGCCGTTTTATACGCCGTTACAGGATTTCAATGATAGTTGGACTGATGATGAGTTGATAATAATATTGTCGCAATTAACCTTACATTCGATTGAAACTGCTTATACTGATGAAGAAGAGGTTGATGATATTGATAATCACAAGATACATAAATCCACTCATTATTATAAGAGACAAGAACAAAAATTGAAATTGAAGAATTTAATTGACAAAGTTAAACAATTACAAAAAGATGAAGAAAATAAATTTTTAGAAGAAAAATTAAGGTTGAAAAATGGAGATTCGAATACTTCATCTAATTTACCTTCGAGAGATTTATTACTAAAGCTATACCGTAATGCAAGTGAATGTCCAATTTGCTTTTTATATTATCCAGTTAATTTGAATGTTAGTCGTTGTTGTCGTCAACCCATTTGTACCGAATGTTTTGTTCAAATTAAAAGATTAGATCCTCATCCTCCTCATGATGATACTTCAAATGAACCCGGTAGTAATGAATTGCCTCATACCATAATATCGGAACCGGCAAATTGTCCCTATTGTGCAATGCCTGATTTTGGAGTCACTTATGAATCTCCAAAACAAATTCATACGGGGATAAATGGTATAAACCCCAGTGACTACCAAATTTATAATAGTATACCGGAAAATGCAATTTCCTCATCTCCTCCAATTACACAACACTCCAATGATAGCCCAATTACCCAACTGAAAAAACCAAGACGTAGATCTTCAATACCAGCGGATTCTAACTCGGTTATCACCACCGATTTCATCAGACCCGATTGGGAAACCAAATTAATCAGTGCTAGAAATAAATTAGCTAGAAAAGCTGCTACCGCAAGTGCTATTCACGCATCTAATCTAATAATACCAGGTGAACACCAGTCGAATAATGGCTCGAGTACTAGAAATCAAACCCAATCAATGGAAGAACGAATGATTGAACAAGCCCTTCGTTTATCATTACTTGATGAAGAACAAAGAAAACGTAAAGTAGCAGATCAAAAAAACTGACTTCAACTCTAAATATCTATACATATGATTTACAAGAAGCTGTTTAAGTAAATAGATTTTTGTCTAGTTTAATGAATTTTTTTTTTATCCCCCTACATAAAGATGATCATCGAGATGGCTTTTTCAAAAAGTAAGCCAGCAGCCTTACTCTGGTGAAAAGGCACCATCACCCCTACCATTCTTATTTTGTGATTGTAAATACTATCCCAGATGCTGTAACAAAAACCCGTTACTTGCTATCATTGGCTGCAGCAGCATGTTTTTGCTCGTATTGCATCGTCTACGCCTATTTTATCTCATGCAAGGCTCCCATTATCACCAGCTATCATCACTGTATTTGAATCCCTTCAAATTACGATTCCTTCTCACAATGCACAAACCCACCTGACTAAAAAACTACGCGAATATCGTTCAAGCATGAGTATTACTTAAAACAATCTTTAATAACAGCATCCATTGTTTCACGGATTCAACCTTTTATTTTGTTGTTGCCCTACAACCAATTCTCTCTTGACTACAACTTCCCCTATTCCCTCGAAGAACATTTTCCAACCTATTGCAAGAAGTAGTCTCAGAGTAATCCAGAAGTAATCTCGGAGTAATCTAGAAGTAATCTCGGAGTAATCTAGAAGTAATCTCACAAGTAGTTGTTTCATTGAAATTTTTGTCTTTTTTTTCTTTTTCTTCCTTTTGTTTTAGTGAATTGTGTTTTGTTATTGCCCTTTTCGATAATTTTTCATTTCCTTCAGTTTATCAAAAAATTTTCAGGTTTGATAATTTTTCAGTTTATCAAAAAATTTTCCCATTCTTAAATCCAGATTCTTCTTTAAAGTTAAGGGTATAGCTGCTGAGTTGGTGGTTAAAGTTGGTGCAAAAAAGGCAAAAGGATTCACTCTCTCATTATCACAAAAGCCTAACACGATCATCTCAATAGCTGGTTAAGACTAGATAAGATGTCTTTTGTAGCTAATACCAATCCAATTAGTGATTTTGTTAAACACGAATCATATACTATACCGCAGCCGGTGAATTCACTACCGATCAAAAGACTGTTTGATTATAGGTTTGGTAAATTAAAAGAATCAACCAAACTACCTCGAGAATTTCAATTGAATAATACTTTATTGGATGAGGAAATCATCTTGAAGATAAAAATGGTTGGGGTCAATTATGGGAAAGACTTTGAGTTACTTAAACATGATAAGTTCAATCCCAAAATTAATATAGTCCCAGGTAATAAAATCATTGGGAAAATATTAAATGTAATGAAAAATTCTAAATCAAGTGATTTCCTTAATAATAGTCATAAATATATGGTTTTTCCTTATTCAAATTGTTTAATCCAAGATACAAATAACTTATGTTTGAATTGTCAACATCTTTTCCATAATCAGATCAATCTCACCAGTGCTAATTACCAACAATATTCCAAATTCAAATGTATGAGACGATGGGAATACGGTTATACTATCGATGGTGGTTTACAGGATTTTCTCAAGATCAAAAAGCCTGTTGATACTTTAATTAAAATACCCGATAGTATAAGCTTACATGATTGTGTCTTTTCAATGGAAATTTTATTACCGTTCTACTCTTTTCTTAAGAGCAATTTTTACAACTTTCAAACTAATCAATTGTCGGTCGATGGCCGAGTTTTAATTATCCTAAATGATATTTCTAAAGAAATTAATGATATTTTAATTGTATTGAAATATTTCAATATTGACCAGAAAAATTTCTCCTTCATTGATGCTGGTAAAATTCATGAATTAATGAATTCAGATTTCGAAGACGAAAAAGTATCTTATAAATCAATTTTTAATCATATCTTCATCTTCAGTTTAAGTGACTTGAACATTTCTTTTGGTCTTTATTCAATCATTTCAACTGGGTTAGAATCAACAAAATCTCGTTATAATCTTGTCTTATTTGATCAATATAATCCAAATTGTTTGATTAAACATAAATCTTTAAACAAATATCATCCAGATAAATTCATTCACCATTATGAACTTTCTTATAAAGACCGAATCAATTTGATTGAAGTATTATCAATAATATCCGACCTTAATACGTCTTCAAAATCTTCACCCCTTGATTCTTTAGAGAGTACAAGACCTTCGGTGACAAGTATTGAAACTTCAGCTTCGACTTTTTCAATCCATTCAGACTCAACTTCAAATACCGTTCTATCGAGAAATGGCTCTCAAAACCATCATCAACAAAATTCAAAGAAAAAACAAATCAGATTCAGAGAAGATGAATCAATCATCGATGCTGAACCTCCACTTCAAAAGGAGAAACAAAAGCACCAAAATAAGCACAAACATCAAAATCACTTTTCATGGCTCTACTACGATAAAGACTTTGATCTTTGTAACGATTATGAATATTCAGACGATGAAAGTGAAGATGCTTTTGATGACTTATATCAAGAAAGTTTTGGATTTAGAAATGAAAAATCAAACTTTATCAAAATGCATACCGTTAGACAAATTAATATGCACCTAAATTCTAATCAATCCTTATCAAGAGTTTGTTATACCAATAAATCAAATAAACCAGTGAAAATTAATGCCTTTATCTTTACTTGATTTCCACTCCCTTGTATTAATACTTCCAACATCCATTTACTTCTACCTACTTGGTTTTACTTCTACACGGCTTTCAATTCGTCTTTCTTACTTTTAGGCTCTTACTTTTACTTCTTGTATAATATCTTTGTAAAATATTTTTAATGCATGCTACGATTCACCTTAAAATTTTATTACTTGTATATTTTACTCTATTTACCCAATTCCTTTAAAGTATCAGTTAAAATACTTCTTAATTTATACAAGTTAACAATCCTTAATTTTTCATTCTTTAAATGTGCATTATCACTTGCTTGACCACAAGGTATTTGTGCAGCTGGTGCATCAAAACATTTTTCCAAAAATCTGATCGAAGGAATTGATCCACCTTCTCTAATAAATAATGGATCTGGAACATCTTTACCCCAATTCTTTTTAATCTTTTCATACAAAATCTTGTAAACTAGATTTGATGGGTCACCCAACCATGGTTCAGCTTCATGGAAAATATTTATCGATAATTTATTATCGGATTCTAACGAATTAAATTCACTGTGTAAAAATTCAATTAACAGGTTTTTAATTTTTTGTAACTCTTGATTTGGAACTACCCTAATTGATATTGATGCTTTGGCAGTTTGAGGAATTACTGTATTATTATTTGGTCCAGAAACTTGGATCTTATGAACAGTCAAGGATGGATTTCTCCATTTGGCCATTAAAGATTTTAAATCTTGATTGGTAATCTTTTTACTAATTGCTGCATTTTCAATTTTTTTATAGATTTCTATTTCTGTTTCAGTTAATGGTAAAACATCATCATAAAAATGAGGAATATTAACTTTGTTAGTCTTTTTATTCATGATTTGTCCTAAAATTTGAATGAGATCCATAGTGGGTTCTTTCAGAACCCCACCATCAACTCCTGAATGTCTATCAGGTTTCTCTGATTCAACAGTGATCGAAATGTTAACAACACCTCTTAAACCATAATTTAAACAAGGAGTTTCGTCATCTAACCAGTAAGAATTTGATAGTAAAACCCAATCTATTGGTCCGATTAATTCTTTATTGCTTTCAATAACATCTTGAAATCCAATTGATCCACATTCTTCTTCACCTTCTATAATGAAAACAACATCACATGAAAGTTCTTGATTTCGATATAATTCTGAAACAGCATAAATGGCTGCTAATGTTGGACCTTTATTATCAGAAACACCACGAGCAAATAAATTACCGTCCCTTGCGCTTAAATGGAAAGGATCTGAATCCCAATTTTCGAGATCAGCAGTTGCTTCCACGACATCATAATGAGCATACCACAAGACTCTAGTATTATTTGAGTTTTTAGCATTTCTAGTGAATTTTGAGTAGATAACCGGGTTAGCATTAGTGACTGGTAAAAGTTTTGTCTTAGTAGCACCAAGACTTATCAAAAGCTTGCTTAAAAATTGTGCACAATGCCTTGAATCTTCTAAATAAATAGTTGGATATTTAGAGATTGTTTTGAAAGAAATATATTTTTTCAATGATTTTAATAGATCATCATTTGAAATATTATAATCTTCGAATAATGAAGTATTATCACTTGAGCGAGAATGTTGACCACTCAACCCAGCAATTGAATTCTTCTTTGAACTATTAGCAGTTTTAGTATCTGATTTCCCAACATCACTTACATCCCAAAGACAAAGTGCCCTAACACCGCCCAGTATTAGAAAAGTTTTATCTTCAATAGTGAAAATTTTAATTGTGAGTACTGAATTATGAGACTTATCAAAGAACTTATTATAACGTTCATCTTCTGAAGAAATGAAATGGGTTAAATGTAAATCTTGAACGATATGAGTACTGAAATTTGAATAATTATTATTACCTTGCTCCTCTTCTGTTTTAGTACGTTGTTTTGCAGGATAGTTTTTCAAGGTGAATTTAATTAAGCCGCCTAAATTGGAAGCTTTAAAGATGCAATCATTGAATATGCCTAAACTTAAAACTTCATCATAAGAATTTTTTTGAATTTTGGAGGGAGTTGAATTAATAACACTTACATCAGAAGACGAAGTTAGCTTAGAACGAGGCTGGTAATCATCGTGAATGAAATGGAAAGACCTAATTAATTGAAAAGTCATTAAATCCCATACATTAATAGTAGAGTCGGTTAAACCAACATATAAATAAGAATCTTGAATTGACATTGAAAGAATTGATTCATCATTTTCTAGAGATTTTAAATTTTCCAAGGTTATAAGTCCATCGATATCATTAACACCCCAAATATTTATATTACCATCGCCACCACAACTAATTAATAATTCTTTGAAAGTATCACCATATATGTCAAAGAAATCATTAGCTTTATTTGATGGGAAAACCTCATTTTGATTAATGATATCCATACAATAGACATAACCATTATGAGCAAATCTAATAATATCATCGTGTTTAACTTCGATTAATTTGGGACCAGATTTTGAATTTTTTGATTGTTCATTTTGAGAATTTCTTAATAATTGATGCTGAGATTGAATTCTATTAATCGAGCCACCAGGGCCCTTTGAATCAAAAAATTTATCGAATCTAAAATGAGGCAAACGGTTGATCACTGAACTATCGGTTTTTGAAAAATCATCGTTTAAGTTAGAAGAATTTAATTTTTCGGTAATATCAGTTATATTACTTAAATTTATTGAACACCAGGAGATGGAAGCATTTTGAGCACCAATGAATAAAGTTGATAAAGAATCAGACCAACTAATTGAAAAAATATCACCAATATCAACTAAAGAATAAATGATATGAGAACAATGAACAGTTTTAACCGAAGTAGTAGAACAATTTAAAGAAGACAAGTTCCAAACTTTAACTAAAGAATCTGAACCTGCTCCAAATAAGAAATTCTCATCGCTACTTAAGGTTAAACAAAGAATCGAAGCAGTATAATCTTGATGACCACAATTTATAACAAACTTCAAAGTATAATTAACAAGATCGAAGACCAAAATTTTAGCATCTTGAGTACCACAGAAAATCAATTTTTTCAGGGGAGCAGGTACAACACAGAGAATTGAATGAGTATGAGTCCATTTATGAATTAGATTGGGAATATAATCATTAGCTTCTGGTTGAGGAGATGCCGATGACGATGATGGCACATTTTTTTGATCATTCATAGAATCCCCAACTAGGGAAATCGGGGAATCGATTCTGATTGGAGTATTACAAGTGGAACTTTCATTAGCAGTGGTAGTGGTAGTCGTACGGTTTATAGGTAGGGAATTTCTCGAAGGGATTGACACGTATTCTCCTTCATGGATATTACCTTTATTACCAAAAGATTTTGAAGAATCGCTATCGTTTAACGAGCCCGAGTCCAAATTACCAAACATGATATGCAAGTATATGATGAGTAATCAGATGTGACCGAAGATATATAGCCATACCATGAGTTCAAAGAAGAGACTGATATAAGATTAGATGAATTGCAAAATACCAAATTGGTTTAAACAAAGTACTAACAATCACAGCTTTAGCAATAACAAACACCAATTGAAACGTCAATACAATACCTGAGTTCTGCTTGTTTTATTCAGGAAATATGCCACAGTTGTCTGATAAGGAAGCCGATAGTCACGGTACACGGTTGATGACTCCATACTAGGAGTTGAGATTCTGGTGATGATCAGCCGGCATTTAAGGGTCACGTGAGAAAGCGTATGCAAACGGCTTATGTAATGGGCCATTCATTTCTTGATATATTTATTGATTTATATAGATATATATATAGATATATAGATATACAAATAGATATACGTATATACGTATAAATGTATAGATATATGTATACTTATCTATACATATCTATACATATCCATACATATATCTGTATGTGTAGACGTAAATGTCGTATGGTCGACTAGACAATGGGTTATAGCACAGCTCAGCTCCAGGATCACCGCTCATCAATCTATCCCTGCTCCATCAAAAGGGTGATTCAGTCAGTAGTCAGTGTTGAACAGATAGAGTTGGCTGCAATACCGGGGAACAACCGGTCGTGTGCGGGACGCATCAGTGATGGTCGTGTGTATGGATCAATTATATACACCCGTGCACCCCACAAAATCGTGTCCGTGCACAATTTCGGAAAAGAAAAAAGAAATTAGAGTGAATCTGGTAAAGCATCTAATTTGGTTCTCCACGTGGGCATCTCAAATGAGTAGTGGTTCCTGTGTACAGGAACTCCCAGCCCACGCCCGAAGCTAATCGTGCAACCATAACGGAAACCAAGACTTGAAGAAAACGTGGGCCAGTCCTCCTTTTTCTTAGTATTCATCGGAAGAATTTTTTATGGACAAGTCTTTTCCTTACCAAACGTTTCTAGTAAGTTGTCACACGATAGTTGTACTATTCCAGTAATAGGTCCGGTGCTTTCAGAAGAAGAGTTGATAAGTTTTTCAGTCATCACATCTAGTTTAGAGGTAAAATAGCTGATTAGAGGTTAGATAAGTGATTCAGACTAATATAAGTTGATTTTTAGTTGGTGAAAAGTTTTTTTTGAAATTGGAAAAGGTCAGATTTTGATAGTTTCCTGTTAGAAATTTAATTTTTGCTTCGGTTGCTGATAACGGTTTTCCTACAGGCTTCCCTTACAGATTATTTTTCTTGATTATTTAAGAGTCAGACGAGTAGTAGCCTAATCAAGAAGAATGAAATTTTCCCATTCGCTCAAGTTTAATGCAGTGCCAGAATGGCAGGATAATTATGTTAATTATCCAACGTTGAAAAAAACAATTTACAGGTTGCAACAACAGCAATTAGAAGCTCAAAATCCAAATGATGGTTCGTATACAGTTGATCCAGTTAATAGAACTACAGTTAGTGAATTAATTAGTAGCTCTAAGTTTAAAAAAAATGACGAAAGTTTCAATAACGAATCAACATCGGAGATCCAAGAATCCAAATCAAAGTTCCACCCATCGAAATTAGTTAGTAGATTCAAAAAATCAAAGAATAATGATGATATTGAAAATAACTTTGAGGCTGAAAATGGAGAAGAATCCAAGACGAGTGAACCAAACGAAAAGGGGAACTCTACTCAATCTTTTACATTTGAATTGGGGGATAATTCGACGATCTTTTCATTTAAATCAGATCATAAGAATCCAAAATCAGATCAGTTTGATCCATTGAAAGTCTTTGTTAAACAATTATTAGACGAATTAACCAAGATTGATGATTTCTATAAAATTAACCAAGAACAATTCTTCAATCAATTCGATAATTTAATTAAAGATTTGGAATCCAATAATGTTAACTTGAACGCTTTATTCAATCCACATCATCATTATCAGTCCCGTTCTATTAGTCGAGCCAATTCTCGTTATGAAGATATTGAAAAACAAGAGGTTATTGAAATTGATAATCAATCTCAAGTCAATAACGATGTTGATTCTTCAGATGACGATGAAGAAGATTTAGACTTCGATGATGATGATGACGATAATCAATCACAAAACTCTGCTTTATTAACCAAAAATGATTTTGATGTTAAAGAACAGAAAAAAATCACTTTGAAAAGAAAATCAATCACTTTATTCATTTCATTATCAGAATTAAAATCATTCATTGAATTAAATAAAATCGGATTCACTAAAATTACTAAGAAATTCGATAAGACTTGTAATTATTCAATTAAACAAGATTTTAATGAATTTTTCTTACCAAATCATTCTTACACTTTTAATCCAGATACCTTAAGACAAGTTGATGTTAGATTAGACCAAATCGTTAAAATTTATGCCTTTTTAACTGGTAGATTAACAAATAAAACTACCGAAGAAGAATTGGAAAGTATAAGAGATGATTTGAAATCCCATCTTAGAGATCATATCGTTTGGGAAAGAAATACCGTTTGGAAAGATTTACTTTCTTTAGAAAAAAATTCTTATAATTTACAATTAGATAATCAAGCAATGAAAAATGGTAATAAAATGGGTGATGAAGGGAATATTAGTCATGATTCAATTATGTTTTTACAAATGAAAAGAATCAATTTCCCTAAAAATATTAAAATTTTTGGTTTTAATTATATTGATATCCCAAGGTTTCTTTTAACCTGGCAAATTGTTAAATTAGCAATTATTATTCCGGTTTTCATTGTTTTATTAAGTGTTCCAACTTTTAATGATTTACAACAACATCGTTGTATGGCGGTTTTGGCGGTTTCTGCTATGTTATGGGCTTCAGAAGCTTTACCTTTATACATCACTGCCATGTTGGTTCCTTTATTAATCGTTACTTGTAAAGTTTTAAAAGATGATGATGGTAATGAAATGACTGGTGAAGCAGCTTCAAAATATATCTTGGGTACTATGTGGTCTTCAGTCATTATGTTATTAATGGGTGGTTTTACTTTAGCTGCTGCATTATCTAAATATAATATTGCAAAAGTGATCAGTTCTTATATTTTAGCAGCCGCTGGAACAAAACCACGTAATATCTTATTAGCAATTATGTCAGTTTCTGTTTTCCTTTCAATGTGGATTTCAAATGTTGCTGCTCCAGTTTTATGTTTTTCATTAATTCAGCCAGTTTTAAGAACTGTTCCCACTGATTCTCCATTTGCTCAAGCTTTAGTTTTGGGTATCGCATTAAGTTCAAATATCGCCGGTATGTCATCTCCAATCTCCTCACCTCAAAATATGATTGCAATTGAATCAATGAATCCAAGCCCTGGTTGGGGGAAATGGTTTGCTGTTGCTTTACCAGTTTCAATCATTGGTATGCTCGGTATTTGGGTCGAATTAGTTTTAACCTTCAATATTTCAAAAACTAAAGTTAAAGCTTTTAAACCAATTAAAGAAAAATTCACCGTTAAACAATGGTTCATTAGTATTGTTACTATCGTTACTATTCTTTTATGGTGTTTATTAACTAAATTACAATCAACTTTTGGTGAATCAGGTATTGTTTCATGTATTCCAATTATATTATTTTTCGGTACTGGTTTATTAAAAGTTGATGATTTAAATAATTTCCCTTGGAATATTGTTTTATTAGCAATGGGTGGTATTGCTTTAGGTAAAGGGGTTAGTTCATCTGGTTTATTGAAAACTATTGCTACTTCTTTACAACAAAAAATTATGGGATTCAATGTTTTTGTTGTTTTGATTATTTTTGGTATCTTAATTTTAGTTGTTGCAACTTTTGTTAGTCATACTGTTGCTGCCTTGATTATTATTCCTTTAGTTAAAGAAATTGGTGAAAGTTTACCAGACCCACATCCTCTTATCTTGGTTATGGGTACTGCTCTTTTAGCTTCTGCTGCTATGGCATTACCAACTTCTGGATTCCCTAATGTAACTGCAATTAGTATGAGAGATGATCTAGGTAAACCATATCTTACCGTTAATACTTTTATTACTAGAGGTATTCCTGCTTCTATCATTGGTTACATTTGTGTAATCACTCTTGGTTATGGTATAATGAATGCTCTTGGTTTCTAAGCATGTTTCTTCTATATATATATATATATATATATATATATGATTTTTTTTTTATTTGCATGATCTATATAGACCTTTTCAAAAGTTATTCTATTCTTGTTTTCTTAATGTTTCATAGTGTTTTAATTCTACGTTTATTTACATTTTTATTAAAAACAAATTGGGTATTCATTAAAATAATATAGAAGAATTGAAATAAATGTAATAAATGAATCATCAACTTTTATCGGGGCCTCCATAAAGATTCCATTGCACTTGTTGGAAAATACCTCTTAATTCCATTCTTTGCAAGATTCTTGCTAAAGGAGGAGCATAAACCGGATCCGTTAAAGCTACTTGAACCCCGGTACTTAAGACATTTTCCTTCTTCGCATCCGAATAGTACTTATTAGTATCGATATCATTTAATACTCCACTATTATAAACTTTGGAAACAAGTTCCAGAGCCATACCTTTAATTTCTGTATCATTGATCACTTGCAAAACAAGATAGGGAACAATTTGCGATTGATTTACCGCTTCTAAAATAGTATCGATTGAAGTTTCAGCTAGCCTTGAGTTAAGAACATGACTCACTATATTTTGGAAAAATTCTTTAGCAGTGCCTTCGTTATCATCTCTTGTATTGATTTTAACTGTTTTACCCTGATTTCTAACTTGATCCCAATTAGAAGCCTTACTAGTTGTATTTTCAATTAAATTAGCTAAAAATGGAACCGTCAAGTCTTTACCATTACCTAATTCAACTAATAATTTAGCAACCCAGGGGTTTCTAGCTAACATATCTCCAAGACAGTCAGAAAGGAAATTACGATATGGAACATTAAAGAAAAGAACATCCAAGGTTGAATTTATCACTCCACTTTTGATAACTCTTCTCATTAATTCGGTTGAATTAATATCAATTTTAAGAGTTGAATTCAAATGAATCCCATTTCTCAAAATATCAATGGTGGCATTCGCTATATTGTCGATCAGGGCTTGCGAACCAGCTATTTCATGTAATAAATCAATAATAATTCCTGACTGGTTAACCGATTGAAGTAAATCAGCAATAGTACTAGTTTGATCTCTCTTTTCAAAACTAGAATCCGTCATCCACAGTATTTGCTGCATGATTTCATCCAACATTGAGTACGGATTATCATCATACTCTTCTGGAATATCAAATGTATCTGTAGTGGGTATAGAAGTATAAGCAAATACACTGCTAATGACCAAGAACCAGGTTATTAATATACCAAAGGCCTTCATAATAATATCCTATTAAAAACTGTTTCTTTTGGGCTTTACAAAAAAAAAAGAGAAAAAAAGTGGTTTTAAAAAGTTTTTCGTCGTCTTACTACAACTATATTCCACAACCTTTGACCTGAGGAGGAGAGTCCTTATCCTGTTGTTGATGTTAATTTCAAATTTCCTATTAGAGTTGGAATACAAAAAAGGGCTAAAAACGGGCCGTATGCAGGACAACGAGAAGTTTGCAGATGATTTATTCCTGCTAATTACCACTACTGTCAGTATTTAGCAGGAAGTGATCGGCACTATCCAAGCACCGATGGCAAGCTAGCACCTGAAGATCCATTGTTGGACCACCAATACAAGTTCTTTGCTGCCTAAAGTAGACATGGAGAGTAGGAAATGAGCAGAGCATATTGTTCTCAGTCATATACCCAAATAGGAAATTTCTACTTAATTATGAAAATGTCTGAGTTGCAAAAAATGAAAGCTTTAACTTGTTTGGGTATTTTAATTGAATTAAGTTTTGATTCTTTTATATATCGTATAAGATCCCGGTAGAAAACCCTGAAGTTGTTCTTCTTGTTCTTTTCTAAGCCAAAAGCAAAAAAATGAAGGTAGTTTCGTTGATTAGTACGTTGTTCTGGTTATTCAGTGGGTTGGCTTGGGCCTTACCAATGGCATCTTCACTTGAAGATGGAGATTTGGAAGATATGATGATGCAAATCATTGATTCTAATAGCGAAGCATACGAATTATATGATTTTATAGATGATTCTTCACTTGCACTTGAGTCGATGGGATCATCGGATTTGTTTAAAAGAGATGTTAAAACAGTTTCGTCGCTATTAGAGACGGTTAATAGATCAGGAATTATTTTCGATGTTCTTGATGAAATTGCCGGACATCCCAGAAGAATTAGCCTCTTGGCTAATGCCACTGCTAGATTGATTAAATCTTTAGGTGGTAGTCTTGATTTATCCCTTTTAGAAGAAATTGGTGCTGGTTTGAATATTACTAATATTTATGATATCGTTAAGGATTCTGGTTTGGTTACTTCTATCTTGGATGGAATTCTTTTGGATGATAATTATAGACCGGTTTTGGTTAAATTGATCAAAAGAATTGCTGAAGCAAATAAATCTCTTATTGCTTATATTATTGATGATGTTTTCGCTGCTGCTAAAAAGAAGAGAGCAGATGATGACGATGATGATGATAATAGTAATGGGGGTACTTTGGAAACTTTTGCCATTAATATCGTATCTACCGTTTTATCTTCAAGACTTTTCACCAATATTGTTAATGACACTGTGGTAGCCTTGAATGATACTGGTATTGCAGTTTACATTGTTAAAAGAGCCATTGCTGATGAAAGTTATCAAAATATGACGGTTGAGCTATTCGATGATCTTAAAGATACTGGAGTTATTAAAATTGATAATTCTACTTTATCCAATCTTAATATTACTAAAATTGTTTCTAGTGTATTAGATAATCCAACCATGATTTTAAGACTTACAAGAGCTGCTTTAAGTGGTGACTTGAATTTGAGGCAAACTTTTGGTAAATACGCCGGTGCAATTAAAGATATCGTTAAAGATTTAGAAGATGATGGTTTATTCAGAGATTTGAATAATTACGTTTTCTCTACCGATTCCAATAGAAGAACTAGTTCGAGGTTGGCCGTTTCTTCTTCTTCCGCAAGATCCTCCACCTCCTCAAGATCAAACCGCAATCAACAAGTTAAAGCTGCTGGTTCCAATTCAAAATCCTCTGCAACCACTTCCTCTGACTCTGGTTCTTATAACATCCATCAACAATCAAAAACTCCAATAATAAAAGCTTTGATTTACTTCCAATCAGTATTATTTGGAGGTGCCTTATTACTATTCTGATTCCACCTTATAAAGTTTATTAATGTCATTTTTCAGTTCTTTTACGTCCTACATTTTTATTTGACTATTTTTCATATATGGTTTTATTTATTACCCCCCAAAAAATATATCCCTTCTTTAATGCTTTATCCTCTTCTATATCTCGTTTATAATACTCCTTTTCTTTCGGTTGAGTCGAGGTTAACCTTGACTTTTCAAGCTTTACCTACATTTTTTAGTTTCACCTTTTACCATTCTTTAATATTATAACTGTATTACTCAAAACAACTCGTTTTGTAGTTGCTGTAGGTGATTTGCTTTAATTCATACTTTGTTTATGACCTCAATTACATACCTACTTTTGTATCATTGCCCCTTGATCCATATAACCTCCTCCAATACCTTATCGTGGTCCCAGTAATGGGATTTATCTTTTAATTTCAGGTGCAATTTTATCTGAGAAGGAATATCAAGATAAAAAAAAAACAGTTCACTACTACATCCACCTCTTTTCGCTCAGTTGAGTCTATTTGTATAAGAATCAACGAGACCATTTGCCTCGTGGAGTATCGTAGCAAGGTCATCTCCGTGTTGCAAGTGGTTGTTAACAACCAAACTGAAGCGCATCATTTTGAAACTTTAAGAAATTTCAATCCTTGATTCTGTATATTTTTTAGAAATTATTCCTATTAGAAGTTATTCATATTGGAAATTATTCATCAAATACTCTGTTACCCATATCATTTCCCAAATAACTCAATCTTTGAAAGATATTCAGTGATGTCTTCTGAAGGTGATCGATCTCCAGATAAGAAAGATCGTGGGTTCCACAAAGTACAAAGTTCAGAACCTATGCCAAAGTGCCCTTTACAATTTGACTACGATGATGCCTCCTTGATCACCCCTCGAAGACTAGAGTCTTTTGAAGAAGAATTATCGCCAAAGAATTCAAATCTTGCCAATTATACTAGTACAACTAGTGAATTTAATAGAAATAGCTCACTTACTTCAAATCATTCCAATTCCAGCGTGGATTCAGTTACTGATATTGATGTAACTAATTTGAAGCTACCTTCTCAAGGTAATAACAAAACTTCATTATCTGCTCCCGTTACTCCTCTGCCGTTGGCAAGATGTAAACCTCAGGTCTCAAATCTGATATCTAGAAGGGCTTCGGAGTCTTCCTTGGGTAATAATATCAATAAATTTACTAAAAACTATATAATCCCCGCTGCAAAATGGGCTTATTCGCCAATTGCTAAGAAAGAACCAACTGAATCTAAATTTTCAAGAAATGATGATTATTCAATCGAGTACTCTGTCTTTAAACCAATTAGGGGGTTACCAACGATTAAAAATGCCCATGATCTTTTCAATCATTGGAAAGTTATACTAAATAATGAACATGATAGTCTAGATCATACTCTGGTAAAACATTTGACGCTAAACTATCCTGATAATCATATATCTCCGCAAGATTTTGACAACTTGATCGAGTCAATAATACATTCTATAGAAATCGATGATATTTCTCCTCAACGTATAAGTCAAGGATCTTCTGGTAGTTATTTCATTCGAAATAAAAAGATTATTGAATTTAATTTAGAGTATATATATAAGGCTGGTATCTTCAAACCGAAAGATGAAGAACCTTATGGTCCGTTATCACCTAAATGGACTAAATGGTTACATCGAACATTCTTCCCATGCTTTTTCGGCAGATCTTGTTTGATTCCGAATTTGGGTTACGTTAGTGAAACTGCTGCTAGTGTACTCGATGAATCTTTGTTATCATACATTGTACCACATACTGATATCGTTTTTTTTAAATCTTCTGCTTTCTATTACTCTTATTGGGACAGACATTCCAAATCACTACCTGCAAAAGTTGGGTCTTTTCAATTGTTCTTAGATGGATATATCGATGCACAATCTTGGTTTAAAAATAATCCGGTACCAACAGATATAAGTCATTTACCAGATAAGTACGAAGTTAAATTACGACATGATGAGGACATTAAAGATGATTATGAATTTCATTGGAGTAAAAGAAGCTTACAACAATTTCAAGAAGAATTAGAGAAATTGGTTATTTTAGACTACATAATGAGAAATACTGATAGAGGTTTAGATAATTGGATGATTAAAGTTGATTGGAAAAAAATAATTGTTGAAACTAAAAAAAATAAACATAATTATATTAAATTAGTACCAGTTATTAAAATTGGAGCAATTGATTCCGGTTTGGCATTTCCTTGGAAACATCCAGATGAATGGCGATCATTCCCATTTGGTTGGCTATTCTTACCACTTTCAATAATTGGACAGCCATTTTCACATAAAACCCGTAATCATTATCTACCATTATTGACATCTAAATATTGGTGGGAAACAACCGTTGTAAAATTGAAAAATGTTTTCAAGAAAGATTCTGATTTCAAGTCAAGAATGTGGTTAAAACAATTGGCTGTATTAAAGGGTCAAGCATTCAATGTTGTTGAAATTTTAAAGTTAGGTTACGCCGGGCCTTTAGAATTAACAAGAAGGGAGAATTTATTAATTTGGGATGATGAAATGAACGTTCCTGTTCATGTTGATAATCATGTATTGATCAATGCTATGGAAAGTAGCATATATGATTTGGGTCTACAACCTAGATACGGAGCTTTTAGTGATGAAAGATGTAAGACAATTTTTGAATCCGATGATGATGATGACGATGATGACGACGATGTTGAAGGGGAATTAGAAGCTGCATTCATACCGGGAAATCATAGAAATAAAAGGGATAAATTAGACGGTTTATCCAGTAGTTATCAAAGTATACATAGCGATATAGCTAAGAATGAAGCAATGAATATGTCAGGATTTGAATATAATTTAAGTTGTTCTAATGGGAGTGGAGTATTGAGGAAGGCTGAAGATGAGCAGACACCCTTGGTTAATTCAAGTGGTGGAGGAGGCGAAGAGACCAATACCAAGAAGGTTATAATTGAAAGATTAGAAAAAGTGAATGCCAAACCACCAGTTTTTACTTGGTGTTAAAAAAAATATATAAATAAATCTATTTATGAGAGATTTTAGCAAAATGACTAGGATAATCATTACTATCGATATTTTTGAAATCGGATTCATTAATTTTGACTAATCCAATTTCTTCTTTAATTTTGAATTGAATCATAGTTAATAGGGAGTATAAGATTTTCAAAGTAGGAGCATCAACCCCATTTCTATCGGCATATTTGATAGGATTACCCAAGATGACTTCTAATTCGAATAATTGTTTTTTACGTCTATCAATCAACATTGAAGGAGTATAAAACAAACCATCACCAATATGCATAAATTTAGATTTAACTGATTCATCAAGAGTAACCCCTTCACTTTTAGCAATTTTAATAATTTCACTCATTGCAGGTTCAAATAAAGATTTATTAGAATTATTAATTTGACATCTATTAACATCTAAATCAACGATTGTAGTTACGGTGTTTAAAGCCGAATTATAAATTAATTTTTGCCATCTTGTATGTTTAACATTTTCATCAAGTTTAGCCAAATTTTTAGACAAATCCTTATTTTGGTATAAAGAAATGAATTCATTAACTTTTGACATTGAAACTGAATTTGAAATATTTGGATTATTAAAATAACCAATTGTTAAAGTATCAAAATGAGAATTATAAACTCTACCATTTCCCAAATTAGTAGAACCAATTAAAGAAACCCCACTTAAGATAACATTATTTGGGAAACTTTCAATCATTGGTTCATCAATACCAATACCGTTTTGAATAAGGATGATGGTTGTTTTACCATCGGTAACTGCAGGTCTGACGATGTCTTCACAAGTCATTGACCCATCAGGGATGTTTTTAGTGGTCAACGCGATAAAATCAAAGGGACCGTAGTTATCCATTGCTTCATCAACACTTTTAGCGATATTATCTGGTTTAAAATTTTCATATTCCCCGTAGCATTTTGATTCAATGGAGTAACCTTGATTTTTGATAAGTTCGTGCTCTGATCGAACAACAAGCGTGACATTTGAATTACCATTCAATTGCAAGGCCAAAGCGGCAATGACCCCGACACCACCGGCACCAATGACTAAAACGTTTGGTTTGGACATGACTGGGAGGAAGAAATGAAAAAATTGAAAAAATTGAAAGGTGGAATTTGAGGGTTTTGATTTCTACAGGGGAGTTGAGTGGTGATGTACGGATGTTCTTTATTTAGGGTAAGTTATAGCATTTGAATACTCCAGGACCGGGGTATTCAAAAAAGGGTTTAGACTGGATGAGTTTCAATTCAAAGAACCTCATGGTGTCGGCGTCGTTGATTTGGCTTTGGATGAGTGAAGAGTCGTAGGTGAGTGGTAAGTTGTGGGCATTGCAATAGGCCTCCATCCCCAATTTGTGAGTCAATTGAAGAACGTTTGACATAATGGTGAGAGCTTGGTTGATTGATATTTCCAAGCAGTTGGGCAAGCTGGCATTCGAGTAGATTTTATCGATTAGTAAAGCCGAGAATAAGTCGCCTACGCCGGTGAAGTAGGATTTTATGACTGGGATTTTGAAAAGTTTAATTTGATTATTTTCTCTGAAAGCAACGTAGAGTAGGTCTTTCTCATTGGGGAAAAGGTTGAGGTTATCGTATAGACTGGTAATGATGACGTATTTTATATTGGATAAGCAGTTAATCCCGTTGATGAGGTCACTTTTATTATTAATTTTAAAGTCACATAAGAGTTCTAATTCAAATTGATTGGGAGTGATTATGTCGACGATGTTTTCGGTGATCAAGCTCTTGTATTGCTGAATACAGGATTCATTAACGTATAAGAACCCCTGGTCCCCCATCACTGGATCTAATAAGTATAATAGATCTGAATTTTGCTTGAGCATTTTAACATATTTGGTGATGGCTTGAATCAACTCGTCGTTGGGGATGTACCCGGTGATGGCGGCGTTGTACGAACCCAAGATTTGAATGTTAATCAACCCTTGGAATAATTGGTTTAGTTGATTTGCATCAATTGCTGCACCTTTGACTTGGCCATATCCAGTATGATTTGAAAAATTAACGGTGTTTATATTGTCCACGTCCCACCCCAACGTCTGCAAGGGGAAAGTGGCTGCCCTTCCGCCTACATAGCCATGACTGACATGAGATTGTATACTGATAAGGTTCTTCATTAATGAATGAAGAACAAGTTTTGAAGATTTTTCTTTGTAATTTGTAAAGTTTTTTTTTTTTTTTTCCATTTTCCAAAAAATATGCTTGCACCGGCTCGACTCCCACCAACCACCCTTCGGATTTGTTCATCCCCTTGCTAATAGAACCTCGTTAGCCAATTACCCAACTCATCATCGAAATTCCACAACCAGAAAAATCAGGCAGGCCAATTCCGCCACCAACCGTTGAAACGATAACCGTTAATGCTCATTATAGGGGACTACAGGAAACGACTCGCATCGTTTAAAATTACCAGCGACTGGAAATTCCCACTGTAAAACCTAGTCACCCGGCTCGTCAAATACCGTTTACTGGATCAAGGCGTGCGGCCGCCAATCCCACCGCCCTATCGTCAAGGTAAAAGAACAAAATTTAACCTTCAGTAAATAAGCCTAATAATAACCCTTCAAAGTGTATTCGTTAAAGGCGGAACCAATAGCTTCTATTCGATTATTAGACGATTTGACGAATTGACCTTTTTTTGACTGCAAAGTGCGACACGAGCCGACATTTCTGTCCAAGCCCGCGACATTGTCCCCCCGACATTGTGGGCGTGCGGGACCCGCTTTTTTTTGTTCTCGTTTTTCTTTTTGTTCTTTTTTTTTTGTTCGTTTTTGGCGGCGGCGGCGGCGGCGACAGTGGGAAGGTTGTTGAGCGGGCGCACGACCACGTTTTTCTTCTCTTTTTCTCCGGTTTTCTGTTGCAGAGGGGAGCAGTTCTAGACACCCTTTGTTGGTGGGTTTACCTGGCTACAGTTAGCACACGAAGAGGAAGATGTGCTACCATAGGCAGCGTATTGTATAGCGTGTTGTATAGTGTATATTGTATAGTGTATATTGTATAGTGTATATTGTATAGTGTACAGTGTAAGGTATAGTGTAAGTAGAATGTGGAAGAGGTTCTCGTGATCCCGATTGCACGAGAGTGGCGTGCGATCCGGATACAACAGACGTTCATTCTTGTTTCCCGAAAACTTTGTGTTTATTTTGGAATCAAGTCAACTCCTTCCAAACCTTCACTAAAAATATCTTGCCAATATATATATAAGGTTGAAATTCTTGATTTAATCTTGTTTGAGTAGAGTCCAATCATTACATTTCCTCTGCATCCTGATCTCATAATATGTCTGCTTCGTCCACTGCTGCTGCTTCTCCCATGGTTGATATTTCAATCGATGCTGTTGACGCTAATTTCAAGTCCACCTTACCCCCAAGAAAACGTGCTAAGACCAAGGAAGAAAAGGAGCAAAGAAGAGTGGAGAGAATATTGAGGAATAGAAGAGCTGCTCATGCTTCGAGAGAAAAGAAGAGGAAGCATGTGGAATACTTGGAAAGTTATGTTATCAAGTTGGAGTCCAATTTGAACAATTTACAAGAGAATTTCAATTTGGTGAAGGACCAAGTGGATTTATCTAATTACTCTTTAAAACCATTGAATGATTTGAGTGATTTGAAGGATAAAATACATGCCAACTTGAACACCTCGGTTGCTAATGAAGAAGAAGAAGGGTCTTGTAAACGAAGAAAAATCGACGCTTCTCCCCCCATGATTAAGAGAGAAGAATATAAGGAAGACTACAAGGAAGACTACAAGGACGACTACAAGGACGACTACAAGGATGACTACAAGGAAGAATACAAGGAAGACGAGAAAGATGATTTTGAGGACGATGCTACGGAAAAGGAAGACAAGTCTTTTATCAAGAAGGAAGATGAATTATTGTCGGTGAACAATAACGATGGGTACATGAATTACTTATCACCAATATCAATCAACTCCCCGATCAATTCTCCCATTGATTTGACCATTAAGAAATCGGAGGATGATTTACCTCAGTTGTCTTTGGATTCCAATGAAAAGGGTTATGATTTAATGGGGCAAAATTCAGAAGTGATTTTGTTACCAAAGATGAATACTTTGGTGTAATTTTAAGGGCCCTCGCTCATTTCTAGTTGCGAATTGGAAAAAATTCTGCACCTATGAGAATTTGCTCTCTGCTGGATATGTAACGTATATTAACCTGGAGTCGGTGTTTCCAGTAGGAATCCTTCTTTAGGTTAATATACGTGGGACTACATTGGCATAGAAGTAGCTTGTTGTCATGGTTTAAGGAAATGGCGGTGCCCAAAATATTACCTCCCACGTATTTCGTCGCTTTTGGTCTGCAGCACCAATCATACCCGATTTATTGGAATACCAATCTAACGAGATTCACGATTCTTATGAATTTAATAATTTATTTAATGGCTTTATCAATTTTGATGCCTTTTTGTCATCCTAAGGTTTGTTTTATTGGGTTGTTTGCTGGTGTTTCTTTAATTCTCCTAATTTATTGTTCTATGTGTTAATACTTTTGTCTTCTTATGGGTTTATTTTAAGATCGTTTAAAAATGAAAAAAATGTAAAAAAAAAAAAAATAATTGAAAAAACTTGAAAAAAAAAAAAAAAAAAAAAAAAAACATCAAAAACATCAAAAAAAATGCTCTTATTGATGTGCTATGGACGTCTTGTTGGTGTCTACATCTACTTATTCCCCTGAACAATCGGTTCATCCAGGTTAATCTTGCGTTTGCAATTTTTCCTCCTTTTGGCGCTCCTACCCCCATTGTTGATGCGACTTGGAAAAATTGGTGAAGGTGAAATTGATCCAGTTTGGCTGGAAATGTTTATTGTTATAAGTTAATATATGTTTATTGTAAATCAGATTGTAAGTCAGAATTGTATTGAAATTTTACTTGAGCAATGTCTCCAAAGATTACTACTAAACTGATAACGCGTCCGTATTCTTTCACTTTGATCACCCTTAAACCAAGGCTGTAAATTTCACTTAATTCTTTCAATTGCTCTAAATTGGTATTTCTGGGTAAACAAAATGCCATATTTCGTGTAATTGGTATTATACTACTTATTAACCGGTCTAAATTTAATGGCTCCATTGTGTAAACGTCAAATTTTTCCCCCTTCACTTTATAACTTGGTCCCCCCCAGGGTGGTGAACAATATATGAAATCAATATTGTGGAATTGTTGGTGGATCTCGTTCCAATCTCCTGTTATTGGTTCTATCTTGTCTTCAACATTGTAGATGGCGGCATTATGTAGAGTACATCTTACGTTTATTGGATTTATATCAATTGCAATCACTCGCTCAAACTCTTTGGCAAATTGTATAGTATTGCCTCCGCCTCCACAACATAAGTCAATAACCTTGTACTCGTCTTTATTCAAATGGTTATCAAGTAGCTCTTTCATTAATTTGGCAGTGAATTTGGCAGTGCATTCCGGCGTTATCGAATACCATAGCTCACTGGTCATATATATCCCTTCGTCATATTTACTGAATATGTCGTACCGTTTCCTCCAAAACTTCTTCACTGAACTAGGTAACGTGTGCAACGTATGCATCAACAACTCATCCTCCATCTTCAAAGTTGTAGAATTCTTTTGGTTCTTGGGCTTATTCTTTTGTTTTTTTTTTCGTTTTTTTTTATCTCGATGAGTTGCAAATTTTACTTGATATTAACTACTCATACATTATTATACAAACAAAATTACATAAACTTATTTAAATCTTCCACACTTTCTTATCACCAATCATAATGATTTGATCTTGTTCCATCTTATTGAAATAAACCTCGATTTCCTCGTTGGTGTACACGTCTTCTTTCTCTAATCCTTCGTTTATCAATTCAATCGTATCCTCAACTGGATATGATGCATCAATGTTTTCGAAAACATCACTATTCAATATCCTACTCATGATTCTTTGGAATTGTACATATCTTTCATTATTGAACCCGGTGTTGTCTTCGCTCCTGGCCAGCTCTTGTAATGGTTCACTAATATTCAAATTATGCATTTCTTCTTCCACTTCTTCTTCCGCTTCTTCGACTTCTTCCTCTTCGTCCGCTTCTTCGACTTCTTCTTCTTCGTCCGCTTCTTCGACTTCTTCTCTTAATTCAGATCTCATGTTTTGTCTGGTGGTTCTAGGAGGTGGTCTCGTCACTATTTCATCTTCACTTTCTTCTTCACTGTCCTCTTCCTCGCTTTCCTCTTCTGCCACTTGTTCCTCTTCTTCAATATTAGCCTTACGTCTCTTGGAAGTAGATTTTTTAGGAACCTCTTTGAATAACGCATATTTCAATAATTCAGAGGCGACTTTAGCATCCTTCACTTCAATGGTCCTGGATAATCTAACCTTAGCATGGGCAGTGGATAAACGAATTAAAGTTTCTAATGTTCTGGCAGTAATTGGGGCAGTATTCTTTTGATTATTTTCCATCATATCATTTCTTAAATCAGTGTAAGTTCTAATTATATAAGTAGATGCCTTTTCAGTTAATTGAGGCTTTATTCTTTGTTTTGCATATTGAACATATTTCTTTAAAAATGGAATCGATAAAATCGTTGGGGTTTTATTGGTTTTATTATTGACTCCGGCGTGTAAAAGGGAATTAAATTTTTCAAATATTGGTTGTTCTAATTCTTCTTTTTCATTTGTTTCATCATTACCTGCTGCCAATGATAATCCACTTTTTTCCCTGATTGGTTCTCCTTCTAATAATCCCGGTTGAATAAATCTATGCATTCTTAATACATGTTCACTAATAATTCTATCTTTAGTTGGTTGGACATCATCAGTAACAACAAATAATAAATCAAAACGTGATAATAATGAATCCGGTAAAGCGATATTTTTATGTGGATCTTTATGAATATCATATTGTCCAAAAACTGGATTTGCTGCTGCTATCACGGAACATCTTGCATTCAATGAAGTATGAATCCCTGCTTTAGCAATCGTAACAGTTTGTTGTTCCATAACTTCATGAATTGCTACTCTATCAGTATCAGACATTTTATCAAATTCATCAATACAAACAATTCCTCGATCAGCTAAAACCATGGCACCAGCTTCTAATCTTCTTTCCCCGGTTTCTTTATCACTGGTAACTGCAGCTGTTAAACCAACCCCGGAAGAACCTCTACCAGTGGTGGCAATAGCTAACGAAGCAGTATTTAAAACAAATCTTAATATTTGAGATTTAGCTGTAGATGGATCACCAACCATTAAAATATTAATATCACCTCTTAAATGAGTACCGTTATCTAAATTTTTTTCATTCCCACCTAATAACATCAATAAAACTGCCTTTTTAATATAGTCAAATCCATAAATTGAAGGTGCCAATGAAGTTGATAAAATATCAAAAATTTTACGATCTTTCGATAATTTATTAATATTTTTAATATCTTGATCAGTTAATTTTTCTTGAGATGCAACCCCAGTGGATCTAGCATGTAATGGGTATACTGCATTAGCTAACACAATGGTCTTGAAAGATCCACTATTATTACCACCTCCTCCTAATGCACGATAAACCCCAACCACTTGAATACGATCACCCGGTTTTGTTAAATCAACCAAATCATCATCAACAATAACATCAACAGATCTAGGTAATTGACCTGCTGGAGCGGTTTCGGGCATTTCTTGTATACTAATTCTTTGATGGTCTCTATAAGTTGAATAACCATATTCAGTAGTTAACTTATTACCATCAAAATCTTCCGTGGGATAAATAGCTGGAGTGGCAATCGGATCAAAAGATGTGGTTTGATCTCTATACTCCCTAGCATGAAACTTACTAGTTGCCTCTGCATAATGAACTGATCTAATAATTTTTGGACGTACTAATGATGCTCTAGTAACAATACCTTCAATAGAAACTAATTTTGATAAATGGTTGGAAGTAATGGATCTTGGTGTCAAATGGTGATCCCCTAAAGCACCTCTGAAAGATATATAAAACTGCTGATCTTCTTCCACTTCTTCAAACCTATGATCGTTTGGATCATAAACAACTAAAACCGTATCTCTCAATGCTCTTTCACAAGCCGGTAAGTAATCGACAGGACTGTTCAACAATCCGTTCCAGAACCCCTTATCGAACTCTCTAACATCATCAAGAGAAACGTTTAATCTACATTTCCCCTTCATAAGCATATCCTTAATCTCATTTCTATAACTGGAGTTATTTTCATCAATTCTATCCAAAAACTCTTGGAATCTTCTAACCCTTTCACCGAAAACAGCGTCAATTGGCGCTTCCATAGGTTGAGTTGAGCTATCCATCCTTTATACCTTAATCGATAGCACTAACGTAAAGAAAAGATGAAGGTATTGAAATGAAAAACGAGCTTTTTTTTTTTTTTTCGAGAAGAGAAGAAAACGCTCACACAAAAAAAAAAACAACGCTACCAGACGCGTCTAATTATTTATCCCAATCAGGTTAAATTTGTCCCCCAAGAAGCCAAATCGCCTAATTGGTGCAAATTGTCATGTTCTCTACAAAACGTATAGCTGCAAAAAATCGAATTTATTGTTACATGAAGATCTACTTAAAGGGTCCATCCTTCGAGGTAAGTGGAAGGAGAATCACTCTTTGAATCAAAGATGTTTTCCCATTCTTGGTACTCCAAAGCAGCATGGCCTTTGTATTTTCTTATTTTTTCACTTTCTAACAAAGTGATATAACTCCAATCTAAAAAGTCTTCCATGTTGTAACTTGGTTTTCTGAAGGGCTCACTAAAGATTTTGGCCAAAGTGGCAATATTGGGATGATAATGAGACATTAATGTTTCTAATTCCCATAAAGATGAACCCATGGCACCAGTTTTCAAAGGATCGGTCTCATTTAGATCAAACGGATCAGAGTAGTCGGAATCTTTTGATTGCTCGGAGTTATGGATCAAGACCATACAAGAAGGATGTCTTTTGAGAAGATTGTATACGAAAGGGATAACAATAACCACCCCACCGGCGGATGCAGTTAAGGCTAGTCTAGCTAATTTTTTGATGAAGGATGCAACAAGCTGAGCAGCTAAGTGAGTGGAAGAAAGGAAAAGGTCGCAAAGTCTGAAAAAACGAGAACGATAACGAGTATATAATAATTCTGGAGTTAATAATGAGTATAATTTTGTATAAAAATCAGGATATTCTAAATTATATTTTTTCATAAGTTCATATAAAGAGTTTAATGCAAGAATTGGAACTGCGTAATCGTCTTCAACGTTATAAGAATCAGTAAGGAAATCCATTAATGTAGCTGGTTGTGCAAGATTTGGTATTATTCTTTTATGTAAGATTGATAATACTGATTTATATTGGCTTGTTAATAATGGATATGATAAAATTGTAATGAAAGATTTTTGGTACTGAGTTCGGAAATGAGGTGCTTTATAAGCAATTGATGGTAACTTATTTGGTATCCAAGTAGGTTGATCTTTTAAAATCTCTGAATCTTGAGAGAAAAGTAAATTATTACGCATAATAGTATAAAAATTTGCAAAAATCAATTGTAATTCATTTGCTGTTTTAACATTTTTCCATTCACTTAATATTTCATTTAAATTGTTAACAAAATAAAATTGTAAATCCCAATTTTTTTGGAAAAATTCATTAAATTCTAAAATTATAAAGTTATCAGTTGACCCGTCACTTAAGATTTCTCCGTTCACACTTTCTAACAATGATTGAACTAACTTCAAGTACGTGGTATTAGCGAAAAATAAATCTTTTGCTCCTGATTTCATATATTCCGATTCTAGCTTAATCAAATTGAGATATATTTCTAAAACATCGATTTGTAATGATGTTTCATATGCAAGCCTATCCTTAAGGAAGTTCCTTATACCTTCTTTATACTGTTCATATTTACCTGATAACCATTTGGCAACTAATTGTTTCTTCTCATCATTAGACTTTTTTGGTATTATGGCTCCTTCTTTGAAAAGACCTTGAAAAGCTTTGAATAACGAAACCGCAAGAAGACGACCAATGGACTCTATCTCTTCATTCTCCTCTTTTTGTAGTTTAGCTCCAACTAGTTCAAATTGCTCTATTAAGGAAACAAGATTATTGTAATGTTTAGCTGATGTGATGACTTCTTTAGATAACTCTTCGATCTTTCCCGGACTCAAAAGCTCATTTTTCGTTTCCTGGCTTTTGCTCTGTTTCTTGGTAGATCCTGCTCTACTACTACTCTTCCTCTTGGGTGCCATACTAGTATACTGCTGGTTTTTCAATCTATATCCTATTCAAAATACTTTCTAAAAGTACCCTAATAGAAAAAAAAAATCTTTCTAAGATGAGTTTTCCTGTATACAAGCTGCCAAAATGAGCGGTTACCCGCACGCACTTTTTTGACTATAAAAGAGACCAAAGATCCTTTGAAATGTTTTCAACATTTCGTTTACCTTTTGATTTCTTCATATGACCTTCCAAGTTTTATACAATATGATGAAATCTCGCGTGTTCACATGACTATTCCCTTCGGAGTTGAGTCTGTTTCTTCGGGAACGGATTCCTCTGGAAATTTGCTTCTCCGTACGGAGAGGTTGGGTTTAATTGGTGAAGGTGTTTGGCGCACCCTATCTTGTTACATTTTAACAAACGCTTAAGAGAACTTCTGACCCCCCTTCAGTATGAATTCTTGGAATTTATGGTTGTAAAAATATACGTAATTGATTCAATATTGTTTTGCAGGTAACTTGAGAGCGACCGCTCAAGTTCTCAAATCAGTTGCAGTTGCAAAAGATGATTCAATTGATTAACTAAGGGCGTAGAATAAATTAAATAAGATACGATGACTGCGTATTATGAATACTATTATAAGTATCCAGAATGAAATACATCTTGAGTTTCATTTCATTACTGATGCGTTCGATTACGTCTCTTACACTATTATCGGTAATATTATTGCATTAACAAAATTGAACTAATTATACAAGTTTTATGAAAACGGTAAGATGGGTAAGTGATGAAAAGTGATAATGACATGTAGATAGATTGCTTAAATGAAAGTTTCGTATGGAACTGGAGCTAAAGTTTGAGGAACGTTACCTTCGGTAGAGATAACTCTAGCTTCTCTTGGTTTAGCTGGTTGTCTTTTTAAGTAAACTTGTTCACCTTTAGCTTTGGCTTCTCTTTTCAAAGCAGCATTGGTTTTGACTCTGTTCAAAAATTCTTGACGACAAGCAGAGTGTTTAACATGTTCAATTCTTAAGTTAACTCTTTTTTCGATGTATCTGTTACCAACAACTTTGTTAATGATAACACCAACAGATGATTTAGTAACATTGTAAACAATACCAGTTTTACCGTGGTAGTATTTGTGTGGCATACCCTTTTGGACTGCACCGTTGGCTTTGATATCAACAATATCACCAACTTTGTAAGTCTTCAAGTAAGTAGATAAAGCAATAGTACCATGCTTTTTGAAGTCACGTTGGAAAGCGTAACGAGTACCTGATCTGTAACCGTGTCTATTGAAATATCGTTAGTATATGAACCCTAATAATCATTCCCCGCTTATAGTACATACGATTTACCCATTGTCGTTTATGATTCTCTATAGATCTATACTATCGGTAATTCAAATTACCAATTTTTCAAGTAGTTTTAAAATTTTCAACAAAAAATTTCGAGTGCGAATAAATCGTGTCACGTGCGCAGGAAAGATGGCTAGGGTTGGTGCCCTTGTTCGAATGCTACATGCTAATATAACACTGCCCATCCGTCGACATGATTAGCTGGTTCCAACATTATGTTGTCCAAATGCTACAGACTGCTGTTGCCCATAGTGAGTAGTGAAATTTGAAGCTACAGAAAAAAAAAATATCTGAGAAAAGGGATCCCTCAACATACTGCTTTTTTTTTTTGGCTGCAACAGTTTGAGCTGCTCAACATCAACATTCCAATACATTGAAAAGCATGGGAACTCTGTGTAGAAGCTCTGTTTGGGCCACAGAAGAAGCAAAAGAAGAAAAAGAAGAAGTAATAAGATCAGAAGTACAGAAAGATAAAAAGAGAGGCAGAGGTAATAGATATCAAAATCCTGCATATAGCTAAAAGGTTGAAGAAAACAAAAAGCGAAGACCATCAAAAGGCTGGGAACAAGTAATCTACAGAACCGGCTCGAAAAAACAAAGTAAATGACATCTAAATCCAAATTTCTCGTACTTAATCCCTCTTCCGGGAACTTGGATAACGTACTTGAAAAAGCCAACCTTCAAAACACGAGAAATGGGCCATTTGAAGCAGTGCTTTTGTTAGGTGATGTAATCCCTGCTAACCTACAGGTACCCCAAACAAAACTTGATGCACCAGCATATTTCTCCAAAGGTAAACATGACATTGGTTTTGCTTACGAAGAAGATGAGGCGACGAATCTTGTTGATTTGGATAAAAATTTAACGTATATGAAACGCCCATTGACAATATATAAGCTTGCAACTGGAATTACTATTGCATTTATGTCAGCTGAAGCAGAAAAGGAGCCGGTTTCTACTGAGGTTAAAGAGCAATTACAGCACACTTCTCCAGTGGACATTCTAATAACATATTCCTGGCCCTACGTCATTGCAAGAGAGGAGAAATTGTCTACTGTTGGTAATAGATTTGTTGATCAGGTGACTGAACGACTCCAACCCCGTTATCAGTTTGCAGTAGGAAATGAAAGGGGGAAATTTTTTGAGTTCAAGCCGTTTAAATGGGATAATACCGACAGAATAACCAGATTTATAAGTTTGGGTCAAGAAGGAAGTGGAGATAAATGGTTTTATGCATTTGGATTAGACATTAAGACAATTAATGTTGATGTTAATTTGGGAGTAAACCCATTTGCAAAAGCAGTTGAACCACCGAAAAGAAGTATTGAAACAGTGGAAGAACCAGATCAAGAAGTTCAAACTATTAAGAAACCGAGAATTGTAAATCCAGATCAGTGTTTCTTCTGTTTATCGAATCCAAAAGTTGAGACCCATATGATTATCTCTATTGGTACTAATGCGTACTTAACTGTGGCCAAAGGTCCACTTACCAGACCTTCGAAAAACTTGAAATTCTCCGGACATGCAATCATAATTCCTATCGAGCATATTCCAACAATACGTAAAACGTCTACCAATGTTATTGAATCTGCTGTATATCAGGAAATTGAACAATATAAGAAAAGTTTAGTTCGGGCATTTTTAGAACAGAAACCACAGTTTAGGTTGGTATTCTTTGAGATCAATAGATTAGATAATATTCATCAACATATTCAAGTTCTACCAATACCTAGTGAACTTGTTGATACCCAATTTCCTAAAGCATTAGAAGAAAAAGCTCGAATAAATAACGAAGAGTTTAATAAGAATCATAAATTGAATTTCTTGAGATTTGATAATGATAGTGATGACGAATTCAAGAGAATCATTACAAGTTCTGATTACATTTCATTTACAATATATACCGGAGAAAATGAAAAAATACATTGGATATCGGAAATCAACGAAGCCAAACCTGTTGATTTACAATTCCCAAGAAGAGTTCTTGCATTCACTTTAAAATGTCCTAAGCGGTTATACTGGGATAAATGTCAACAACCAAAATTTAAAGAAACCACCGATTGTGAAGAGTTTAAATTTTTTTACAAAAATTATGATTTTACGGCATAAATTTATATTTGATATGTATCACTAAATCTGATTTAATTCACTAATACATCTAGTACATGCACAATCAAAGAACCATTCTTTTAGATCTTTTCTTCTAACCTCGACTCTTTCTTCAGTTGAGTAACCGTAGTTGATACATAATTCTTCCTTTGGATTTATATCTCTTAAAGTTGTAAAAGTAAGCTTATTACCAATACGTTTCTTGATAATATTTGGATCACAAGAGTGATTGAAAAATGATGCAGTCGGATACACTGCATAACCGAAAAATTCTTTATCTTCTCTGCTTTCATCGATGACATTCGACCATACACCAAATGCATTACTGAGTTGTCTACCTATAATATTTCTAATTGAATCAGTATTGATGAATTTTTGTAATAAAGGATGAGTAGTCAATTTTAAAAACTTATAAATATTAACGTATGAATAAACAAGATAAGGATACCTATTAACTTTATCCAATTCGTTTGACTGTAAAGCTTCAAAACTATCAAGCTCAAATTGATTTCTTTCATCAAAATCACAGTCTTTCAAAAATTTCTGTTCACTCGACTGTGCTTGTTGGTATTTATAATATTGAAATAAAATTCCAATGATGTATTTGACTTCAGTATATTCACTATCCGAGATTCTCGGTATCATGTTCTGTCTTTTACTTATCTTCGTACGCTCAAGAGATCCTTCCCATTCCTTAACTGAATTCCATTCATTTTTTATATGCTCTATAAGAGACTTCTCTTTTGAAGGCTCCTTTAATTCTACCTCTGGTTTTTTCAACCCTTTATTAAACCATTCTTCCACTCTCAATAAACTTTCAAGATATATCTCGTCGATATCATGCTCTTGAAACTCTTCTAAACATTGCTGAGTACAAAAATATAATGAAAACTGGCTCCCCACGTTTTCCTTCCCAAGCTTGAACTTCAAAGTCTTACCTTCAAAATACTGGAAACATAACGAACAAACTTCCTTTTTGAACTCTCTTAGTATAGTCGAACTCAAAGGATTAGAGCAACTAGCAATCACCGTATCCTTTGGAATTAGCGAATACGCAAAGCAACCACGACCACCATACTTAGTCTCATCGACCTTGAAATAAGGTGAGATGAGATCTAGTTGATCGTTGCTTGACTCGATAAGAGTAGCTTCTTCACTCTTAACTGACTCCACACACATAGCAGCCTGTTTCTTCCTTCAATACTTATCTTCTAGAAAGAAAAATGCTTAGTGTAACGAAGACACGAACTCAAGATGATTTAAAAGAAAAAAACTTCTTTTGGGACCAAAGGAAAAAAATATACTTTCTTCACACTAAAAACAAAAAAAAAAAAATAGACAATGCGACAATGCGAGATAACGGGTAGAAAAAAAGAGATAAAGCCTCTATTAAATGAGGCGGTTGGCGATGATTTGGAATGAAAAGAGTACAGCAGATATCCAAGATCACTATTGTTAGGTCGTAGGAACGGAGAAATGCCCATGCTGAAAGATTATCCAGCACTGAGGGATGGTTGTGGTCTTGTAGAGGTTTTTGTAAGATTATTGACAGTGATTTACGAGAAGTTCCTGCAGCTGCGAAAAATCTACTTTTTTGACAAAGTTAACTCTATTTATTCGGTGTAGAGGGTTTAACGGGAGTAGTAGGAATACATAGGTAGAACTGAAAAGAAAAAGAAGGAGGGATGCGGTCAGATGTGCTTCAAGTCTGAGTTATGCTCGAAATGCTTTCTGGCATGGGTAAACCAAATGATCAAGGCAATCAAAAAGGTGATTCCCAAGACTGCACAGGCGTAATTCATGTTACTGGAGGTGACAGGATAGTATAAGGGGAAGTTCAACCACACCATTATGAAGCAGCCCCAGCAGACTGCGATGATGTTCAAAGGCATACCAAAACGACCCAAGTTGAAATAGGGGATGGCCCCACCGTATTGATCTGAGAAACGGGCATAGACAGAGGTTGAAAGCTTGGAACGATAAAGTAATAAGGAAATGGGGACAATATAGGATAAGTTGACACACACCATTGAGGAGGATAACACTGCTGATAATGCGGTAGAAGAGCCAAAGATCATGCAACCCAAGATTAGAAGGATTAAAAGAACGAGTACTAGAGAGTTGATGGGGACTTTCCAAAAAGGGTGAATTTTGCCAAAAAAAGATTTCCCCCAGGGTAAACCTTCAGAATTGGCAAAGGCCCAAAAGAGACGGGAAGTGGAAAGAACGTAACCGATTAACGAAAGGTAAAAAGTGGCAATTAAGAAAAACACCCCGGCAGTTGTTAAGGGAAGCGAGTTTAAAGAGTCCAAAAGCAATTGAACAATTGGTTCACCACCGATTGGAGTTAAAAGATTGTTAGGATTTGAAACACAGTACATATAAATAATGCCTGAAATAAATGCAAAAATAGCCAGAAAAGAATTAGCAATGGTCATGACCAAAGGAACATTTCTGCTTGGATCCGGAATCTCGTCCGTTTGATGAGAAGGACCTTCAAATAACGTTACACAGGAGATTGAAGGAAGCAATCCAAGGAAAAAGGCCACCCCGTTAGAAGACCATCCGGATTCATTTATGAAGTCCTTCCAGACCACCTGATTCGACTGCTTGTTCGGAGTCCGTACAAGTAAAGTTATGAGAATGTAAAGGGTCCCGGCGTTAATGATTGCAGCAGAAACATAAGTGAGGACCGGCAAACAATTAACTGCAAAAGCATTAACTGCACAAGCAGTTAATACGAAAGCGGCATAGATCAAGTAATAATGCCAATCCTGTGCAATATAACCTGAATTATGAAGTTCAATTAGTGAAATAACAAACATAGATAAGGTATAGCAAGTCGTGAAACACGCAAATATCCAAGCAGCACAAGAAAGCACCCCGGTGGTGAAAGATAATCCTCGACGGTACTTAGTGGGGGCCAAAACGTTGGTCCAGTGAACTTGGGCAGCAGAATTGGGCCATCTTGAAGCTAGTTCTGCCAACGAGAAGCAGATCACCAAATCAAGTGACACTGCAAGAATAAATCCATACAACAACCCAGGAGACCCTCCAATTCCAACCACCGTAGATAAAAAAGTCCCTAGAGCAATTGGCGAACAAATAAGAGATACTTGCAACGCAACGGTATTCCATAAACTGAATCTTTTAACAAGACCACCACTACTTTCTTCAATTTGAATCAAAGTAACGGTGCCCACTGCCTTTTCATTGGCTGCTCCCGAACCACTTTTAACCAAATCACTCATACTAAACGTGACTTACATGTATAAAGACTAATCTACTGCGGATAACCAATTATATAAACCTCTTCCTTGAAAAGAAAACTTCCCCGACGTATGCCGCTTTCTTCACAACAATAGTACAATATCCAGGTACGAGATTTTCATCATCTAAACCTGTCTTTATCTTGAATCTCTACATGGTACAAGCCTTTCGAAGTAGTTTGCCGACTACGATAAGATTATCTTTATCGCTTAAGCGCTAAACAAAATCTATTCCGCCCCCGCCTTTTCTTTTCCAGTCTGGCCGCTGGCCAGGATCGAAGCGGTACCGTTCCAAATTGACAGCAAAGAAGCGGTCCGTTGCATCCAATATCCCGAGCTCAGGGAGCCACTACACTGAGGCGAGCAGCCCCCCTACCATAACTGAGGAGAAGCTTTGCATTTAGTCAACGCACTTAGTCCCAGTTAAAGGATCATAAGCCGAAGGGATTTCCCGCTAATTTCAAAGAACGGAATATTTCCATTCCTCGAAAAAACCACAAAATACACCAAAAAAATCAAAAAAAATCAAAAAATCGTAAAGTGATCGAAAGTCTAAAATCAAAAATCAAACCAGAAACCGTGCAACAATTAAGCAAGTTGGGAATAAGGACTGTAGGCTCTTGGAGGGGGACACCCGCTAACCAAGTCAAGCTGCTTGACGTATTTTTTGTTATTTCAATTCCTTTTGTTTTTCTTTGTTGCAAGGCATTTGGTAGTGCACCGATGCGCAGATTACTGCGATGATGCTGCCTTATTGGGCAGGACTGGTATTGATAGTGGAGCAAGAACGACAAAAGAAAAGATAACTGCAAGTTGGTTATCAATAAGTCATAATTAGCTAACGGTGACAAGACTTTTTTTTCCTTTTCATCTTTGTAGGGTATCCTGGAGTAGACTTAGATATAAAGAGGTGCAAAAATCTCGTTATAATTAGCGGGAAGCTTTTGAAGTACTGCAAAAAAAAAGAACAAAGTATGGATATTGGGGAAAAATCTAAATCTGGTAAAGATAATACCAGTATTTCTGTTGATGTTGAAAGAATAGGCTCGGTTGATCGTCATTTGATTAAGACGGGGTTCAACGATTTTAATGATCTTGTTGATGAAGAGAAATATGGTGGTGTTAAAAGAAAGTTAACCGGTAGACATTTGAGTACTATAATTATTGGTAGTAGTATTGGTACTGGGTTATTTATTGGGATTAAATCACCATTTCAACATGGTTCACTTTCATTATTTTTGGGTTTTATTATTTGGGCTTGTCTAAACGTTTATCCACTTATGTTGGCTGTTGGTGAAATGGGATCATATCTTCCAATCAAAGGTAGTTTTATTCATTTTGCTGCAAGATGGGTTGATCCTGCTCTTGGTTTTGCTTGTACTATCATTTATGTCTATACTTGTTTGATGTTTATTTGTGTTGAATTGACTGGGTTTAGTAGTTGTATAGGATACTTCACTGATGTTAATCCCGGGGTGTTCATTGCGGTTGGTTTAGTAACGATCTTTGTTTTCAATACCATGGCTGTTAATTTCTATGGTGAAATTGAATTTGTTGCTACTTTTCTTAAAATTTTTTTAATTATTGGTCTTATGTTATTCTCTTTAATTTCAATGTGTGGTGGTAATCCAAAACATAATGCTTATGGTTTCCAACACTGGACTGAAGGTGGTCTCTTTAGACCTTATCTTGTTGGTGGTGCCACCGGGAAATTCTTAGGTTGGTGGAATACTCTTATTTATGCTGCTTTTGCTTGTGGTGGTGCCGATATTCTTTCATTGGTTGCTTTTGAAGTGTCTCAACCTCGTAAAAGTATGGGGATTGCTGCTAAACGTTCGTATGTTAGAATCTATCTCTTTTATTTTGGTGGGATCTTTTTCATGAATTGTTTAATTGCTTCAAATGATAAAAATTTAACTAACGCTACCGAATTAGGTTTGGTTGGTGCTGCCGCTTCTCCTTGGGTTATTGGTATTAGAAATGTTGGTGTTCATGGTTTAGATGCTTTGGTTAATGTCTTGATTATCTCTGCCGCTTGGTCTTGTGGTAATGCCTTCACTTATTCTGCCACTAGATCAATTTATTCCGGTTCTTTAGCGGGTTATTTACCAAGATTTTTCTCCAAATGTTTGAAAAATGGTTGTCCTATTTATTGTGTCCTTTTCGCTATGCTTGTTGGCTGTTTATCATTCTTAAACGTTAAAAATTCAACTAACGTTGTTCTTAATTGGTTTATTAATTTGGCTACCACCGGTATGATTTGTACTTATACCGTTATTTGGCTTAATTATTTCAAATTCCGTAAAGCTTTGAAAGCCCAAGATAAAGAAGATGAATTCAATCAAGGTCCTTATTATAAAATGCCAAAATTCATTCGTATCTATTTCACTCCTTTTGCATTTTTACTTAATAATTTAGTTTTAGTCTTTAATGGTTTCTGGGTATTTTTCCCAGGTAATCTTACTGTTGCTAATCTTTTCACTTCTTATTTTGCTCCAGTTTTCTTTGTCATTGTCTATTTCGGTTGGAAAATATTAAAAAAGACTCATATCAGAACTAATGAAGAAGCTGATATTACAACTGGTAAATCCGAAATTGATGATGAAGAAGAAATGGAAAGACAAATTTTGGAAACTAAAGTTAAAAGAAAAGGTTTCTTCTGGTCTTGTTGGTATAAATTTAGTGCCTTTGCCTTTGAATAACCTTTTCCCGGTGTTTTATTCCTCTCCTTAATGTTTATTTAATTCTTCTAATGTATAATAGTCGGTAATATTTACAATAGTGTAACAGCAAAAGTTTTCAACTGCAAAAACTAAACAGTTCCAAGTATTTTGTAAAGCTTGACCTTCCAGTAAATCTCATGTCCGCCTAATTCATAATTCTCTACGATAACCCTTAACATTCGAATTTTTTCTCCTTCGTCTATTTGTTTCTTTCTTCTCCTTTCTTTTGCTTATTTTCAAAAATACAATTTTTTGCAATTTTTTGCAGTTTTTTGTTTAGTTGAAACAATTTTCGTGATATTAAACATAAAATTTGTATAAATTTAAGAAAACCTTAACTTTTTGAAAAAGTTGAATGTCATAAAAATTCACCAGTTTATCAATAACAGTTTATTTCGATAAGCTAAATGATTAATCTGTTTATTAAACTCCAATACTCGTTTTAGCTTTTTTTTTTTTTATTATTAGCTTTTTATGTTACTTATTTTGCTAATTGCCAAATATCAACCAAAAACATATTTTATTTAAAAAATAAGTTTGATATACGTTATTTTAGGACCCTAATGGCATTTCAGCCTTAAAAATATAAATATTGAATCTTTAAAATGGCCCAAGAAATAAAGATGAAAATTTTAGTCGACAAAGAAAGTGCCAAGTTAAAAAACCAGCAGATTTTACCCAACATAAATTGGGCGTGTGGCGTAGTTGGTAGCGCGTTCGCTTAGCATGCGAAAGGTCTTGGGTTCGACTCCCAACTCGTCCATTTATTTTTCATTTTTTTTGTTCTTCATTTCTTGCAATTTTCTACAAGCTATCCCTTCTTCAATGCCTATCTATGCTCCCTCGTTATTCGTTCGTCGATCCTCAGCTTTTTCTCTCCCCTTGCTTTTCTCTCCCCTTGCTTTTCTCTCCCCTTGCTTTTCTCTTTTAATTATTTAGATTTATTGCAACTGAAGAATTGCTTTGGAAGGATGTATACACCCATAGAATCTTGGATTACCAGTGTTTTTAATAATTTTTCCTTGAAGTAGAGAAATTGCTTACAACTGAACTGAATTATTGAGTATAATCAAATTTGCAACATAAATTTAAAATAGCCAATTCTTTTACGATACTCAGTAGATTAAAACTCCGGTACTATAGTTGAATCCAGGCATGTAATTAATTCAAAAATCCGGACTCGATACTTTAGTCTTCCAAGCGGCTTCTTTATGTTTGGAGGTCCTATAAGAACAAGACTAGTACTTGAATATTTGCAATTTTAAATTTTTTGAGAAATTTTAAGACACGCGAAATACTATACCCAATAGTACCCAGTAATCCAATTGAATATAGAACATCCGTGAAAGGCAAATGTCTTATATAGATGACTTTCTAAAGAAGTATTTCTTCAATCTACCTGGTATAATAATTAACCAAATATGTGAGCAAATACCGGAAATATACATTACAAATTTTTTTCTGTTAATAGAGGACTCCACGGCAAAAGACTTGATACTAGAGGAATACAATAAGAAGCCGTTTAGGTTGGAAGTATCACATCATGAAAGGGTATCAGCTCTTGCTGGATATTATAAGCTGAGGTATAGGACATTAGTAGGATCAGAAGAGATGGTGAAGTTCTTCAATTCACATCCAAATATCAATTCCGCTTCATTCCATATCTCTTGTGAATTCATAGCATTGCTAATGCCTCTAATTGAGAAATACCCCAAAAGATTCAATAATAATATTACAAAAGTATCCTTATCTATGAAGGTGTTCCATCCTCGTTATCTTCCCTATTTAATCGAGTGGCTTCCGAATTTACGTGAGTTTGAAGCGAATCATCCCTCAGCTTTAGAAGAAGATGAAGATAAGCCAGCTCAGTTTGAAGCGGATTTTAATTGGAAAAATCTTACCAAATTAAATATTCGACATGATCATGTTGAAGATTGGTCAGAAGTAAAATTTCCGCCTTCCTTAATAGACCTTGATATTAGCAACTGTTTTTACATAAATTTTTCCACCTTGAAGATTCCTGAGTCTGTTGAAAAATTTTCTTATTGCTTTTTAGTGAAATGTATGAAGAAGCGGTCGGAATATCAAGTGGGTTTGAATGGGTTAAAACTACCTAAAAACTTAAAAGTTCTAGATATAAGAGAAAACGAACTTACCGATATCAATTTTAAACAGCTTCCCGCAAATCTAGAAGAGATTTATTTATTTGGAAATCAACTTGAAACGTGTTTGCAATCGGAAAACATTCAATGGCCTTGTAATCTACGATTGATTGATATACGCGACAATCAACTACATGACGAGGCATTGTCAAACCTAAGTGAAAGTGGATGGCCTAAGAATTTAAAGAGCTTACTCCTCGGTGGAAACTGGTTCGAATCATTTTCAAGTTTATATAATTTACCAGATGATTTGGAGGATTTAGAAATGAACCTTGGAAGAAACCTCTTAACCACTAGTTTTTCTATTGGAGGATATCCTTATTTTAGGTTCCCAACATACCTAAAAACCTTGGATATTCATAAATGTACTCCAGGAGGATTTGGCCTGATGGAGGATTCAACTGTTCGAATAGAATTTCCAAAAACTTTAACAAACCTTAAGATGGAGGGTTGTGAAATTGAAGATTTAAGTCAGTTTATATTTCCACCGTCTTTAGAGAGCTTAAGCTTGAAAAACAATTGCATTTCAGATATAAGTCTATATAACTGTGGCAATGAGATAAACTGGAATAACTTAAATAATTTAAAAGAACTAGACTTATCTAGCAATCAGCTTTCCAATCTTAGTTCCTTAAATATACCACTGAAATTAAAGAAATTAAATCTTTCGTTTAATCTCATCAATGAATTAAATGGAGATGTGCCTATATTTAATGATGAATCGAACAAAGTCTTACACTTGAATTATTTAAATCTAAATAATAATCGAATTTCTTTTGTTGATTCCAGTGCCACATCACCTCCAAGATTGTTGAGATTAATGCTTCAAATAAACGCCATTAACCATTTGTCATTCAACTCAAAGTTTTTAGGATCAAACTTAGTTCTTATAGATTTAAGATATAACCAACCGCTGTTTCAAGAGTTGAAACGGTCAAATCACATCAACCCGATTCTTGAAAGATACAAAAACATTAGGATAAAGTTTGATCCTAGAGAAGTGAATTTCGAAATCGCAAAGCCAAATGGCGGACTAATAACGGTTTATGACATGATGCTAATATTACGAAATGATCCTGATACAAACTTAAATTATAGTATATAGATTACGATATTCGAAAATGCGACTAATTTGGTTGCAAATTTAACAAGTAAATTAAATTATTCTCATATATAAAAGTACTTCATTAGCCAATATCAAATCTCTACAGCTTAAGGTCTATTAAAAGTAAAATTTCTTCTAAGGGAGTTCACTCGGTTATTAGTCTCTTACTTGTGGTCTCTTTCCTGCCACTAGCAGCAGACAGCGCAATACTTTACTAGTCGGAACTTGTTTAAAGAATTCAATTAACGTAAATAAGTCCTTATCGACTAACCTATATTGTAAAGCATGCTACAATTTCTGACAGTCCTTACCTTGTGAGGCAATATATCGATTTAAAAGAATTTACGTTAATGATGGGTGCAAATTGTGAGATTTAAGACTTATCCAACCTGCTAGAAGCTCAAGGTAAAGAATAAATTTCGTGTTATTTCTCTTTCCATAAGCTGCATGGAGAAAGTTAATTTTTGACTTTCCTTGCTACTGATTTAATTCAATGTCAATTATTTCTTGAAGTCCAACCATCATAACTTTTAGGTGGTCCAGATTTTCACGGGCTTTTCCAATACCTATTTATAGAGACGGGAAACTTGAGCAAGGGATGAAGACTTGAGCTTATTGTCCCAAACTGCGTTTCCATAACGTCATGTACCACCTCATCATTCATAAATAAAAGAGAGGTGCTAATACACTAAAGCAAGATCTGAGTGGTTCTTATGCACCATTTTGATTGTGTATAAAATATTGTGGGTATTCATTCAAATACTTACCCCGTTTTTAGCTTTATAATTACCTTATTGGTATCGCTCTACCATGATTTTATAAATAGACAAACATACATTCATTCTTGCCAAAAAACCGTCAAAGATGTTCGGAAAAGAGCCCAAATATGCTTGCCAAATATAAGACCATTACAACTGGAATGAATGTGCTACCAAAAAGTATATACTATTTTAGGTCTCACTTACATATAGGAAGGGTTTAAAGTTTATAAAAAAAGATATTCGAAGAGCTGGTTTTGAAGATAGAAAAAGTTGGCATTTAAGAATAGTGCCAGGTTACAAGACCAGCCCATTCCACCAAACATAAACCGGGCGTGTGGCGTAGTTGGTAGCGCGTTCGCTTAGCATGCGAAAGGTCTTGGGTTCGACTCCCAACTCGTCCATTTGTTTTTTTTCATTTTTTTTTATTACTCTCGTGATGAATTCTTGGAGTGCTTTGTTTATAATGTTCTTGGAAGACTACGAAATGTGGAGAACATAAGAAATATATTAAAGATTAAATAAATAGCCTACTTGTTTTTAGCCTGTAAATCGGGTAAGCGAATAGCTTTAACTGTAATATAAGAGTTTTGTTTATTAGCCAACCCAGCATAAGCATTATACCAAGCCAGAAACGCGGTTAATAAGCCAAAAACCCCAGCGGCGGTTTTAACACTAGTTGAATTTTTGAATTCAGCAATTGCCAAAAGCAAGAAAGTGATCGATAATAAAAAGAAAATCGAAAAAAATGCCAAAGTAGACTTCAACGTAAGTAAAGTTAGGAAAAAAGTGAAGATGAACCAAGCCACCAAATATAACCCCACGGCATTTCTGAATTCTTCCTCCAGTTCAAAAGCATCTTGAATCCCAAAGCTAGGAACGTACAAGGCAGCCCAACTACCCCAGAACCCACCGTAAGAACTCAAAGCAACCGCACCAAAATTACCACTGGCACCTTCAGCGACTGCAAACATCCCAGCAACTAACTGAGCCAACCCCCCGTAGAAAAAGGCCAAACCCACCACGATATTGGGGATGGTTACTCCTCTGGCACCACAGTTAACCAAGGAAAGAACAAAAGTAGTCAAGGCAAAAGCACTCAACCCTAATGGAGCAGGATTAGCAATATTGTGTTTTGGAGGAGGTGATAAACCCGGATTAAGAGTACCACCAAAGGCATCCACCAATTCGGATCTGAGATAACGCTCATTACCAAATTGAACGTATTCTCCATCAGTGACCACCTTGGTTACATCAGGAGTATCATTTGAATGGTTATTCAAAGAAGTAGCTTTATCTTCAACTACGAGTTTTTGATCGTGGGGGTTTTGGTTTTCCAAATCTGGACGTTGTTCAATATCACTCATTTGTGGTAAGTATTATATTATTGTGCTAATTATTGTGCTAATTATTATGCTAATTATTGTATAACGATAAGAGGAATCATATATATATATATATATATATATATAAGTAACTCCACAATATTGGAGGGGCTAACTGACGAGTTTGCAGTAAATCAGCAAAGATCCTGCCTTTAAATCCGAGCACGACCGGATTGTAGTTCCCCGGTCGTGCTCACGTGATGCCGTTTTTCTAGCGTGGGCCATTTTCCTCGCCGGAATTGGTCCTGATTGGATACCTCCTACACTAAGTATAGCATCGTAATCCTACTCCAGCCACTCTAGTCCATACTCATGAAGTCGATACTCAAGAAGTCGATACTCATGAAGTCGATACTCATGAAGTCAATACCCAAGTAGTCTGAATCCAACTCTGGGTGGTGACCCCCGGAACTCACCCTCTCCAAGACTGGCAAAGTGGAGAAACCGTTGGCCACGTCTGGTGCACGGGCCCAGCACGCTGGGTATGGCCAGTTTTTTGTGGGGGAAACCCTGCACGGGGTTTAGTTGTTGGCAAGTCCGACCCCGAGCCATGCACACCATTAACCTCTTGAGGCTCTAACTGAATAAACTCTCCCGATGCCCGAGTGGGGTCCCTGGTTGTATGAACTGTAGGAGTTAATGAGTGAATGGGTGAGTGAATTGAATGAATACGAATGAAATAACAAGCTGAGTGAATAATGAAGTAACGGGTGACTTGAAGTTAGCGATGAAGTAGTTGAAGAACTGAAATTACAAGGGTAACCGATCAACGCTCGAGTATACTTTGTAGGGAACTGATCAGCGATGCAGACCATCGGAGACGTTGGCGGTTTTCCGGAGGACCTGGGGAGCGTGCGGTACGGGTGCGGGCTTATTGAGACACCCCCCAAAAACACGGTGTGTGCTTACCGTGTCTTCCAATATATTGGTTATTGGACGACCCACCCACGAAACGAAAACTGTACGGGTGTAGCAGAGAGATGTACGGAGGTTAGGTTTTATTTACAAACCTTCCCAAAGCGGAAAGCATCAACTCAGGCCCATCGAGACATAAATGAAAAGTTTACAGATATAAAGAGGTATCCGAATAGGTCAATTGATAAACAGGCAGTTGTTTCAGCTAGCCAGCAGCTAGGGAGAGTTACATTGAAGCATATAACAGTATATATACTTGGGGATCTACCTTTTTTGAACCCTTTTAAAATTAAGATTCGTCATTACAACGTTAGTCATTCTTTAATTAAATTTTTCATTGGAAACCGAAACTCCTTCTCTTACTTTGCAAAATGGCTTTTTTCAAATCAAAGAATACTCCGAATCAAGAAGTTGCTAATATTTCACAATCAATGGAAAACGTTTCTATCAACGGAGGATTAATGGATATCGATACTAGTTATAAACAATCCAATAATTTAAATAAAGAAAATATTACTCCAATTGGATCACCAACAAAATCAATCTTACATACCACCCCCCAAAATAATAATCATAAATTAACCAGTTTAAACCTTCAACAAAAATTATATCAACAACAACAACAACAGCAACAACAAATAAAACTTCAAAATATTAATAATAATATTAATCAATTACAACCACAAAATTATAAATCAAGAAGATATCAAGAAGATTTTTTGAAAAAATCAAATGATCCAAAAATTAAAAGATTAGCTTCGGTTACTCAATTATATTTCTTAGACTATTATTGTGATATGTTTGATTATGTTATTAGTCGTAGAGAAAGATGCCAAAAAGTAACGAATCAATTATTAAATGATTCAAATTTTAATTTAAATCCTCAAAAACAACAATTAGAATGGAAAAATTATATCGGTAGAGAAAGAGCCTTATTGCGTAAAAGAAGATTGAAACCAAAACATAAAGATTTCCAAATGATTACTCAAGTTGGTCAAGGTGGTTACGGTCAAGTCTTTTTAGCTCGTAAAAAGGATACTAGAGAAATTTGTGCTTTAAAAATTTTGAATAAAAATTTGTTAGTTAAATTAGATGAAACTAAACATGTTTTAACTGAAAGAGATATCTTAACTAATACTAGAAGTGAATGGTTAGTTAAATTATTATATGCGTTCCAAGATCCAAATAAAGTTTTTTTAGCAATGGAATTTGTTCCTGGTGGTGATTTTAGAACTTTATTAAATAATACTGGTTATCTTATACCTCCTCATGCTAGATTTTATATTAGTGAAATGTTTGCTAGTGTTGCTTCATTACATGATTTAGGTTATACTCATCGTGATTTAAAACCAGAAAATTTCTTAATTGATTCAAAAGGTCATATTAAATTAACTGATTTTGGTTTAGCTGCCGGTACTGTTTCAAATGATAGAATTGAAAGTATGAAAATTAAATTAGCAAATTTACAAAATTTAGATGATTATAAAGTTCCTTCAAAATTAATGATTGAAAGACAAAAAATTTTTAAACAATCAAAAGGTCATCATAATTTAGCAAATTCAATTGTTGGTAGTCCAGATTATATGGCTTTAGAAGTTTTGGAAGGTAAAGATTATGATTATACCATCGATTATTGGTCTTTAGGTTGTATGTTATTTGAATCATTATGTGGATATCCTCCATTTAGTGGTTCAAAACAAGATGAAACTTATTATAATTTGAAAAATTGGAAAACTGCTTTAAGAAGACCCCAAACAAAAGATGGTAGATTTGTTTTCAGTGATCGTACTTGGCAATTAATTACTAAATTAATAACTTCTCCAAATCAAAGATTGAAAAGTTTTAAACAAATTCAATTAATGCCTTATTTTGCTGATATTGATGATTGGAATAATTTAAGACAAAAAAATCCTCCGTTCACTCCTCAATTAGATAATGAAGAAGATGCCGGTTATTTTGATGATTTTGAAGATGAAGAAAGTATGCTTAAATATAAAGATGTTTTTGCTAGACAAGAACATAATGAAAATTTATTAGATAAATCAAAACTTTCAAATTCAAATAATAATTTCATTGGTTTTACTTTTAAACATAAATTAAATCCAAATAATAAATTCCAAAATGGTGAAATTAATTTATTAAACTTAAACAGTGGCAGATTGAATGGGGGAAGTATCGGTGGTGGTAACGTTGGGTTAGCAAGTAGATTAGATCCTTTGGCTACTTTATATTAATTCTACTTTTGCATTCTTTTTTTCTTTTTTTTTTTTTTTTTTTAAATACATATACCTATTTAACAAGTCCAGATAAAATCTTGTTTGATCTTATCGTTTATAAACTTTCTTTGATATTTGTTATGTAAAAATTCACATTCTTTGGATGTTATATCAAGAATCTTAATCAATTGTTCTTGTTTGAAATCTCCATAACTTTCTAAAAACATGATTTTACTTGATTTACCGTCTTTAATATTAAAGCAAACTAAATGACTGGATTTACCTTCAATTAATTTCGTCAAATTTGGATTCTTAATAACCTCTTGATCTTCATCAATACTAACCAAGGCAGATGCAAATGAACTATACATCTCTATATTCGCATCAATAAGCGCAAAATAACTTCCGTTGATGGCTGCATTCAATTCATTCCCAGTATAATCAAAATTATGTCCACTTTTACCAATTAATTGTTGATTACTTGAATCAGTTATTAAAAATTGTACCACAACTTGAATTAACTGTCTTGGATACTTGTACCTTATTATAACGTCTTGCAATATACTTCTTAACTTGTCCTCTATGAATTTCTCTCGTGTACTGGAAACTCCAATCGATGGTCTAATAATTATTTCTAAACTTGCCAAAGTTGGTAATTCTTGTTTTATTTTGGCTTCTATTGGTCCCGTCACCGATACTATTAACTTGGTGTTTCCTATGGTTAGCTCGGCGGATCCGTCCACTCGATCGAGAATACCGGTCTTCAATTCAAAAGTCATCCTGGTGTTTAAAATGTGTTTAACTTTAAGCTCATCGTAGCAGTCAAAAAAAAAAAAAAAACAAAAAAATGTGAAGATTTGAAAAAATCAAAAGATTTAGTGTGCGCTTTTGAAAAATTAATGTCTTTCATCGTTAACCATGACAGACTATGAGAATGAACTACTAGACGACTTTGAAAGTGAAGATGAGCAAGTGGAAGTGCAGTCGGAAGTGGAAGTGCACCATGATAAGTTGAGTTCGGTGCTTTCAGACTCAAATAATGGTATAATATTGGATAGAATAGGCCAGTACGATACCGTGCAAGATATAACAAAGATATCGAAGATTAAACCCATAATACCAGAATTAAGGACCAAGATTCAAGAGTATTCCAATGATGAGACTGTTGATTACTTGGAATTGTTGTCCAGTGTCAACCAAGCTCACGAAAATGATGAATATAAGTTCATATTGCAAATTAATGAGTTATCTAATCTCATCAATAATGAAATTGCAATGATTCATAACTTCACCAAGATAAACTACAAGCCGGTATTTTCTGAATTGGAGACCTTGATATTGAATCCGGTCGATTATTCAAAAATAGTCATGTTGATCAATCAAGATTTGAAGAATATTAAAAGCTACGAAGATGAACTAAAGAGAATAACTACAAATGAAAAAGTCCTCATCATTATAATGGCAGGCTTACAACAATCTTCCAAACAAGTTCAATTAGAAGATGAAGTTTTTTTAAATGTTCTCAAAGCGTGCTCATTGGTGCTTGAGTTGAATGAAATTTTAGTGGAATTATCATCTTTTATTTCGGTTAAATTGTCGAAATTTTGTCCCAATGTTTCTGCTATTATAGGTCCTTTAACAACTTCCCAATTATTGATTGCCACCGGTTCCTTGAGGCAATTGTCATTAACTCCAGCATGCAATATTCCCTCATTAGGAGTAAAAGATCTTTCTTCTACTACAAAAACCAATCCAGGTCCCATAAGGGCCACCGGATACCTATATCACTGTGATTTGATTAATTTCTTGCCCAAAGAGATTATGAAACAAGCAATGAGGATCGTAAGTGCTAAAGTAGTCCTTGCAGCTAGAATTGATTTATCAAAATCTTCATTAAGTGGTGAAATTGGCCTAAGTTATAAACAGGAAATTGAAAATAAAATCGATAAGTTATTAACTCCCCCAGATATGACCAATGATAAAGCATTGCCAATACCAATTGAATCTAAATCCAAAAAAAGAGGGGGTAGAAGATTTAGAAAAATGAAAGAACGTTTCCAAATGTCTGACTTACGAAAAGCCCAAAATAAAATGGAGTTTGGTAAAGAAGAAGACTCAATCATTAATGCCATGGGTGAAGAAGTCGGTCTTGGGATGTCAAAATCAGGTAGTCAAGGTAGACTTAATATCAATATTAATACTAATACCAATGCTAAAATGTCAAAGTCAATGATAAATAGGCTTCAAAAGCAAAAACAAACTTCAGCAAATGATGCCTTAGACACATTCACTTTATCAAATCCCGAAACTGAACCTAATACCTCTATCAATTCTCCGGCAACCCTACTGAGTATCGCCGGTAATAAATGGTTCACCGGTATGAAAAGACTACAAGACGAAGATAACGATACAAACAAAAAGCCCAAGTTCTAGCATATGACTCATATACTTTAATAAAGAATATTACGATAACAACCTCTGTAGATATATAAACTGTGACTAATTCTCGTTTCGCAGTAGAAATTATCATCAAATGATGGAAAAAAAATTCAAAAAAAATTTTTCAGTTAGTTGAAGAATTCCTTCGCTGTATGCTATTTAAAGGATTACTTGTTAGAAGTGTTGTTAGAAGTAAAGTATATCAAAAGCCTTTTAGACCTTTTATCATCTCACGTAGATTATTATCCTTTAGAATGAGTGAAAAGTCATCTCCAAGTGAACCAGCTCCAAATCAAGCACAAGCTCCAGCTCCAGCTCCAGCTCAAGCAGGTGAAGCTCCAGTTAAAGAAAAGTCAGCCAAAGAACTCGAAAAAGAACGTAAAAAGGCTGAAAAATTAGCCAAGTTCAATGCCAAAAAGGCCAAGCAACAAGCTGATTCTAAAAAACCATCTGAACCAAAAAAACCAAAGAAGGAAAAGAAACCAGCTGAACCAATTCCTGAATTCAAAGATGAAACCAAACAGGGTGATAAGAAGATTTTGGTTTCTTTAGAAGACGCTGCTTTTAAAGCTTATAACCCAAGTAATGTTGAAAGTTCTTGGTACAATTGGTGGGATAAATCTGGATTTTTCGAGCCAGAATTAACTAAAGATGGTGAAATTAAACCACAAGGTTCTTTCTCTATTCCTGCACCTCCACCAAATGTTACTGGTGCTTTACATATTGGACATGCTTTAACCGTTTCATTACAAGATACTTTGATCAGATATAATAGAATGAAAGGTAAAACTACCTTATTCTTACCAGGTTTTGATCATGCCGGTATTGCAACTCAATCCGTTGTTGAAAAACAAGTTTGGTCTAAAGAGGGTAAAACCAGACATGATTACGGACGTGAAAAATTCGTTGAAAAAGTTTGGGAATGGAAAGAAGAATATCATGCTAAAATCAAGAACCAATTCAAAAAATTAGGTGCCTCATACGATTGGTCTAGAGAAGCTTTCACTCTTAATCCAGATTTGAGTGAAGCTGTTACTGAAGCCTTTGTCAGATTACATGAAGATGGAACTATTTACAGAGCTTCAAGATTAGTTAACTGGTCAACTAAATTAAACACTGCAATTTCTAATTTAGAAGTTGATAATAAAACTATCGCTGGTAGAACTTTACTTGCAGTTCCAAATTATGAATCCAAGATTGAATTTGGTGTCTTAACTAGTTTCTCTTATGAAGTTGATGGATTAGATGAAAAACTTACCGTCGCTACCACTAGACCTGAAACTTTATTTGGTGATACTGGTGTTGCTGTTCATCCAAATGATCCACGTTACAAACACTTACACGGTAAATTCGTTAAACATCCATTTTTAGATAGAAAAATTCCAATTATTTGCGATGACGAAGCCGTTGATATGGAGTTCGGTACTGGTGCAGTTAAAATTACTCCAGCTCATGATACTAATGATTACAATACTGGTAAGAGAAACAATTTGGAATTTATCAATATTTTAACTGATGATGGTTATCTTAATGAAAACTGTGGTGAATGGCAAGGTATGAAGAGATTCGACGCTAGGTACAAAGTTATCGAAGCATTGAAAGCCAAAGGTTTATATGTTGATCAAAAAGATAATGAAATGACCATTCCTCTTTGTTCTAGATCTGGTGATATTATTGAACCATTATTGAAACCACAATGGTGGGTTGACCAAAAGGATATGGCTAAAGAAGCTATTAAAGCCGTTAAAAATGGTGATATCACTATTACTCCTAAGACCAGTGAACTGGAATATTTCCATTGGTTAGAAAACATTCAAGATTGGTGTATTTCCAGACAATTGTGGTGGGGTCACAGATGCCCTGTTTATTTTGTTGAATTTGAAGGTGAAGAAAATAGTAGATTAGATAATACTTATTGGGTTGCTGGTAGAACTTATGAAGAAGCTTTAGAAAAAGCTAACAAGAAATTTGGTACTGAACGTAAATTCAAATTAGAACAAGATGAAGATGTTTTAGATACTTGGTTCTCCTCAGGTTTATGGCCAATTTCTACTTTAGGATGGCCAAAGAAAAGTAAGGATATGGAATTATTTAGTCCAATGTCAATGTTAGAAACTGGTTGGGATATTTTATTCTTCTGGGTCAGTAGAATGATCTTATTAGGCTTAAAATTAACCGGTGAAGTTCCATTTAAGGAAGTCTTTTGTCATTCATTAGTTAGAGATGCTCAAGGTCGTAAAATGTCTAAATCTTTAGGTAATGTCATTGATCCATTAGATGTTATTGCTGGTATTCCATTACAAGGATTACATGATAAATTACTAAGCGGTAACTTAGATCCAAGAGAATTGAAGAGAGCCACTGAAGGTCAAAAACAAACATATCCTCAAGGTATCCCAGAATGTGGTACTGATGCTTTAAGATTTGCTTTATGTGCTTATACTACTGGTGGTAGAGATATCAATTTAGATATTTTGAGAGTTGAAGGTTATAGAAAATTCTGTAACAAAATTTACCAAGCAACTAAATTCGTTTTAGGTAAATTGGGAGAAGATTTCAAACCAACTGCTTCAAGAGAATTAACTGGTAAAGAATCGTTAGTTGAAAAATGGATATTACATAAACTAACTGTTACTGCTAAAGAGTGTAATGAACATTTAGAAAATCGTGATTTTTTCGAATCAACCAATTCAATTTATAACTTTTGGTATGATTTATGTGATGTTTACATTGAAAATTCTAAGTATTTGATTCAAGATGGTAGTTTAGAACAACAAATCCTGGCTAAAAACACTTTATATACTTGTATTGATGAAGCCTTAAAATTAATTCATCCATTCATGCCTTTTGTTACTGAAGAAATGTGGCAAAGATTACCACGTCGTGCTAATGATGAAACTAAATCTATCATGGTTGCTGAATATCCTCAATTTGATAAATCTTTTGAAGACTTTAAATCTTTGAATGATTATAACCTAATTTTGGAAACTACTAAAGGTGCTAGATCTTTATTAGCTCAATACAACATCTTGAAAAATGGTTCAATTTATATCGAAAGTAGTGATGAAGAAACCAACAAAAACCTCAAAGAACAACAAGATTCCATCGTTTCATTAATTAAAGGTGTTGAAACTGTTAACATTGTCGACAACGATACCGTTAAAGTACCAAGCGGTTGTGCTTTACAATCAATCAATACAACCACTACTGTTCACTTGTTAGTCAAGGGTCAAATTGATTTAGATTTAGAAATCAGTAAAGTCGCTAAGAAATTATCCAATGCTAAAGAAAATGAAAAGAAAGTTTTGGAATCCATTAGTAAATTTACCGAAAAAACCGTTGAAAAGGCCAAAGAAGCTGCTTACAATAGAAATGAAAACATTAAAGCAGAAATCGAAGGTTACGAACAAACCATCTCTGTTTTAGAAAACTTGAAGCTTTGATTTCAACCCCAAGTTATATATATATATATTGTTTTAGTACCCTTCTAATTAATTTTTGTGAATGAACTTACTTATAAATAACAATAGACCGTAGTAATAACTCTACCAGTTCATTAATCTGCAAACAAACTACATATGAAGAGCTAGGCATCTTATTATCTGATAAGATGATACTAGGCTAAACTGATTGGCTGCAACTCAGAATTCGGAGAAAGAGAGGGTCGTGCGCCGTTACCCAAATATCCCTAGGCTGTGCGCCAACCACACCCGTGCACCAAGGAAATTCGATTACATAATCAAACAGCAGAATACCGTTTCAGAACAGTCTTCCAATGCATTTAGTACCCCTTAGATTAGAGTCTATTCAGGCCAATTGCACCAGGGTTTGGGGGTTAGAATGGCCAAAAATGAAATTACAAGTACGCGTAGAATCAAATGAGTAAGCGAAACGGTAAATCTCCAAATTAGGGTGTTTCTTGTTAGTGTAAGCGTGACTTTTGTAATACAATCAGAGATAAATTTCAACGTCAATGCCCAATTTCAATTCCCATTTCATATTCACCGAGTCCCCAAAAAGTATATAAATACCCCCTTTTCCACCCAATTGACATAATAAATTCTTTTTCCTTTCTTCTCTTTTCTATTAAATAGTAAATTAATTATAACAAATATATCACAATGGGTTTCGACGATTTAATTAAAAAAGGTAAGGAAATTGCCTCCAACAAAGAATACACTGAAGACGCTAAAACTGCTTACAGTGCTTTCTCTTCCAAAGAAGGTTCTTACCAAGACAAAGCTCAAGAAGCTTACAAAGAAGTCCAAAAGAATCACTCTGGTGATAAAAAAGAAGAAAAAAAATAAGTTAATCTTTGATTTTAATTCTTTATTTTATGTGTTAAATATACGTTTTTATTAGAAATTGACTACTGTAGAAAGAAGCTTGTAGAAATTGTACTGGGGTAAGATTTAACGGAACATTTGCACTGAGCATCAATGAAATTGGAAAATCAACCAGGACTGAAAGAAGACTTGAAATTTTGTTTGATGCGTGTGAATGTTGCTTCGCCAGTTCAACAAGAGGATGAATCATGAGATAAGATACCATCCTAGAATCTCTCAAAGTTTGTTGAAGGACTTGGTAGTTGTTTATAATTCCATCGATACTATATTGAGTATACATTATTCAAATAATATTAAGAATCCATCACTACAAAAAGTTCTTGATTCGGTCTCTAGTCTACTAAATAAGAGAATTACCAACCATGAAATATGCCAAATATTGGAAATTGATTCGAGTAACTATAATTTATTGAATAACCATGATGATATCTTGATTAGTCCCACGTCAATATCAAATTTTAGTCGATTAATCCCCGAACGGAAAGCAAGATTCATCGAATCATTAAATAATTGGATCCTGCAAAATAAGGATAAATCAACACTACCTACAAAAGAATTATCAAGCTATTACAAATTTGAAAAACAGACCCGGGTGATTAAAGATCATAAGATTGTTAAACCAGTGATCAAAAAGACTTCCAATGATTTGAAGAACATTCAGAACAAGTTCGAGTTCAAATCCAAAGATAACGATAAGCTTTCGTTAATTGAAAGGATCAAATTGAAGGAGAAAACTGCCAAAATAGCTGAACCTCCTTCAAACACCCGCGAGGATTACATTAATAGTCGATTGGTTTCAATTTATAACATAATTTACGAATTTCATGGAATAAAATCTCATAAAAGTTATCCCTTCAGTAAAATGGTTTCCCTAGTGAAAAATTCACTTAAAAGCCCCATGAGTAATGACGAAATCATTGATACCTTGAACAAAATAGCCAATCAATTGGATAATTTCGAAATTGTCGATAGAAGTGAAGTTAAAGTTTTGAAAATTTCTAAACTTGATAGAAATTTAGACATTTCTAAACTCCAGTAATTGGAGTCCCAGCAATAAGTCTTAGCATATATAGCATATTTGAATCAATTCAATCTTCAATACAAACAAGATTTAAATTTTTATCGTTTTCCGTAGCTGCCTTTTTTTTCGGTATTTGGGACTTACATCGGAACTATTTTTAACTTAAAACGAAAACTCGTAATTAAGCTTCGATCAAAACAATAATAATAGTCTAATGGAAAATTCGAGTAACTTTTGTATGGAGTGTTTGTTTGGATTTACCTTGTATACTCGTCAACTCAGTGGTTTTTAAAATTTTACCGCAAATTGAGCTTTTCAAATTAACTTCGGCTTCACGTAAATCATTCCTTACATAGTGATACAAAATGTATATATACAAATATATTTCAATATTAAAAGAGTTTAGGAGGATACGAGATCTATAAAAAAAAACGATAAAAAAACACAGAGAGACCCTAACTAATCATCTCTTAAAGCAATATCAGCAGGAGCTGAGTTCATGAAAAAGTATTTTAATACAATTTCAATAGCCCAGGTTGCACCCAAGTCAAGTAAAATACAACCAGTCAACTTGGTCTTGAAGACTGTATCCATTGGAACGAATTGCATTTGTTCGTTCAACTCTGGGAAAAACTCAGTTGACCCAGATAATGCTAAACCAGCAACTCCTAATAAACCATAGTACATACCTTTATTGTCCTTGATACTTTCTCTGAATGGCAATCCTTGGTAGTTGACAGCAAATGTAGAAACCTGTTGAGCCAATTGTAATAAAAACATACCGGTGTTCAACAATGATGGACTAAAAGTCTTTTCTAAATCAACTTGAGGTTCTCTTGGTTCTAATATGTAAATTTCATTGGTAATATAAATCAAAGTAATAATATGGATTGCAAATTGACCTAAAATTGATCCCATAATATAGAAATTGAAAATACCATCTTGAGGTCTTTCCTTAGATAATTTCTCTAATGGTTTAGCACGAGAAATACTCAAGAAACAAACCGATAATAAGATACCTGAAATAGTAGATTGACCATCACCAAATTTAATACCGGCTAAATATAAAACTGATAAGGAATATGCAGAAATCAAACAATTCAATGCTAAAATCTTATACATTTGAATAGTGGAAACTAAAGCACAACGACCTTGACGAACGATATGGGTAACAGTTGAAACAGATGATAATTTAGATGTGAATGGTGCGGCAACTGATGCATCTCCTAATTTCAAAGTTGGAACTTCATCTTCAGCTTCGGCATCATTTAATGCACCCAAGAAGCTATCAGCAATATTATTGGCATTTGGATTACCTCCAGTTGGTTGTGTAATAGTTGAACCATGTTTGTTAGCCAATTCAACAGTTTGTCTTAATTCTGGGGTTATTTCAACACCCTTCTTTTCCATAGCTTCTAAATATTTTGGATTACTTGGACCTGGTGGATATAAGTGAGCAATAATTGGCGGAACTGGTGGGGCAGGTTTACCCCAGTTTGCAAATAATGCAACTTGTTTTTCATAAATAGTTTTAGTAGCTTCAATTTTTCTATTTTCAGCAATTTTCTTCATACCTTCTTCAGTACCATTCAATAAAGCAACACCAATATGGGCTTGTTTTAAAGCACCAACGTCATTAGTACCATCACCACACATTAAGGTGTTATAACCAGCATCTTTCAAGGAAGTCAAAATAAATTCTTTTTGAGCAGGTGAAACTCTAGCATAAACCCAAGTATGTTTCAATAAATCCAAGATTTGATGGTGTTCACTCAAATGATTTAAAGCATAACCAGTAATACAGATATCATGTTTTTTGAACAATTCGACATCAATATTGTCAGTACTCTTAAAAGGAATAACAACGGTTTCTTCGACATTTCTCCAGACCAAATTTTGTTCCTCATCAACTTCATGATGATCTTCTGGAGCATCCAATATCAAAACATCTTTAGTAGTAATAGCAACTTCTTTAGCAACATGACAGGCAGTTAATGGATTATCACCAGTAATCATGACTGAACGATGGGATGATTCATTCAACATTTTAATAGTTTCAACAGCATCAGGTTTCAATGGACAATGGAAAACAATAAAACCAGCAAAGTTCAATTTAGATTCAATTTCATTTCTCTTTACTTTAGTTACACTAATGCCAGTATCCAAAGTTTTATAAGCCAAAGCCAAAACACGACTACCAGATTTAGTAAAAGATTTATAAATTTCTTCATAATTTTCAGGAGCATCTACCAACATAGTACGGATTGTTTCAGGGGCACCTTTAGCAGCAACAAAATGCTTATTTGGTAAGGTATTAATAGAAGTGATAGCAGAAGATCTTTTCAAAGCAGAAGAGAATTGGAAACGACGTAAAATCTTAATTTTTTCGGTTTTACCAGAATCCAAGGATCTTTCAACAGTGTCATGATTACCAACAGTCCAATTAGCAGCCTTTAAGGTTGCTTGTTCCATTGGGTCACCAACAACATCACCGTCATCTAATTTGACTAAAGCGTGGGCGGAACCTAAAACATAAGAAGTAGTCTTTGGAGCTTCAGAACAATTGAATAAATGATGGATATTATCATTTTTGAAACCAGCTAAACCTTCAAAGACCAAATCTTCAGCGGTTAAAGTACCAGTTTTATCGAAACAACAAACATCAAGTCTACCGGCCAATGGGATTCTAAACGGTTCAGTACAATAAACAAAGTGTTTTTGTAAAGCAGATAAAGAAGTGTTGACAGCCATGGTCAATTCCATTGGTAATTCAGGAGGAACAACAGAGGTAAGAATAATAATACAGTCCAAGATTAATTTGGATTGAATTCTACCCATTTTAGTACCTTCAACCCAAACATACCAAGAAGCAGCAATAGCAAAGATAAGTAAGAACAAGATAAAGAAAAAGGCTTCTTTATTACCAACTGAAACTCTTTCACTTGAGAAAATCATCATTCTAACCAAAGAACCTTGAGAAGTTTCAAACCCAGTTTTAGCAACAAAAGCTAAAGCACCATGATCAGGGGCAACTGGGATAATTGGATTTTCAGGTTTAGTAACTTGCAAAGCCATAGTACCACCATGTAATAAAGAATTTTTATCAAGACCTTCTGGTTGCAAATTTTCATCACTTGGTCTTAATTTGATCGATTCTTTCAATAAAGGAGTAGATTCACCAGACAACATTGCTTCATTAACGATTGCAGAACCATCAAGCAATAACAAATCACAAGGGATAGCACTATCATCTTGAGTTCTAGTAATAGATACTATATCACCTGGTAGCAAGTCATTGGTTTCAATTTGTTTCCATTTTTTATCTCTATAAACATAAATAGTATAAGGTTTAATACCCATACTTTGGAATTCAGCCATGGTTGTTCTTCTTTGGAACACAGTAGTCATTTCAAAGGAAACCAACATGAAAAGAGAAAAGAGAGAGTAGTACCATTGTTCATCCATGCACCATAAGGCAACAGAGAAAAGTTGAAAAACGAAAAATGGAGCAACAGCATGTTCTTTAAACAATTCCAAAAATGTAGGAAGAGGAATATCAAATTTATTTTCACCATAATTTCTTTTCCATTTTTCTAAATCACCAGACAATCCAGTTGATTTTTGAAAGTAACCCAAAGGAGGCAATTCATTAAATTTAAACTCTGGTGGAGAAAATTTAGCTAATTCAGGATGGAATAAATGACGTCTCTTTTGGTATAAGAAACTAACTTGTTTTTCACCATCATGGAAAACTTCTCTAACAATTTCACAAATTTCTCCAATACCTGAATTTGGTGCTGGAGTAATTTTAATATGTGATGCTTCGGCAATACTTTTAACTGGACTGTAATTGAATCTAGCATCAATATTTATATTCCAATGGGGCATTAACCAAAACAATAAATTAACAGAAAGAATAGTTAACAAATAAACAAAGGTCCATTCAGATCCAACAATATATGTATCATAATGATTCATATAGATATTGGTGAAAATTGGATATATAATGGCAAATGGCCATACCCAAGGTCTTAATATCAATGTTTTGGGTACCAATAGCTCGGCACCCTTGATGGCCGGGTTGCTTACTATATCAGACATTATAGAAAGGCAACTGATTATCCTGATTAATTGATATGAAGGAAAGAATCGTTTATCAAAGATTTAATTGATTCCGTCGATTTTTTCCACCTCGTTCTTTAATTTTTTTTCAGAGCCTTTTTTTTTTTTTTTTAAGTGCTGTTAAGTTCTTCAATGGCCACCTCAGTTGGTCCAATACGTTCATTGCCTTCCTTGGGAATATAGTAGTCACTATGAGGTTGACATTGACTATAAGGGAAGGTTTAAAAAACCAATACACGTTGTAGGAGATCACCCAACGAAACAGCAATCCTTGCTTCACCAGGAAAATATTGCATTTAGTACCCGATGGAAAAGAAGCTGTAGAATCAGAGGTAACAGATTACAGTTACCAATGTCATTATAAACGTCAGCGGAAGAGACCATAGGTCGACTGTTGAGGGTCTTTTGATACTGAAAAGATCACGGGAAGTTAGATTTTTTTTTCTGACTAATTGGAAAAGTTCAATTACTGTGGCTCCCAGTAAGTACTTAAACCTCAATGATCCTCTTGAGTCATAGTCTATTTGATAGTAACCCAGAGTATTAGTGAAAATGTCATTCCAGGAGATTCCAGTACTTGACTTGAGGCTTTCCCAAGACCCTGAGACTAAACCCGAGTTCTTGCTGCAATTGAGAAATGCTTTGATAAACGTTGGATTTTTACTACTTACAAATTACGAAGCAATTGGTCCCAGTAAAGAAGAACTCGAGCTGATCAAGAACCAGTCTTTTGAATTTTTCAAGTTGCCACAAGAAGTGAAGGCAGAATGTGAGATGATCCATTCTCCACATTTCTTGGGGTATACTAGACTAGCCAATGAAATCACTGCCCTTCATACCGACTGGAGGGAACAGATTGACCTAGCCACCGAATTGCCAGCTCCCGGAAAAGACGAACCAATTTACAGAAACATAGAAGGACCCAACTTATGGCCCGATGGGGAGTATATCCCCAATTTCAAGCCTACGGTGTTGAATCATATCACCAGAATGACTAACTTAGCCACTGAATTCAGAAGATTGGTTTGTGAGTCAATTGGACTACCAAAGGATGCCATGGATAATTACTTCAAAGAGAATCAACAGTGCAAAATGAAACTAATTGCTTATCCGGATTTCCATCAGCTTGAAAACAAGTCGGCAGTTTCTTTGGATGATACTCCCAACACTGCTGGCCAAGGTTGTGGACCTCATCGTGATTCAGACTTGTTGACCTATATATATCAAGCCACAGACCATACGGACTCATTACAAGTACAAAACTTTCAAGGAAAATGGATAACTGTTCCTAACATTCCAAATGCGTTGGTTGTTAACAACGGCCAAACTCTAGAAGCAATTTCTAAAGGTGTATGTAAAGCAACCATCCACCGAGTTCTTATACCCAAGGCAGGGTCTGGCACTCGTATATCGATTCCATTTTTCCAGACAATTGATCTCGACTCTTACAAAGTTTCCTTGAAAGATATTCCGCAAGATGTCTTGGATATAAAAGACGAGCGGGACCGTAAAATAGAAGATTGGGCTGTTGACGTTGGATTTCAATACCAGCCAGATGTTGAAAAACATCCAGTTGGCTATGCTGTTTTCAGAAATCGTATCAAAAGCCACCAGGACGTGAGTGCTAAGTGGTACCCTCAAATCCTAAAAGAAGTTTTAGCAGAATACTAATCATATATATATACTTTGTTGTAATTCATTACTGTAGTATAGTCATTTGGCTGAAAAAATTGGAAAATTCCAACGCAAAAAAAGTCGCAGTACGCTTCATCTCATTGAGAATGATAAGCAATTATGTGGTTTCTGAAACACTTAATGATCATCTAGTAGTCTTCTCAAGGTGTCGAATGGGTAAAACAGAAAGGGAAGACCATCTTAGAAAGGACTCTTCTGTGTCAGCTGTGGAGGCTGCAGTAGCAGGATCAATGTCGGGTGCTATTGCCAGGTATGTTATCGAAATTTCTTCAAGGAATACAGCAGGCCGATACTAATCACTAATAAAGAGCTGTGACGGCACCGTTGGACACCATTAAGATCAGGCTCCAACTTCAGCGACACGGGTTTGCTGCCAAATATAATGCAGCCCACACTGTTAAGAACTTACTTCGAAATGAAGGAATCACTGCTTTGTGGAAAGGTAATGTTCCAGCAGAAATCATGTATATTCTATATGGAGCCACTCAATTTACATCCTACACACTCCTTAACTCAGCATTAAATGACTTGGAAACGAAGTATCCTCAATATGTCAAGATAAACCCTAGTTTTAGTTCTTTAATCGTGGGGAGTGGTGCAGGAATCGCAAGTACTTTAACTACTTATCCATTTGATTTATTGAGAACAAGATTAGCAGCAAACTCTTCTAAAGAGTTTCTATCCATGGTGAAGACCATGAAGAATATCTGGTTGAAGAATGGGTTTTTTGGTTATTTTGCTGGTATTAAACCAACAATGTTGTCGGTAGCTAGTACCACTGGATTAATGTTTTGGTCTTACGAATTAGCTCGTGACTTTTCTAAACAGTATAAGGATGATATTCCCTTCATAGAGGGATTTTGTGGGTTTATAGCCGGTGCAACTTCTAAAGGTATAACTTTCCCTCTCGATACATTAAGAAAAAGAATTCAAGTCCATAGTATAATGGAGCCTGAATTAGCTCCTTTCAACGCTACTGGAAACTTTATGAAAATTTTGAAGTCAGAAGGGCCCTTAGGTTTCTATAAAGGTTTCAGTATAAGTTTGTTGAAAACTGCTCCAACTAGTGCCATTTCCCTCTTTGTTTATGAGTACAGTCTCACTACGATTAAAACAGCTAGCGAGGTTACTACAAAATTGGAAGCTTAATCGATCAAAACTAATCATCCTAACACTTGCATTCTCTTTTATATTCCAATTGCATTGTAAAAGCAAAAAAAAATTAATCATTTGTATAATATGTAATATTTAATCTATTCGTAATAAAAATTATCGTTTCCACGCTACATGGTGAATAAATAATCATCCTCTTCATCTTCATCGTCATCTCTCTGATTAACGTCATCTGCCTCGAAGCTAGCAGTTATGTTGACAAAGTCAACATCCATTTCTTCAATGCCATTACTCACTTCGTCATCGTCTGAAGCTGCCTCCTCACCGTACCCAGGCCCATAATATTTTGTGAACAGGGTTGGCAGAATATATTCTTTATCATTGTCTGAAGTTGTTTCGTTTTCATAAAAGGAAGTTTCGTCGGTTTGATTGTTACTTGTAGCAGGGCTTTGTTTAAAAGTCGGATTATTCACGTCTTTTGAGTGAATATACAATGATTGCGAATTTGCTAAGAGATTATGTACCCTCGAAGGTTTTCTAGATACCGTGGATTTATTATTGACGTTATGAGGTATATCCCTAGACTTCTCTGGTTTTTTGTAAGATCCATTTTTTGCAGTCGATCTATCATCTTGTTGCTGGGAAGTGACTTCTAATTGTTTTCTGATATATAATGGCAAGCTTTCACCAACCATTGACGCTCTTCTATTTTGTTTAGTGGTATCATTGAAGCCAGGGCGTGGAGTAACTGGATGCTCTTCGTTAGTAGGGTCTGCTTCGGGCTCGGATAGTTTAGGATCGTTTGAAGATTTTCGTAATTTTTGGCCTAGTTGATTAAACAAAAAGACATTCGTATCTTTATCGTTCTTTTTATTCAGTCCATCTTGTTTTCTTCCTAAGCCAAACTTAAAGTTTTTCAGTACATCTCTCAAGCGATTTTTGATTGGGACTTTACTAGAGGAATCAATTGTGTTAACAGGGGTTTTCGGAGCATTTACTTCGGCTTTGGTGATAACATTGACATTACTGGTGGATACTGGTGCTGGCTTGCTTAGACTGGAGTTCCTCTTATGAAGTCCTGGTCTAGTAGCATCTTTCTTTTGATTTAAATAATCAGGATTCAAATGCATTAAATCTAATGACATTCTTCGTTCAGTTTTTGAAAGTCGAGGCATTTCTCGTATAGGCAACTTTGCCTTTTCTTTAGGAGGTGCATGGGCTACCTGGGTGATTGTATTGTCCATATTTTCCGACTTTGCCAGTAGTGATTGCCTTAGTCCTGAAGCATCAGCCTTATCGTTTATTACAGGGTTTGTCTGAATTTCTTTCTGGAAATTTTGAAGCCCCAAACCATCTATTATACCCGTTGCTTCTTTGTAGACAGTCGTATCAGGATCATTGAACTCATTCATCAATGTTTCGAGATCTGTTTCCGGGAAACATGTTTCAGAAACATACTGCCTATATAAGTCGTCCACCTTCATTTGCACAAAGGGTATATGTGAAACGTTCAATTTACCAGCCAAATCATCCCATTGAATCTGGTTAGCATACTCAGCTCCAAAGTCGGGCCACAATCGTCTACCCTTGAGATACGATAGAAGCTGTTCATCCAAGTTATCATTCCAATCAAACTATTTCCACTAGTTAGCATTAAGAGGTTCTAACAAGCCAGTGAATAGATACGTACCGTTTTGCTTTTATCGAGACCTATATCCCTCGAGCTAAATTCTGGCGAATATGCCTTGGACATTGGTTCAAGAGGTTTCTTTCAACTGCTTTTATACAAGATATTTGCTAATTCTGGGGATTTTTTTCTGATTATCTTCAGGGTTATCAGTCAAGACTCGCAAAAGAAAAATGTAGGAGAGAAAGAGTAGCAGACCAAAAGACCCACTGCACTTATCATCACTTGGAGCCAGTTTGAGTATACTTGAGAGTCAAGATGCAATGGAGATGAAACTGTCACATCCGAAGATCCAGCAGCTAAGCAGCAGTGTGAAGGCTCGTTTACAGTCGCAGATCACCTTGAATACCTATGGAGCTGCAGTGAGAGAAGTGATCCAGAATAGTATCGATGCCGGTGCCTCTCAGATTGATATTAAGTTGGACTTGGCGTCGTTGAGTTTTTGGGTGAAGGATGATGGGGTTGGGATTCCTCCTGATGAGCTCGAACGCATTTGCCAGCGTTACTTCACTTCCAAGTTAAGACGCTTGGAAGATTTGACTAGTATAAAAACCTTTGGGTTTCGTGGGGAGGCTCTTCATTCACTAGCATCAATGAGTAATTTGACCATCGTTTCGAAAAGAGCCGATTTCAACTCTAGTTACATTACGAGGTTTACTGGGGACGGAAACTCCAATATTGCTTTTCCCTTTGATATGAGTAATAGGGAAGAAAACCCCGTCAATGACTTCTTTTACTTTGAACCTTTCAGGTCAAGCGGGACCATTGTGACTGCTTCAAGCTTATTCCAGAATATTCCGGTAAGGCGAAACAATATGCTAAGGCTCCCCGAGTACAACTTGCTACATGAAGTGAAGGAGGTTGTATTGAAGAGCTTAATTGACCATCCGAATGTTAGAATTACAGTATGGGAACTCAATAAGGGTAGTCAGACCAGCAAGAAGGTACTTAAGGTTAACAGGGTTTTTGGGAACTTGAACTGGTATTCGAATTTATTGACTTCGATCTATGGATCCAGTCTATTACCGACCCATGAAGTTGTAAATGCCTCATTCAAAGACATCAAAATGCATGGAGTTATTGGGCTCCAACCTAATCAGTCTCGAAAGTACCAGTATATTTCAATCAACGGGAGACTGGTTCAAGTATCAGAAGAGGATTCAAAAACGATAAATAAGATATTTGTTGGATGCAACTTTGGCGGTCAGCAGTTAAACTTAACTGACTTCACAGATCATAAAAAAAGAGTTAGCTCAGTTGGGAAACCGTTTAGCAAGTATCCGGTATTCTTGATTAATTTTGAATGTAAAACGCAGTCTGGTGACTTACTACAGGATCCTTCAAAGACGATTGTTCACCCTCGACAATGGCGGGTATTATTCAAAATGCTTAATAAAGTCTTTATCAGCTTTCTTAAGCACGCTGGTTATGATTTACAGCTTAATCGAAAAGTAATAAGCTCGCCAACCCCCAGCCCCACGAAACGTATGCTGGAAGAACCAACCGATATCCTGCCTTTGAAGAGAAGCTCTGCAGCTTCCCGCTTTATACTTAACTCTAATTCCAGATTTGGATCCATAAAGTCCGACGAGATAAGGGGGATGCTACTGAATAGCGATCGTCCAGGATATTTTTACAAGCCAGTTAATATAAAATCTTCAAAAACGAACGAATCCCACCTTACAGCATCAATATCTTGTCATTTGCACAAATGCTCGGAAGATGATGATATAAGAAGAATCAACACAATGTCGGAATACCCTGATGCTGTTGATTTGGAAAACATTTCTTTGAAAAAAGAATGTCTCCACGAAGACAACTGTCGGGTGGTACTGCAATTATATAAGAAATTCATTTTGGTTGTTATTGAGTCGGAAGGGACCAAGAATTTAATGATCATTGACCAGCATGCATGTGACGAAAGAATCAAAGTTGAAAACTTGTACATGACTTTTCTCCATCAGGTTTATGACACTGATTTAAGAGTGAAACTAGCCCAGCCGTTTGATCTCTCAGTACCAGGAGAGGAAATCGAGTACTTAACGGCGTTCAGACCAAACTTCAACAGCTTTGGCATTGACTTCGAAACTCATGAAACAGATGGCCGAGTACATATTACTCATTTGCCTGAATTACTTATTGAAAAAATTGCTAACGACGCTCAGTTCTTACGAGCTAGTATTTTACAGCACGTCTGGGATTTAGCACTACACCGCAAATCAGCAAAACTCACTGGGTCTCCTGCCGACTGGTTTCAAAAAATCAAAGATTTGCCTGGTATAATCGTGGAAGTTATCAACTCAAAAGCATGTCGATCGGCAATCATGTTCGGAGACTTGTTGGAAATGAAAGATATGCAAAACATGGTCAAATGTTTGCATCGTTGCCAATTGCCTTTCCAATGTGCTCATGGGAGACCTACCATCACTCCTTTGGCTGATTTATCAAAGCAGAATTAGCAACTTTGTAGAAATAATGAAGTAATGAATTTAATTGCAAAATTTATGTATTTTGTTCGCTATAAAAAAAAAACCTTAACATTTTCAAGCATCACCAAAAACGTATGAAAAAAAAAAAAAAAATAAACTTAGATGAACCGTTAAGACCAAACAAAAGAACCCATTCTGTACCCAGCCAAGGAGAAACATCAGGATGTCATCATTTTTGAATTCTAACGAGAGTGATGTCTTCTCTACTCCAGTGAAGACGTTTGGTAAGACTTCAACGCCTCCACCAAACATGTCCTCCACACCGAAGAATAATACACCATTGAGAACAGTGACTCAATCACCAATAAGGAGATACCGATTACATAATTTGATTGATGAGCCCAGTCCTAATGAGAAGAGTGGACACTCGTCAGTCATAGGAAATCAACCATCAGAACAGTCGAAAGGACATTATGAAGATAAAGTCAAGGATATGTTGTATGATGAACCAATAATGCCATTGAATAACATGACCCATAAACTACATCAGCAGCGCCGTGTGCCCCCACAGGAAGGGCACAAGAACGGGGACGCAGGCATGAAGGAACCAATTTACTATAAACCACCCAGTGCTAGCAGTAGAAACGGATTCAAGGCCTTGTTACCACCAGGAGCAGGATCAGTAGTGAAAAATAGAAACCCTATAATAGTGCAAGAAACGGAGCATCCCCAACCAAGACTCGATGATGAATTGTCCGATGAAGAGGACGACCCACTCAAATATCCTACTGGAGAATGGGTGAACCCAGTGGTTAAAACTGCATTAAGTCGACAAGTCAATAAGCAACAACAGTTTTACAAGTTGGCCTATAGTATTTTTTCGCTACTTTTAGTTAAACTTTTCCATAATATAGCACGTTACGTAGTTATATTGGTGGAAATGAATCAAGATCCAAATGTTCGGTCGATCAATCAGTATTTAAAACAGGGACTCGATGATGAAAAAAACGGGTTGAATTATTATGGGAGCATAATCATCAAGGTAATTGAACTGATATTAATAATAAATATTATCGTATATGGATATAAATTGATCAAGCCTCAGGATCAGTGTTACGATTTGCCATTAACCAATAAACAGAGAGAACTAGTGGGACTCAAACCAATGGAAGAAGAAGTAAAAGAAGATTTTGAAGACGAAGATGTTGTCAAAGACGACCTCGATTCAAATTTGATATTAAAACAAAGAAAATTCGATGCTAAATTAACTAAAAATGAAATCAAAGAGATTCCCAAATATAACCGATCTAACTTATCATATTCAATGTATACCATCCAACCAAAACAAACAGACTCCAGTGACAACTCACAAACAAGATTAACCGAAGGAGATTTCGATTACACCCTTGCCAAAAAAAAATTGATCCAATCCGGAGACCATCAAGTGCAGTTGGCAAGTCGAGACATTAATTCCAAGGAACAAGCCGAATTGATCCAGAAGTTCAAAGAAAAATACAATCTCGACTTCAACTACGATACTTCGGTTGATACTCGCAATGTGTTGTCATCCTTGAAGTAATGTCCATGTGAATGGTGATGGCTTTGTATAGAAATATAAATTTTGCAATCTTTTAATGAGCACATGTAAAAAAACAACCAACCAAAAAAAAAAAAAAAAAAAATTACTGAGAGAGAACCCTATCATACGGAGTATTGCGGGGTGATTCAACCAAAGCTATAAATTATAGGCTTTGAATTGGAATTGAGGTGATTGAAGTAGCTACTTCTTCTAAGTGATTGGTGCAGAATAGGCATGTTTGATTTCCAAGAAGCTTTCCGGGTGATAAAAGTCGACGAGAACAATTATGTCGGGGCCCATAAACTCTTATTGCCGGTGCCAGGAGCCAGAGGAGTTTATGGAGGACATATGGTAGCCCAAACGTTATTAGTTGGGATTGAGCTGGCTCCAGGATTCATTCCCGAGCTGTTCCACGCATACTTTGTCAAGCCGGGTAAACCCAAGATACCTATGAGTTACCGGGTTACCAAGTTACACGAAGGAAATACAATTACTCAAAGATGGATTGAAGCCCACCAAGAAGGCAAGGTTGTGTTCAATGCCATGATTGCCTTTATCAAGCCGGGGACCAGAAGGAAAACCGAAAAAATTGAATTTCAACAAGCACCAACCAGACTCTATAACGAATATAAGAACATTGATGATTTGAATATAGTAGAACACACCGATTATATTCGCAGTGCATATCTGAACGAATTTAAGGATTTCAAATTGTGTCCCGAAGAGTATAACCAGTCAGCACTGCAAAGATGGATCACCGTTTGGGGAGGAATTAATCAAGGAGGTAACCCTAACTCATCTAAATCAAGCGAAGAAACAATCAAATCAAATCGCAAATCTTTTAACGACGCCAAACTTAACTATGTGGGATTAGCCGATTTAAGTGACACTGCTATTCTAACTACCATGGCCCGAGTATTACATCTTGATTGGAACCCAACCGTCGATAACCCGTACCAAGAGTACGACGAGCACCGTGATGCTCTGAAACAGTTGATGAACACCTCCTTGAACATGCTCCACCTATTCCATTACAACGCCATGTCCTTGGATCATCATATCTACTTCCATTGTGACGAATGGGACAGTTTTGACATTAGCAAAAACTGGTTGGCCTGCTGCTACCAGTGGAAAGTTCTTCTGAACAACAGAGCATTACTCAGAGGGTACATGTACGACGACAAGGGCAAGGTGGTTGCCACCATCATACAAGAAGGCCTCACCTACTTGACCGACGGAGTCTTTGATAAAGCAAGATTATAGGAATAGATGTTGGTATATCAGTATTTAGATGTAGCTCACGTGACGGCCCAACACCTCGGCAGTAACGCGATAAGCAACCGGAAAAAAGACCCGATCCAACAAATTTTGACTGCAGCTGCTGGACCTCGGTCTATTGTTGTGGCAGAGGATTATCCGATGAACAATTAAGCTGTCAAAAAAAGGATATAAAAACGATGAAGTTGGAGCTTCTTTTGCTTCTTATCTTATCGGGATAAGTATGTCAGCGGCAGTAAGTAGTAGACCACGCTCAGCAGTTGAGACTAGGTTTGGGGTTAGCAAGATTGAAGAATTAAGATACAGGGGCAATCAACCATTAGAGAAGCCAGCAAAGACTTCTAGAGGAGTTTATGGAGGGAATTTATGTGCACAAGCTATATTGGTTAGTTTAGAGACGGTTCCTGCTGGGTTCACTCCTCATTCATTGCATTCGTATTTTGTTAAAGCTGGGGATGATGCTACATCTTGTGAGTACGATGTTGAGAAATTGAGTGACGGGAGAAATTTTGCCAGTCGATTGATTAAGGTTAGTCAGGGTGGAGAGTTGAAGTATATTATAATGATAAGTTTGACCAAACGAAATTCGAGTAATGAAAAGACTTTTGAATTTCAGAAAAAAGTGCCTAAAACATTTTATCAGTATAACTTGAAAGATTTATATGAGAATACCAATGATTCAAATAATCGAATTCATCATAAATTACCTCCAAACTATCTTGATCCTAAAATAGACCAGGAAAACTTGTCTAAAAGCGCTGGGGATCGCGATTGTTCTTACTGGATACGATTTGACGATGAACACATGAATAAAGAATCAAATTTAAAATACAGTGGGTTTGGGGTTATTAGTGATTCATTATTCTTGACTTCATTATCAAGAATTTTGAATTTACCTTCCAATATTGCAAAAATCGGTAAAAGCGGTGGTAAAGGAGAGCATTTTTTCAGTGTTAGTTTAGATCATTCCATCTACTTTCATGATGATTCATTTGATCCAACTAAATGGTGTTTTTTCAATTATAAAGCACCCAGATTAAATAATAATCGTGTATTAATCCAAGGTGATTTCTACGATGAACAAGGTAAGCTTTTCGCAAGCATTGTTCAAGAAGGGTTGATTTTCTTTCACGGGGGCTCTGAATTAAAGGCCAAATTATAATATTTATTTAATTTAATACATTTTATAGAATTTATTCATATGTGTTTAATTGACTTGTAGAAAAGCCTCGTTCTTTTGCGTAATATAAGTACTATACGGACACCCAACAATAATAAACAATAGAATTTTCACTATAATAAGGGGTTGAAAGGTTAATTGAGTTATTTAGGTAAAACGGTTCTCCACTCGAAAAAACCCTTTATTTAAACTACTTTGATTCATCCTTGTGCAGATTTGGAATTACAACTCACTGCAATATGGAGTTTAAAGGCTTTACTGAAACAACCGATCAGGATTATGCTAACCATAATGTCAGCCGATTAGAAGAGAAGTTTAATTTGATACCCATTCTGAGCGATGCGCAATTTGATATTTTCGAAGGGAAATACTACTTGGAACCAGTTTGGAAAGGGATAAGAGGTGCCTATGGAGGTGAACCAATTGCTCAAGGATTAGCAGCCATATTGGAGACGGTCACTGACGATTATTACCCCCATTCATACCATTGTTATTTTTTAAAGCCAGCCAGTACCGAATCTCCCATTAGATGGCAGGTTGAAAAATTATCAAACGGTCGAACTTTTTCCACTAGAATAGCTAAAGGATATCAAAAACACAATAATAATCTAATTTTCCTAATAAATGCCTCCTTGACTAAGAATAATGATATCAAACAAAATCAATTAGCTTACGCAAAGTTGCAAAAACAAAAACCTGATAAAATCGATAAAATCCCGGTTCCTTACGAATTTGCTAGTGCTCCAAATGATCTTTTCTATAAATATAAAGATAATCTAGACACCATGAAAGCAATACTCCACACGAATGGTAATATATACCAGATATTACCACCGGATTTTGAAAACCCTCCATCGATGAAAGCAATGAGCCACCCCAGAATCGGAAATCGCTCCTTGGGTGTCTTTGTAAAAGCAGTTGATGACTTGACAAAATCAACAAACATTGCAAAATCAAAGTCAATTGATTTTGCCTACATTCTGGATGCTATGTACTTATCGTTTTTACCAGTAGCAATGGGTATTCCTCTAAACATAAAGACGTTCTCCTTCTTCAGAGTCTCCTTGGATCACTCCGTTTGGGTCCATGACTCCAACTTTGATCCTACCCAGTGGCTCTTTTTCGACTTTGTCTTCTCCCGTCTTCTGAATAACCGAGTTATCATCCACGGCCGGGTTTTCACCCTCGATGAACGCTTGGTTGCTTCCTTCTCCCAAGAAGCCCTCGTATACATCCCAAAACAGGTTGCCAATGATGCAAACGATGGTAAATATAAGCTATAGCTACATATATCTAACATACAACATGTGAATAACCGAGTTTGTAGATTAAGCCGAGTATCTCAGATAAATCGATGGAGTATCATGTGAATCTTTTTCCGCAGCCTAACTTTATGACTGTTTTTTTTTTTTTTCTCTCTTAACGGTGATGGTTTTTCATCTTTTGTGGGGGACAGAAGTATAAAAATATCACTGATTTTCCTTTATTTCAGGTGTCCAGGTTGCAGAGCTTAGCTATTCACAATGATAAACATCGAAGAGAAGCTTGGGGTCACCAAGACCGGCCCACACACGTATGTTTCCAACTCGTACCTCCCCAAACCAGCACCAGCATCCAGAGGAGTTTATGGAGGAGCATTGGCTGCCCAAGCGTTATTGGTGGCTATTAAATCATGTCATTCTGAAGGAATGAGTCCTCACTCCTTACACTCATATTTTGTTAAGCCCACTTCTCCCGACAAGTTGATCCATTGGGAGGTGACCGAAATTAGCAATGGGAAGAATTTCACCAACCGAAATCTTAAGGCATTACAGGACGGAGTGATTACTTACATTGTGAATGTAAGTTTAACCAAGAAGAACAGCTTTAAGGAAGCCACAATTAAGTACGAAGCCGCACTTGCCAAAGCTTCTGTTGGTCAAGACCTTGGTGATAATGCCGAGGAAGACGAGGAAACCGAAGAAGTGATTCAAAAACCTTTTAGATTTCAAACAGACTACCCCGAATGGTTAAAGAAACATCCAGCGGAAGAGTTGGGTATTGATTTCAAGTCGAGTAATCGGGCCATATACCATTCGATCCCACCAGAAATGACCGATTTGCAATTAACGAAAGATGAAACGTCCCGTTCGATCACTGATCGTAGATTGGCTTTTTACGCTAAATGGGGGTTGAACAACATTCATTATACTGACGATGCATACAAATTTGCTGGGTTGGCTTTTCTTTCCGATTCCTATTTTCTTACTAGATTAGGAAGATTATTAAGAATTGAAAATATCAGACATGATCGGGTGGTCCATTATTTTTCGGTCAGTTTAGATCATATCATATACTTCCACGATGATGACTTTGATCCCACTGAATGGATAGGGTTTGCTTTTAAAGCAATTAGATTCAGTAATAACCGTGCTTTATTAGAAGGTGAATTATACAACGATAAAGGTATACACGTTGCTTCCATTGTTCAGGAAGGATTGGTGTACTTTAACGGACTAGAAAGAGAAGCTAAGATTTAGACTCGATGACGTATTTATCTTTTGTAATTTAATATTAAGTAGTAGTAAAACAAGATGTAGAGTAGAATGGGTCTTTTTTTTTTTTTATTAGGGAGCGAAAAATTATCAACGGATTACTACTTCTCTTTTCTTAATCAAACGTCATGTCACCTTCAATTGACGTTATAGAACCGAAACTAAACGAAAATCTATCGCATCTCAATGAAGAAACTTTGAATAACTTGTTGGAGTTGCTTTCCAAGATCAAAACAAGAGAAAACTTATTGATTCTAGATCAATCCTTATCAAATCTAATCAATTATTTAACTCCTTTTTCCAAGTTGAAATCCGAAGGTAGATTCGATAAAATCATATGGTATAAGTCGTTACCTATTCATAAACATCAAAATGAAGAGCTTCGAAATATTATTGAGCAGTTTGATGGATTGATTTTGATAGTTGAGTATAATCAAGCTAATTTAAATATTTTGAAAAAATTTAATGAAATATTGACTAAACAATTCAAACAGATTAAAATCAGCTTGATAATACCAAACTTGGGTAAAAACCATGTATTTGAATTAAATCAAGTATTGAATTTAGAGTTTCAAACGTTCGATAAGATCTTGAGAAATAATTCAAAATGGAGTAATTTAAACTTATCAAGTTCTATCAAGCTATTTAACTGGGTCGTTAACCCTTTCTATTACAAAGATGATAACTTGATTAGCTTGGGAATGAATTTTGGCGGATTGGAATCGTATTTCAATCAACCTTTAGAACAACTAAACCAATTATCTGATGATTTCATCAAAATTATTACTCCTGGAGAGTCAAATAACCTTGATGACTTGATCAAGTTGAAAAATATCTACGGGAAGGGAGATCATTCGAAATTATTAATAAATTTAATTCAAAATGAAAAATTACCCGAATTTTTCAATGCAAATTTAAATAAATTGGAACAAGATTTTTATAATAATAAATTGTCGGGAAATACTGATTTGATAGTTTTAGAAAGAAATTTGGATTACTTACCAATTTTTTTCAATCAATTGAATTACCAGGGGTTAATTGATGACTTATTTGAGATAGAAGATGAGTATAATCAAAGCTTTAAAAATAATGAAGAAAGTTATAAACTAAACGAAGATGAATTATTTAAAAATTTGAAAGATTTAAATTTTGCATCAATAGGAAATAAATTAAATAAATTAGCTAAATATATCCAATTTCAATATCAGCAAAAGGATAATTTGAAAGATTTAAAAGAAATTAAAAAATTGGTCAATAATTTGGGTAGTTTAACTACCAAACAAGACTTAATTAAAAAGCATACTTCAATTCTGGAATCAATTTTAACTTTTATCAAAGCAAATGATAGAATCATGCCTTTTAATCAAAATGAATTTTTTTTACAATTTCAAAATGATTTATTTGATTTAGATTATAAACAACAGATTAATTACCTTATTCGATTTCTCGATGAAAACTATCAATTAGATATAATCTTACTGTCAATAGTATTAATCTCATTGATTAATGATGGTATAAAAGAGAAAGATTTTGATATAATTAAATTTGAATGTATTCAAAATTATACCATTGAAAGCTTATTGATTTTGAATCAATTAATTGATATCGAATTGATTCATATAATCCCGACCGCCAATAATGATTTCCTTGGTGCATTGACTGGATTATCATTGAGTAATAACCAACCATCCCACCACCAATCGTCATCTCAACCTTCGACCCCTCAAAATGAAAACTTGGTTTCCTACGATGGATTAAACCAATTGGGGATTACTGCCGGTCAAAAAATTTATCAAAATAACTACAATCTTATCAATAAGTTTTGGAATTTACACCCGTTAATCGAGGAAGAATACGAAGCTACATCTACTACTATTGACACCGATGATGATACATTAATAAGCGAGTACCCCCATGCCTCATTCACCTTACCTTCCAATACGGTTCCCTTACTTTATCGATTAGTTGAGTCATTATATTTCCGAGACTTTCTCAAATATAAACCCACAAATAACCTATCGAGAAGACCTAATTGGGATAATCTTGGGTTGGATAATATGTTCAAGGGGAAAACAGTTGACATCAACTTATGTGACAAACTGGATGAAATGAAGACCATTAGTAAAAATAAAGAATATATCATCATTATACTAATTGGAGGTATCACCCGAAGTGAAATAACAACTTTCAAGTATTTGCAACAAAAATTCTCTAAAAATGGTTATAACAAAGAAATCATCATACTTACCAGTGGGATTGTGAACAGCAAAAAATTCTTTCATCTCTTCAAATCTACATAGTCTTAAATATATATAAATATATTAAAAATGTATACCTAGGAGAGAAATTGGCTTCAAAGAAGTAAAATAGAAAACATTAAAGTGCTCGTGAATATATTGATACTTGTTAATTTTTTTTTTTGGGAGTGAATGCATTGACTTCATCTAGTTTAAACACTATCTTCAGCTTCCTTTTGAGCTTTTAATTGTTTATAGTAAGCTTCTCTTTTAGCAACAATTGGTTTATGTTCAAATTCCCAATAAGCAAAAGCCAATACAAATCCACATCCGAATCCCAAAGTGATATCGGTGATGATCTTTCTTCTTAAAGTACCAGTGATAGGAGCAATAGCCATGGTTGAGTTTATGTTAGTTTCTTCCAAAGATAAGCAAAAGAAGGGTGTTTCCAATGTTTAAATTGGAAAGAATCAAAAACGAAAAAAATCAGTTCATTGAGAAGACACTAAAAAAAAAAAAAAAAACAGAAAATTTTACTCAACCAATAACATTTCATTGGTTGGAAAAAAATGTAAAAAAAAAATGGTGTCTTCTCACAGGGACAAATTAAAAGATTTTATCAGACAACATTATCATTATCTTCTTTAACTACAAGTCAAACTAAACCGTCGCCATGTTTAAACAAGCCTCCATGTTGTCCAAACCAGCTTCCAGAGTGTTATCTCAAAAAGCATTCATGAGAAACTTTCAAAGCTCTGCTAGATCTATGAACAAGATCTACGGTACTCCAGCAGAAGGTCCATACTCTAATCTTCCATTTAAAGTTCACAACAGAAGATTCATTCCATTTGGTGTTTACTACTGGGGGGTTTTGGGATTCTTCTTTGCCTTCCCATTCTTGACTACCTATTTACACTTGTATAAATCTGGTGCTTTAAATGAATAAGGCATTAAATTTTCAATTCATCATTTCAAAGTTTCAATTCCATAATTATTCTACGTCTCCCTAGCCTAGGTTTGTTTTATTATTATATAGGTCTATGCTTAATGAATATCATTCCAATTTATTCCACGAACCTTACTCGTTTGACCATTTTCGGTTCATCGTATGGATGACTTCTTTTCATACTAGATTGCAAGGTTGTTGTTGTTGTTGTTGTAGATGTAGATGTAGAGGAACTGGAGGTTGCGGTTCCAACTATGCTATGTTCAGGATCATAGGAATCAATGTCATCATCATCTTCATCGTATAAAGAATCACTTTTAACTATTGGGGTGATTTCATTTTGAGGACTACCTAAAAATGAATCCAGAAAATTGATGGGGTTGAAATTAAGCCCTAGACTACTAGCAATACTAGTTGGTTCTTCTGATTCTTCTTTAGGAGTATGAGTACTAACGTTGTTCGTTTCGGGGACTTTCAAAGTTAATGAAGGTCTTCTATTTATTTCAAGTGGTTTCCCCCAACCGGCCAAAATATTTTTAAACGCTAGATCTTGATTTATATCAATCAAAATATCATCAAATATATCTGATTTAGGATTTAAATTAATTTCAATTTGTTCCGGAGATGTACTGGTTGATGATTCATTGACATCTTCTTCTTCAATTGGCGATTCCGGTGATGATTCTCCTTCATGTTCTTTTGCCTTGATGATCTTCGGTATTAATGGTTTGAGAAAAGCCTGTTGCTGGAAACTTTGATCATCAATAATTTTCCTTATTTTTTGTAAATCTATTTGGTATTGAGGGGCCTTCATATCGAATTCTTCTCTTGATGATGTCATTATACCATCACTTATGCTATTAATTTGAAATACTAAATTATTTCTGGTCATTTTATTATTCTTGATGAATTCTTCTTCTTCTTTATTTAATGTAATATTAATTTGATCGATTTCATCATCAATAGCGATAATATATTGTAGTAAGTAATTTCCTTCTCTTAACAACATATCTTGAGTGATTCTAGCTGGTACCATTCCATTAGATGGAATGCCTTGTCCATTTTGATTATTAATAGATGTTGCTTTAATGATGAATTGTTCGATTTTCTTAATAACGGCATTGGGGAATAACTCTAAACCAGAACTAGTTTGGGCTTTGGTCCAAGTTTTGAATAAATTAATTAGATTTTGTCTTGTTGGAGTATCAGTAACAACCAAATATGTTTGAGTAAATATATTATATAATTTATTACCAAAGATTAAATTATATGGATTCCCAATATTTTTACAAATTGAGTCAACAAGATAAATTGCAAATAATTTATACTGTGGTAAGCATTTCTTAATACGTTCTTCGATTAAACTTACTATTTTATCAGCTTCATCAACGTATTTATCGGCCAAAGAGGTTAGCTCCGTTATTAGAGCTCTCGAATTAACTGTAAGGGACGATAATACATGCAGATAGTAATCCGGATTAAATGGTTCTTCGACGTCCATCTCTTATGCTATATGCTATAATTTTTAAAAGTATCTTGGCTTCTGCTTTTGCTTTCAAGTACTATATCGATAAAAAGAACATAAAGGAATTTCTGTATGGAGATGCAGTACTTTGGATTTAAAGAAAAAGGGCGTTCTTTGCTCTTGGAACCCGGGTTACTACGAATAACAAGACAAAATGTTAGATTATTGTCGTTAAAGATTATCTTTAAACAATCTTAATGCTGGTAAAGAAAAGAAAAATTTTTTTTGTAAAGATTTTTTTTTTTTGTCAATACAAGATAAGTGTTGAAATTTACCGTGATGTTGATCTGATAACACTAGTTAATAGTTACCTATTCTGAGATCGTATAGTGTATTACTTGTATTGATGTTCAAAGTACGAAGAGAAGAATGACTATCGTTTTGTATGGCTTGTCAGTTCTCCGACTCAGTTTTTTTTTTTTTTAGCTTCCTTCATTCTGTTCTTTTTTTGTTTTTTCTGTTATTTTTTATTTTCTTTTTCAGTATTCTCATTTGTAACTTAGCATTTGTGGTACACCAACAAAATAGGCTGTCTTTACTGGAGCATTCGAATTAGTTTCGAGGAAGGAACAGGTATCTTCGCCCCCGTGAATCACCAAGCGAGCTAGTACCTGGACGAAGGCGTAAACTCGATCCAGGCGCATTTTTGTTCGCAACATCTGTATCAGCATATAGCGACCGTAGCGAGTTACCCCCATCATTTGTAGGACCGACTTTCATATTTGCTGATATTCTTGTAGCCAATTGGGTGGTGGCTGATCTATTCTTTGCAACTCTGAAGAGTGAAGTTTTTTTAACCGGCGGTTCATCATTAGAATGTCTGCTTGAAGAAGAGCTGCGCAACCCTTGGACGTTGGTGGACTCACCACGGAAGGAATGAGAAGCATCGTTACCAGAAGAGGCTGCAGAAAGGGACACTGGGGTGATACTTGGTTTTGGAATAGTATTCCGATGAAATTTCTCAATGAACGAATCCATTTTATGTGAAGGGTGTGTTCCTGGATCTATATCATTTCCTTCGAAACCCATTGATCCAGCATGGTCAAAGTCCAATTCAGCGGTAGGAGGGGCGTTTTGCACTAGCTGGCTCTTCAAAATTGCAACCTCCTCCGATAAACTGAATACTTTCTTCTTATAGTGATCCAACTGGGTCAATTCGTTTTTAGCAGCGTACAAGAGCTCTTTCTGCTTCATCAACTTATCGTTCAACTTTTGGTTTGCTCTCCTATAGTACTCCATACCCCCTGCCATCGTGGTATACTGGAACCTAGCAGCATTATACACTGAATCCAACTTTTCTGGAATCGGATTGAAAAAATCCTTCAATTCCCCGGGCAAACTGGCATCCAACTTCACAATAGAGACGCTGCTAGCCCTACACACGGGACAGGTATACCTAAAAGAGCTGTCCGCTTCTCTTGGTTAGTAATACTTTGCCAATCAACACTTTCCCCCTAGGTATCTAGTTACCATGTAAATGGTCGCTGCACGCGATGTGGGCACACGAAGTAAGGTGGAGCTCCTTCTCCAGACACTGCACAAAGCAGACACCGCAGCAGATATACGTTGGGTTGAACTCCATCTTGCTGAAACTGCTGCCGCTGGCCTTTGATGAAGTGGTTGTTAAAAAAGACAAAGTATTGATCTTTTTTTGCAGTTAGCCGCCCGCCAAAAATACTACACCCGTGCACCCACAATTTATTGGCCCTCGCGCACTACCCTGGGGCAACGCCGGAACAAAACACCGGTTTCGGTGAAAAGAGTCCGAAATTTTGACTCACCAATAAATAAAACTCGATAAAGAGACCCCGGCAAAAAAAGAACAAAGTACTAATAAACCAAAAAAAAAAAAATTTTTCAATAATTGACTAGCGGTTCTTTGTATTCCATGAAATCGGATTTTGAATTGTCAAATTGAAAAATATATAAGTAGGTTTGGATTCACTTGTTTTATTGAATTAATTAAGTATAGCCAAAAATGTTGAGATCAGCTATTAACCGTCAATTTACATCGGTTCGTTCATTTTCTAGTTCTATTAAATCTTTAGATAAGATTAAGGTTACCAATCCAATTGTTGAATTGGATGGTGATGAAATGACTAGAATTTTATGGACCAAGATTAAAGATCAATTAATTCATCCATATTTAGACGTTGATTTAAAATATCATGATTTAGGGATTGAATACAGAGACCAAACTAACGATCAAATTACTATTGATGCAGCTGAAGCCATTAAGAAGTATGGGGTTGGTGTTAAATGTGCCACTATTACACCCGATGAAGCTAGAGTCAAAGAATTCAATTTGAAAAAAATGTGGGTTTCACCAAATGGTACTATCAGAAATATTTTAGGGGGTACTGTTTTCAGAGAAGCTATTATTATTCCAAGAATTCCAAGATTGGTACCAAGCTGGAAAGAACCAATTGTCATTGGTAGACATGCTCATGGAGATCAATATAAAGCCACCGATTTGGTTATTTCGGAACCAGGTACTTTAGAATTGAAATTTACTCCATCTAATGGAGGAGAAGCAGAAACTAGAACTGTTTATGATTTCAAAGGACCGGGTGTTGGATTGGCCATGTATAACACTGAACAATCGATTAGAGATTTTGCTCATTCTTGTTTTAAAATGGCAATTCAAAAAAATTTACCGTTATTCATGTCAACTAAAAATACTATTTTGAAAAAATATGATGGTAGATTCAAAGATATTTTCCAAGAAATTTATGAATCTGACTATGCTCAACTTTTCAAAGATCATAATTTATTCTATGAACACAGATTGATTGATGATATGGTTGCTCAAATGATTAAATCAAAAGGTGGATTTGTCATGGCTTTGAAAAATTATGATGGTGATGTTCAATCGGATATTGTTGCTCAAGGTTTTGGTTCCTTGGGTTTGATGACTTCTGCTTTAATGACTCCTGATGGTAAATCATATCTTGCTGAAGCTGCCCATGGTACTATTCAAAAACATTTCAAAAATCATGTTAATGGTCAAGAAACTTCTTCTAACTCCATTGCTTCTATCTTTGCTTGGACCCGTGGTTTAATTCAAAGAGGTAATCTTGACAACACTCCTGAAGTTGTTAACTTTGCTGAAACTTTAGAAAAAGCCACTCTTGATACCGTTCAAGTCGATGGTATCATGACTAAAGATTTGGCTTTAGCTTGTGGTAACACCGATAGATCTTCTTATGTCACTACTTTTGAATTTATGGATGCAGTTTCTGATAAATTGAGAAACCAAATTAAAGTTTAAGTTGACCTTATTCTTTCCAAATTCTAATTGTCTTTACAATCATTGAAAATAGCAATTATGAAATGCTCTCATGATTAATGATATACTCTATATATATTATATACTACATTTTTATTTGATCTTTGATCTTTGTAAACCTCATTATACAACATCATACTTTGCCGTCACCAGTCAACAATCGATAAACCAAGATACATTTATGAAAATCCTCGAGGATCAACGTTTTTGCAACAACTAAGTCATAAAACGGCAATACTAGAATCCGAGCTCAATTATTCAATTTCAGTAAGCACACTTCTAACAAAAGTTCTTCCAAAAACTTCAACCTATCTAATAATATAGTTTAATAAGACTTAGTAACTTTTTAAAAAAATTTAATCATTTTAAGACAGAGCTCTCGAATGGTTTTAAGATAGTGTTTTACCTCCTTCCCAAAAGAGAAAGTTGGCTAATCTACTTATATAAGGGAATCTTTTATTAGCAAAATATTCGAGTGCTTTGTCACTTTCGTCTTCACGGTACTTTACTGTGGCATGAGACACATTTGATCTACTCTTGAAACACAATTAGGGCGTCCTAGTAAGTTCACTTTGTAATCTGTGCCTCTGTCAAAAGCTTAGTCCGGCTCCTGTTTTCCACAATCCGTTCCCCAGCTAAAGCAAAAATCTCTTCCACTAGCTTCTCCCCAGGACGACAAATTGTAATAGTACCCCTGCACCAAGATTGGAGTGCTTTTGCAGAGTATTGATGTTATTAATCTTGAATATTTAGTGTCGAGCAATCCATTTTTACAATTTCGAATATACCGCAAATTTAATGCTTACAGCCGACCTTTGTTTTCTTTCCGAAGCATCTCTCAAGCTATCTCTTCTTTAGCTCTCTACTTGAATGGGGTTCAAGTTTTGCTGCAAAAAACACTCAAGCATTCTCTTACATATATAGTTCCAGATACATTATTCCTTTTTAGGAGTGGTTAATCATGCATATAAAGAGAAGATATCTCTGCTTGACGAGAAAAACTATCCGAAAAGCTAAAAACTATTCGAGAGCTCTGTCTTAAAATAACTGAAATTTTTGAACAAATAATGAAGTCTTATTAAATTATATCATTAGATAGGTTGAAGTTTTGGGAAGAACCTTTGTTAGAAGTGTGTTTACTGAAAATGAATATTTGTGCTGCTATCTCTGTTTTGTGGCTTATTTTAAAACAAAAGATTGCCCGTTCGATTCTGCTGTATGTATTACTAAATAAGATACTTCAGAAAAGATAGATTCAGTAGGATAAACCACAAGCATTATATAGATGGATCAAGCTATCAATTATCAGTTGAAAGAAATATAATACAAGCCAAATGTTTTTTGATATCGGATGTATAATGCCAAATTTGCAACAATTAACTAAATTTCACAAAAAAGTATCAAAATTCAAATAAAACTTTAAAGTATATAAATCATAACATTTTAGGTACTACAGATTTAACTTTATGTTTCTTAACAATAATGAATATTTATCATTGCAGAGAAACAGAAGTATACTAAGTTTTTGGGTGTATTGGGTTCGAACCTGATCCCTGCTTTTTGGCCCAGTACACCCGTGCACACCAGGTTGCCAGTCCCAGTCTTATCAGTTAGACGTAGTATTTGCAACATTAAAGGGTTCTTATCTTGATCAAGTTATCCACAGGGAGCTGAGGGGGATCAAAGGAAGACTACCGGGAAGATCACGAGAGGTGAACCGGAAAATTGCAGGAAAATCTACCGGAAACAGTAATTAGTCGACATCGGACTAATCGTCAAACGAAGTAGTCTCGATAGTGGGTGACATGAAGCACTAGCGTATTGTTTATTGTAGGTAGCGACTCCGACCACGAGAATCACGACATCGAAGAGCATTTCAAGAGGGTCGCAACCCCAATACGGCAATTGAGATTGAAAGACCTTTCACAAACAAGCCACTGCAGAATGGGCAGATTGCTTACTAATTGCGTAGCGAATAGATATAAATACCAGATATTCGGGGATATTTAGATATACTACATCCTACATTGAAAATGTCCTCAACATACGAGACCCCTAATGCCCAAGTACCATATTATCTTCCATTACAACCGGAAGTCTTAGGGAAAGCCATTGAACCACAACCCGATAATAAGCCAATACCAAAATTGTTTCAACCACTTAGTATTAAGAATGTTACCTTTCCAAATAGAATAGGAGTTAGTCCAATGTGTCAGTACCTGGCCGGAAGTGTTTCCAAAGACGGGAAAGCAGAAAATACTTTTTTAGCAACACCATATCATTTTGTCCATTATGGTGGATTCACTACTAGAGGAGCCGGGTTAACTATTGTGGAAGCAGCAGCGGTTAGTGCTGAAGGAGCGTTATCACAAAAAGATTTAGGAATATTTAATGATGAACAGGCAAAGAAATTAAAGGAAATTGTTGATTATGCCCATGGTAATCAAGCCAAGATTGGGATTCAAATTGGCCATGGGGGTAGAAAAGCCAATGGACAACCAATATTTATTCATTTAGAACAAACAATTGATAAATCAATTGGAGGATGGGGAGATAAGATTGTAGCACCATCAGCAATTGAATTTAGACCCAAGGGGAATTATCCCGTACCAAATGAATTAAGTAAAGAAGAAATTAAAAGAATTATTAAAGATTTTGGATTAGCAGCTAAAAGAGCAATTGAAATTAGTGGATTTGATTTTATTGAAATTCATGGAGCACATGGATATTTAATCACCGAATTTTATTCAGCAATATCCAATAAAAGAAAAGATGAATACGGAGGATCATTTGAAAATAGAATAAGGTTTTTAATTGAAATAATAAAAGAAGTTAAATTTCAAATTGGAGATAAAATTCCAATTTTTTTAAGAATTTCAGCAGTTGATAATGATGATACCACCAATGATGCTTGGACAATTGAAGACAGTATTAAATTAGCTCATATTGTGGCACAAGAGGGTATTGATTTATTAGACATTTCTAGTGGTGGTAATAGTCATAACCAATCTAGAAGAGGTACTAAATCATTTGTTCACCATGAATATGCTAAAGCGATTAAGAAATCCGTTGGTGATAAATTAATAATTGCTTGTGTTGGGGCAATTAATGATGCTAATAAGGCAAATCAAGCTATTGAAGACGGTGATTTTGATATTGCTTTAATTGGTAAAGGTTTTTTACAGAATCCAGGTTTAGCCTGGACTTGGGCTGATCAATTAGGAGTTAGAGTTCATCAATCATTACAATATGATTGGGGATTCCATCCAAAAATCTCTCAAATTGTTGAACTCATTGAAAGAAGTAAACAATAACTTCATTATATACTTTACAATTAATTAAATAATAAAACGAGTAAATATGCAAAACAATATACATTTAGACTTTATTGATGGCATTGGTACGATCAACTATAATAATGAAATTTTGAAGGTTCTAGGTCCATGGGAAAAGACCCCTGGTACCTTCTGGTACCAACCTCGCACGACGAAATCGCCTTCCCATGCTGGCAATCTTAGATGCTTCAACGCAGTTACGTAACTGGGAGTTAAAAAGAAAAGAACAGGGTTTTGAATTCCCCAGGCTCTCAACATTTGCTGCTCCAAGATTACCCAATTGATCAGGATGGGGGCTACCCAATTGATCAGAATGGAGAGAATGAAGCCTACCCAATTGATCAGAATGGAGAGAATGAAGCCTACCCAATTGGTCAGACTGGAGACGGCTCATTTGGATGGAGAAATCCCATTGGAATACTGGTATGGAGGGGTGATCCAGGGTATTGTCGAGGCATACCTGATCTGAGGTATTGATATGACAACTATCGAGGACAAACAATCCTAAATAATATTCACCAAAAGATAAAGACTTGAGATAAGACATTAATGCAGCAACAAGTATCAAATGGTAAATAATTACACCTCGAAGTATTGACCCTTACAGAATATTATCTAGCTGAATCAATTGAGACAATTTATTTTGGTGCCGTCAAATCACCAGTTGTCCTACCCGAGAAAGAGAATATATATGCTATATGCGCAACTGCATTTAAGTAAATGCCTCTAAGCCTGAAGGGTTATCAACTAGTTGAAATTCTCAAGGGGGGTGCTTTCTCGAATGCAGTGCTTTTTGATGCATCCGGGATTAACTAATCTCTGGAGTTTCCGTCGGGGTGTCAGCAATACTGTCGAGAGAGCATTTCACCCTTCCAGCAACATCAACGTGGAAAGAACAACGTCAGTTATAGGCTTTTCGTTTCGAGAAATGCTTCCAGAAAGCTATCAATGCAGGTAAGTCTCTATTCCTTTTTATTTTTCCCTTTTCTTGTTCCCTTTTTACCCAGTTTCTCTTTCTTTTTCTTTTTCGTTGTTTCGCTGTTTGTTGGTTTCCTTTGTAGAAGTACCCCTTCCTACATACTGGTAAGGATTGCCTACCAGTTAATGTAGCGATTGAAAGGTTTGCCCGCAAACGTTGCTTCATTGAACATGTTCCGGTGGTAGCAATATCGCACCTAGATCTAAGCAATCACCAAAGTACAAATTGCAATCTTTGTAAATCAAGGGAACAGCAGAATAACCAACAGAACAAGTTCAAGTTTCTAGATTAATGGTTCAATGCAGGTGATGTTCATTTATCAAAGGCTATTTCATTTCGATTTCCCTCTTTTCCACCGTCTATTGTTTCAATAGCTTACTTAGCCCCGTGAAATTACCATCCCAAAAAGAATGCAGCTTCTATATACTGATAATCCGAGTATCCCACTAGATTTTCTGATTTGTTTCTTTTGTCCTTGTCTTGCGTTTCACCAATCTAAAGATCCAATACCTCAAATAGTATTGCTCCATCCCCATCTACTTTTCATTCTGGTTTACTCCTTTGTTTTCTTTGTAGCGGTAGGGTGACTAATGTACTGTATGTATTACAACACTTTTTAGTGCTTTTAATGCATATTTCAATTGTTACTCTCTTATTATTATTACTGTATTATAATTCATGATCCCGTTGTAGTTGTTCTTTTCTTTCTTTTTGTTCCGTTGTTGTTTCTTTATCGAAATATCTTCTTCTACATATATATACATATTTATATTTGCCAATATCCTGAAATTAATTCGGTTTGAAATCACCGCTTTATTTTATTTTACTTTACATTTTTTTTTTTTTTTTTCATTTTCTTTGAATCACCAGATAAAACCTCTTTTATTTTACTGTTTGGTTGTTCTTGGTAAAACAAGTATTGAATGACACCGCAACGCAAATTGGAGTTGTTTTAATTGTTTATTGAAGTCTATTTTCCAATCAAAAATTTATCGTTTTGTATCATTAATTTTCGATTGGATTTTTGATTTGATTTAGTTTGTTTGTTTTGTTAACAAGGTGCTTACTTTGATTCGTTTATCTTGAAGATTGTCTTGTTAACCACTCGAGGTTTGGAGAATAAACTTTTTTTCATTTCCATAGTTATCCTTGATCCACTATTCTACGTTTGTTGGTGTTTGGTAATTTTGTAATCTTTTCCTTCTCTCTGTTAACTGATTTGATTCAAATATCGATTTCGTCATTGCCTTTTCCTTAATATACTTACTCAATACCTCCTTGATCTTGTTTTTGGGTGTCTCTATTACATTCCTTACCGTGTTTTGATGCCAACAAAAGTATTGATTTAAAAGAAGCTGCCTTTTTCTTCTTGTTCTTCTTTCCTTTTTTTTGCCTTTTGCTCCCTGAAAAATTTCAGCTTATCCAAAAATGATCCCCCAAGTATCTTATCCTTATCAACAGAAGCAGGCTCTGACTCTGAATCCAAATCAAAAGTCTCTGGATTCAAGTCTTACTCCTCGTTTATCGAGATTTTCAATCAATGCTTCCAGTCCTTCCATGAGTAGTTCTGGTTACTTGAATGTATCCCCCCCTTCTAACCAAACTTTGAATACTTCTCCCTCTTATCCTATTCATCATCGTCATCATGTTTCGCTTCCTCCAATGAATGCATCCACCGGTGCTTATTTACCACCAGCAATGTCTGACTCGTTATCCCAACCTTATCTTTATCCTCCTCATACTAATCGTGTTGTTGCTGCTCCAAATCACTATACGTTCCCAGCTGATTCCTCGTCTTCTACTTCCCAAACTTCTCCCTTGGTTGACCAATATTATTACAAGTTTCCTCAAAATTCCTCCTCGCCAAATGCCACCGCTGGTCCCTTTGGTAGTATTTACTTTTCAACCCCAGTTGTTAATCAACAATCCTTTCAATATACCCCAAATCATCTGCCTAATCAATCTTTCCAGTCACCTCCTTCTGATATTCAATTACAACATCAAGGATCTCCTCCTCATCGTAATCATGGTGTTTCAAAACCAAAGGAACATAAACGCAAGAAATCAAGATCATCTCCTAATTCAAAAGGTATTCCTTTGATTAACAAATTTCTGGCAAACCCAATTTCAAATGTTAATATATCTAATCATCAAAAATCCTCTTCATTACCTAGCTACAATACCGTATCTTCTCCCAATGACAGCAAACCTTATTCTTATGCGTTTGCTATTCCTCAAGATTCGGGTCCTAAAATGTCAGTCATGGGTAGTGTTGGTAGTAATAAAGATCATCACGCTGCTAAGATTAATTTCCCCATTTGTCAATTGCCGGTTAATGAGGAAGGTAAATCCCTTCAGATTCCCTTTGATAAATCAAATGACTTGAAGAATGTGATTTATCCCCAAATTGAAATTAAAAAATATTCAACCTCTGCAATTGATCCTTTGAGAAATTATCTTGTGGTTTTTGAATATTCGATTAATAATCATTGGATTATTTGGGATTATGAAACTGGATTTGTTCATTTAACTGGAATTTGGAAAGCTTCTTTGAATGATTCAAAATCAATGGAAGAATCTTCTTTACCAAAATCAAATTCCAAAGCTGATATCGTAAAATTATTAGAATCTACCCCAAAACAATACCATCCTTATATTAAACGTATAAGAGGTGGGTTTTTGAAAATTCAAGGTACCTGGTTACCATTTAATTTATGTAAAGTTTTGGCTAGAAGATTTTGCTATCATATAAGATATGAATTAATTCCAATCTTTGGTACAGATTTCCCCGATTACTGCTTGAAACCAAATGATGATGGGTTTGGTGAATTGAAATTAGATGAAGTTCCCGATGAAGATTCTTTATTATCAAATGGTGAAATTAGAATTGATCCAACTAAAAAATCTCCTAAAAAGAAGAGACATTCAAACCCAATCATTAATTCTAATCTTTCAAATTTTGATTCGTCTCATAACAATTTTGATAATAAGAATTATGCTTCTTTGGCTACTCCTTCAACTCCGGTTACTAATAAAGTTATTAAAAAGGATCCAAAAAGGAAACATAGAAGTAATTCATTAACCTCTAATAATCTTCCAAAACAAATGTTACCCTTGCCAACCCCTCCTGCTAAATTAATGGACTCTCCTAAATTATTGGTGAAGACTGATTTGGAAAAAGCATATTTGAAAAGCCCAGCTTCTGGGACTTTCACTGTTGGTAAACCAAATGAACACCGTCAACTTCTACCTTCGTGTAATACCTTACCTACTCCGGGCTCCACTTCTTCCCATACTCACTCTAAGAGTGAAGATAATTCCTATACTGATATGATTGATATTGTTAATGCTTCAAAGTGCCTTCAATCTCTCAGCCAATCCAGAAGCCATCATCCAGTATCATTATCTACCCTGAGTTCAACTTCCAATGACTTGAATTCTATCGGTGCCAATAGCAATAACCAAGGATCCTTACAAACTTCTCCAATTAACTATGATTCCTTATCTGGTAATAAGAATTATACTATAAGCTCTCCAAAATCTAACGTGTCTCCTGAATCTGGTATCTCGTCGATTTTGGTGGCTGCTGGAGTAAGTGAAGAAAGAACTTCTGATCTGCAATCCTCAATCCGCCTTCCTCCAATAGAAATTGGGCACCGTGGGGCAAATGGCAAAACCTCTCCCCACTATCATCATTTGAGACAGAACAGCATAAAGATTAACGACTTACTTTCTTGAATTGTGATACTTGCTTATGCTATTCTATAATTAACGATTTATGACATACTTTTTTATTCTTCTTTTTTCTCTTTAACATCCTTTTTTGTGTGAATTTGCTTTTCCACTGTATTTAGTCTTACCATTGTATCGAACAGATCTCTTGGGAAACTTATGTCAACTATTTGCAGCTGTTTTTAATTCTTTTTGGGTTTATTCTTTTTTTTTTTTCTCTTTTTCTATAGACAACCTTTTACTCTTATTTATAGTTTGATTTATATTCTCTGTGAGTTCATTTTTATAAAGTTCCCTCTGGTGTCAATAGTCTTTCTCAACCATCTACTCTGGTGTTATTTCAAATATACGGGATTAAACATAGCTATGTTGTAGTATGAAAAGCCTAAGTGCAGGATGTTGGAAATTATCGCTCTTTACGTGTTTTCACACCGAAATGGTTTTTGGAAAAAAACCGAGTTTTGTTCAATTTTGTTGAAATATATCGATTGGAGTTCAGTTACCAACAAAAACAAAGCTTTATTAAGCTCCACGGGAGGAATAACAGCCTGGATTTTTCTTTTTTGTTTGTATTTGTCTGTGTGTTGCGTGCCATTGAAGTTTATCAAGAAATATGGATTTTATAGATTTCGAAACGTACCATGAGAATGACCTGTTACCCCAACCACAACCAGCTTTATCATTGCCAATCTCTTCCAATATAGAGAGTTTGGGTAAAAGGTTTTCTAGCTTCAATAACTTGACGAGAAATCTACTCAAAAGAGAAGAAGAAGGGGATCAAGAATCAAATCCAAATAATCAAAATTCGGAAGAGTCTAAGCTAGCTCAGAAGTATGCTGATTTGTCATTAAACTTACTCAAGGGAAGTCAGGGTTTAGTAAGCGACGAAAAGAGTGATGGTGATACATTGCAAGAACTGGATATATCATCAACGAAGACATTATCCAGTAGATTATCTAGAGTTCTAAACACTCCACTTTCAGATTCTATGATTAGAGAGATATTCACGACTTTGGAACCCAAAATCAATGATATAGATAACCTTGTTGAACCAGGTGTCATAGGTTCAGTTTTGAGAAAGCAATTCAGGGGAAGTATAGAGAGTGATTTAATTAAAAGTCAAAGTCTAGTTTTGAAAGAGTACCAACCAGTTATCAAGCAATTAAAGGTCTTAGAAGATAGGCTTAATGACTTAAATAGTATATCTACTGAAGCTACATCAAGGATTGAGTCTGATTTTGAAGCAACCACTGGGTTCAACAAAGAAGTCAAACAATTGAATAAAGACAAATTAGTGATCGATTTAAAGAAAAATTTGTTAATAAGTTTTAAAAATAAATTTACTTTGAACGAATACGAAGAATATGTTCTCAATGATGGTGAAATAAATGAAGAGTTTTTCGTAGTACTTGCCAAAGCCGAAAGTATTAGTGATAAATGCTCAATATTGTTATCAATAGACAATTCTCAACTAGGCTTGAAAATTATGAATAAAATAAACCAGTTAGTGAATAAATCCATTAATAGAATTATAAACATTACAAATAAGACATTGTCCAATTTATATTCACTCAATACAAAATCGAAATTAGAAACTTTGCAAAAATGTTTGAGATATTTGAAAAATAAGTTGAATTATTTTAATTCTATAATTAACACATTTACAGAATCAAGGTCTAAAGTAATTGTGGATGAGTTTTTCTCTCAAGTAAACGGGAATTTAGATAAGATCAACTCATACGATAGAAGAGATTCAAGCTCTAGAGCCTCCATTTCAAGTGATTCTTCAGGTAGACCGATATATTTATCAGCTCATGACCCTATTAGGTTCATAGGTGATTTGCTTGCATACGTACATTCTGTGATTGTCAATGAAAGAGAATTGATATCAAATATATTCATTCTAGAGTATTCGGATGAATCAGAAAGAGAAGAATTTCAAAAAGTTAGTAATGATGTTGCTTCTAAAACTCTAAAAGCATTATCAAGACCTTTGAAGTCAAGAATTGATCAAATAATATCGTCTGAAACCAAATTAGCAACTCTTTTTCAAATTTTTAACTTGTTAGACCTCTACCAGCTTATGTTTACCAAGCAATTGAAAGATTCTGATAGTAACTTAGTCCGCACTATCAGCGATTTGATCAAATTATCACAAGAAAAGATAATGAATATATTGAAGAATAGATTAGCAACAATTAGGTCTTCGAATCTGGCTCAATTAGATTTGAATATAGATTTACAACCCCCTGAATGGATAATCGAATTCTATTTTGATTTATTGCCAGTTATAGACCAAATTACAACACCCACAATCTTGAATTTATCAAAGGAGGATAATGACAAATTTTTGAAACTCATAGTTGATGAGCCCATATCTATTTTCAACGAACATGTTCAGAACAATGTCGCCAAGTCGTTCAATAAGAGGGACCAACTTATATTGAAACAAAACTTTCTTGATGTTGTATTATTTAAAATAATGCCGTTATCCTTATTGAGTGATAAGACCTTGGAAATAAATGACGCCATAAGTTCCCTCACTCAGGAATTAACTAATTACCAATTGATAACCTTATTGGACGAGGCAAAACTTACTGATTACTACAATGTAATTAATATGATTTGTCCTTTTGAAGATGAATTTTTTGATTTAGCCATATATGAACCGATTACTGAAAATAAACTATTCAACAAAGAATATTTAAGGGAAGTTAATATCACAATCCAAGAGTTTTTACCAACTGCTTTACTTGATATACAAAAGTCCTTACTCAAGGTTAATAGTCCCTTGACAGTAAATGATATAACCACAAACAGTTCAATAGAATTTACCAAGTTTTACTTAAAATTTGATCTTATTTGCAAGGAATATTTGAAAGAGCAATTATTCACTTGGAGCGATATTGAAGTCGCCACGTTATTGGGTGTTGAGAATACTTACCTTGACTTGAAGAAACTGATTCTACTTGAATAAAGACTACATTCTCACCAAAACCCCTATTTGCATATGTACATTATATAAATAGAATAAATAATATTAAATGACTTTCGAATGATCAGGTATTTTACCCCTTCCGTAACCTTCTTTTGCGTAGTAGTCCATAGGGTAGTAGTTTTCATTCCATTTCGTATCATTATCTAACATAACCATGGCCTCATATGGTGTGAGAAGTGGTTTATTAAAAGCATAACCCCAATCAATAGATAATCGAGGACAAGCTACTTGAACAAATGCATCTATATCATCAAACATGGAAAGTTTTTGAGGGAAGATTTCACTCAAAATGATCTTTACAACTTTTTTGCCATGAGCCGAAAACTTCTTTTCTAAATTATCTAAAGTAATCGGATTACCTTGTCTACCTAAAGCACCTAATATAAGGCCGATTTTTTCAGATTTAGATGCGATTCTCACAGCATCTTCTCGAACTTCAAGAAGTTGCTTTTGGTCGTAATATTCTCTTGTGAATTTTCTGGAGTATGGATCATACCTAAAAGCTGGAATCTCTGGATTATGAATCATAGCACTTTCAAGATGAAAACGGCCATCTCCTATATAAATCATAGCATTAATCTGTTCCTTATCAAGCCTTGCAGAAGTACAGCCCAATACTTCACCCTTAGATAAAGGCATTGTTTGTGGAGGTATTATGTACATAACTTTTTCGTCATCGTCTTGCAATTTAGCTCTTATACTGTGAATTGTAGGATTGAATTGAATGGTACCAAAACATGCTAATTGGGAACCTTTATCAAAATTTAATTTGATGGTGTTTATTAGATGAGTTTCATCAATATTGATAGTAACGAAAACGTACAAGACTTTGATAGCTGTGATATCTATTGGAACCAAACAGGAGTGTGCATAATGAACGATAAAGTCACAATCAAGAGCTCTAGCTGTGTAGTCATCTATGCAACAAGCACCATAGGAAACATCACCCATAACAACAGTTTCAACTGAACAAAACTGCTCTAGTATATCGGAAATAATTAAAGAGTATATGAGTAAACCTTCCGGCATTTGTAATGCAACTCTTTTGGCATTATTCTTCTTGATATTCCATACCGTTTTGTGTATTTCAAAGTTATAATTTGATGGTAATAACTTTATAGCTTCATTCAAATCACTATCATTCAAGATCTCATCTGGGATTTGGTTCATTACTCTACCAACATGTCTTGATTTGTTCCCTACTCTAACTAAAGATGCTTTATCTCCAGTTGCAGCATCGGTTCTCTTACCGATGAATTTTCTTCTCACAACCTTCTTCTTACCTTGTTCTTCAGGCAAAGAAGCTTCTACCTTTTCTCCCATTCTGTTAATATATATATATATATATATTATCTGTCTATTGATAACTTGAAGATGTTGATTAAAAAATTTGACTTTTTACTCTTCTCATTAAAAAAAAAATCCGCTGCGAGCTCATCTTGAAAAGTTTAGATTTACTGAAGATAAAATAAAGATAGTTTTTATAATTGAATAAAGAGAGTAGCTTTGACTATCGCCATGTTAACTCCCTTTTTTACAATCAACCAGGATGAGGAATTCATATTCATAGACGTCAAAATTTCTCATATGCGTTTCAGCGCACAGAATCTAGAGATGATTGTTGATAATGAGCTATTCATCTTCTCATTAAGTCCATATTACTTGAGACTAAGACTACCATATGCCTGTGTTGACGATGAAAGATCACACGCAGAGTTTGACTCCAAGACAGATTGCGTTAAGATTAAGATCCCTAAGGAAATAAAAGGTCAGAATTTTCCAGACTTGGACTTGACTGCAAAGTTATTAGCAAGATCCACCACTGAAGCTGACGAACCCTTAATGACAGCAATTGGTGAAGATGCTCAAACTAAAGATACTGAAAAACCACAAGGTCCGGCAAAGCCCCTTATACAAGAGCTTGATGTCGATAATGATATATCGAAATTAGACACTTTGAAGAAAGATATTGAAGAAGGTGAAAAATTTAACTGGGAAGTATCACAAACTGTACCCCAAAAAGAGAACGAGTTGGAAATCGGGAACGATGCTAGTCTCGAGAAAGTGAAGTATGGATTCAACAACCAGTATGACGAAATTGTTGGGGTATCAATGGCAAATGGTAACGATATAAATGAATTAGGAGATCCAGAATCCACTGCCCTGACTGACCGTATCATTGAAAGGCTCATCAAGGAAAATATTAAATTTGATCCAGAATACTATGCAGCAGATTACATAATGGAGAAATATCCCGCTGAAGATGATGATAAGAATCTAAAAGGATTGCTTGAGTGGAAATCACCAACTACAAAAAATTTCATGAAATGGTATAAGTCACAACAAGAAATACCAGCTGAGCAAAGACAGAACATAATGCCAGTAGAATTCACCAAAGATGAACAAGAGAAAATGTTAAACCTTCCTAGAAAATCATATATACTTGAAGACAATTACAAACCACAGCTATTAATGTTGATAGTATCTTTACTCTTTTCGTATCAGTTTGATCTTAGAGAGAATGAAGGAGATCATAATATTGAAAGTGCATGGACAATTGGTAAACTAACTCCCCAAATATGCTTTTTAGATTCTCAAATTTCCATACCGAATGAATTAAACAATGAAAGTGCTTTGAAAGCTACTATAATAACATGCATTAGAAGAGCTCTTTCTTACCCGTTACATAGAAACCATTCGCTTATCAAAAAAGTTTTGGATGACGTTTATTATAATCTACGTGGGGGTAAAAGATTGATTCTTAAATCGCTTTTAGATTTGAAAGAGCTATTTAGATTTCATGATGTATACTACGTTTATGATAAAATTTGGCTCGAAGATTTGTCTTCTTGGATTATTAGTGATCAGTTATCCGAAGGAACAATTAGAAACTTGTCCCATGATTTTAAAAAAGAGTACACCAGCTTGAATAAATCAGATATCACTTTCGAAAAGATGGATCAAGATGAAGATACTCAAATGCAAACAGAAGACGAGGAAGATGAAGATAACATGATAGCCTTAAATTTGGAAGAACTTGAACAAATGGCTGAATCCTCGTATCAGCAATATATGATGCAGTAATTGTAATGCTACTACGTCGACACAATCATAGTAAGATAAAGCCAAAATCTAAATCTGAACAAGGGCAAGGCTGCACTTTTGCTTTTCAATATAGCTTTTCAATGTCATAGCCTACAAACGATAATTCTATAAGGTCTTTCGTAGTTGATCTCTGCGTTTTGTAGTTCTTTACTTTTACAGTATCTTTAAGCATCATATTTTACAGTATCTTTAAGCATTAGTTTCTTTTTGAGTTACATGCAAAAAGAACAATTATTCACATCAGTTCATCCTCTCGTCAATTAAAACAACGGTAGACAAAACAATTGAGACGTTAACAAAATCCCCTAAAGTGCAAAGTTAAGGTGATAGAATTCGACATGACTACCAGTTTGGGAAGACGACAGAAATGAAATCAATAGACATTTATTGACAATTTCAATAAGGAAGTCAGTGTGCTGTTACGCAAAGTTCAAGCTATACATTAAACGACTTACCGAAGCTACACCGGTCTTTGAAGATCAACTACAGTAAAATTGGTCACAGAGTAAGTCGTAACAATTGTGCACATTGACAGAACTCTAGCAAATGAACCCAAACAATAGGGGGCTCATCTACTATAGGTTATGTAGTATATTATGTGCTAATTCGTTCTTATGGTAATTTTTTTTATGACTTAGACAAATTCTTACGCTTGGAAAATTAAACTTTAACTTTAAGGATATTTGTTGATCGTGAAGTAGAGGCTTCCGGACTCTAAGTGCAGACTTTATATAAGCAAACGTATATGATATAAAAAAGACAACTATTCCTTTCTATCGACTTTGATTCTGGTGTCCAAAATTTCTTTCTCTTCTTTTGTATTTTTTTTTTTTCTACAATTGAATGAATTATCTACTCATGAAGATGTGATATTAAAAACGTTATGAAAATATATAAATAATAAATCACCTATTTGATGGTGATAATATGTCATGCGGAAATCTTCCAGTGTTTTGAGCTTGTGAATCATGAGTTTTAGCTCGACGAATACGTTCACTCGATCTTCGTTCAGTTGATCCTTCTTCACCTCTCGGTACGTTTCTTGAATTATCATCCGTCATACTAGTTGAGCTTGTATCCATTGATATGTCATGATCATCATTAGAATGCTCTTCATTGGAGCGCAGAGACCCAGCTTGAGGACCAGTGACTTCTATTATGGGTCCTTCTTGTTTGGAAGGAGGATGGGATGAGGTACGAGATGAAATAGACGGAGTCCTGCTCAAACCAGTTTCTGATTTGTGTCTTTTATGCGATGGCTGTTGTGAAGTTCGAAAAGGATTAGCGGAAGTTGAACCGGATGGTGATAATCCAGGGTTTGCGCCTGGACTCTCTGGTTTCCAATGATGGAATTGAATAATATGCTGGAATGATGTCATTGATTCTTGTGAAGGAGGTTGACTCAGTCTTGATTGTTTATGCAATGGTTGAGCAGGAGATGGTTTAACTTGGATCGAAGATGTTGCACCTTGTGGAGATTGTAAATGTTGCGATGCTTGTTGATTAGATGGTTTTAATCTCAGCGATTGTGCCTCTAATTGGGTATCAATTTTATTCAAATCTATATTTTTCTGTTGTTGACGTTGTTGTAAATTTCTCGAGGAGGATTCTACTGGCATGGAAAAATGACGTTGATGAAGAGGTAGTGTTCTCTTCGCTCTATAAGTATTGGTTGGAGTTGCTAAATTTGCAACTGCTGCTGCTCCAATTTTGGCAGGTGATAATGGACGACGATTAACCATTGAAGGTTGATTCAGAGAGCCAGCTCCAAATTTGAATTGCATAGGGGGAATGGGGTTTGCGTTTAGATTATCATGGCCATATATGTCTTTTGAAGATGATGATCTGCTATGACCCGGTTGGAAAGTGGATACAACAGGTACTAGAGGACTTTGAGGAAATTGAGAATGAGATCTCAATCGTGGATCTTGGTTTGGGTTCTGGACTGGAGTACTAAAGCTGGACGTTTGCTGAGACTGATGCATAGGGGGACCCATTGAAGACTGGCCCGGAATAAGTTGATGTTGGAACTGCTGCTGCTGCTGCTGTTGTTGTTGTTGTTGTTGTTGTTGTTGTTGAAACTGTTGTTGGCGTTGAAGTTGGGCAACCAAATGCTTTTCAGTGTCTGAGCCTTTTACGAAGTCACTTCCAACGCACATTGATGGGATTAAATTAGAAGGAACTTGAGCATTGAGTGCCATTTGGATTATGTTCAAATTTTTATTAGCAGTTTCCAATTTATAATACTCTTGTTTTGTCTTTTCCTGTTCGGTTCTTAATTTTAAAGCTTCCACATAAGCTGATTCCGAGAATGGGAAAGAACTAACGTTCGGACCTAATAATGATAGTAGCCCGGTACTGTTTATATCGAGCTGTTGATGTTGCTGATGTTGATGTTGATGCTGTTCAGGAATATTCAGGCCTGGATTTAAGCTTGGAGAAGATGATTTCATTTCACTTTCCAGTTCTACATGCTTATTGGGATTAGGAGTAGATGAAGCGTGTCTTTCAGGGTCTTGTTCTTGCTGATTTGGATCCTGTTGAGAGGAAAATTTATCTATGAGAGAGTGTACACTCATGGAACCGGAAGACATTTTTAAAATAAAAGGCTGAACACATCAATAAATAAAGCAAAATATCAATGAAACAAGAAAAGTGAACAAATAAAACCAAACCAATTTAAAAAAGAAATTCAAAAAGAAAACACCTTATGAACCCAGGATGAATTACACGAGAACAAACTAAAATCAAGCAAAAATTAGATAAAAGGAACCAAAATGCAAGTCAAAAAGGATAGCTTAGTTAAGAGGACAACTCAAACTGCGAAACAATTGAAAGACAGGCTATTGTCGATAAAGGTAAGCAGTGGAAGATAAGAATTAAACAAGATGAAAAAAAAAAAAGGTTAACTCTGAGAAACAATCAGATGGAATGGAACAATCAGACAAGATGGAACAATTGGATTGGAAAACAAAAACAATATTAGACAATAACAATAACAAGAGCAAGTCAATCAAGTCTGTCTCAGTATTAACACCTAGACTATTTATATATGGCCCACTAGTCTTTAGTAGTTCGCCCTAATTAGCAGGATCTGGCCTTGTATTTTCCGTCGAAATCAGCAATTGAAAAGCCACTCAAGCAAATGATAGGGTCCAGTTGAAATGAAATCCAATGAATCCACTTCTTTATGCTGAAATAGATTACTATAATGTATGTCTTTAAATTAGATGAGCCTTTATCGATCTTGAAAGCTAGTCCACTAAACCTATACCGCTAACTCGAATCAAATGACACAGCTGATCAGTGGGATGTGGTGGCGGCGTAAAACCTTGACCTCTTGGATGGGTGTGAACGAATAACAGGCTTATGAAAAGTGCTTTATTGGAAGGTCCAGTAAGTAGTTTACTGTAAGATTTTGATTTTTCCTTGATTTTTCGTTTTTTTTTTTTTTTTTTTTTTTGGAAAATTTTTTTTTTTTTTTTTTTTTTTTTTGTTTTTTTATTCGGTCTGTTGGTTTGTTGGTCAATTACTTTAAGGAAGGTATAGTCACTAAGGTTTACGGCTAATGCCAGCTAAGGGACATATTCGAACAGCCTTACCTGTAGTCTACGAGGTTGTTTGGAAAAGAACCAGATTCGGAGGAAATAGAGACTGACTCAGAATCAAGGCTTGTATGAGAGTACTAAAATCTGCAAAAATTAAAATAATTTGCAAGGGACAGGAGCAAGATAGAGCATTTAGTGGATGGGAAGGGAAGAATAGCATGGTCTAGTGAAATTGTAGGTTCCCCTGAAACGAACAAATCACCAATCGGCTGAAAAGGGTAGGAAACAACTTGAAAGAGGAAGGGATTAATCCGAATTAGGTGTGCTGGGGTCCAAATTTAGAGAAGTTGCCAAAAAGCTTAAATTTTTGCTACAAAATATCAACTAGATGATGAAGCAAAGTGATTACAATGAGTACAAGTAAGGGAGTCGAGGATTGCTACTTTATTGTAAGGAGATATAAACTTAGAAATCTTCAATTTTGAAAACGAATTTGCAGTCATTTTTTTTCAATTGCTTAACGTACAGCTTGAAATTATTTCTCCAATCGAGGTATTCATCGATTCTGAACTTCATTTCATTGGCAAGTAATAAACCCAATCCTTCTTTTAACCACTGTTTATTTAAGTTTAATTCAATTTCCTCGTAGTAGTTATATTTACCCACTAGTGAGTTTGCTAAGTTACCTGACCATTTCAGAGACCAAGGATTAAAGATTCCTTCACCGGAGTAGTCTAATAATTGTTCGATCTCGTAGCTTGGTTCTTTCACTGTGAATTTGCACATTGATACCATGGTTGAGCCCTTTGATTTTGGTTTCAATATCTTAACCAAGAACGGTTCGCTAACTGTACCGTTGAATAGAGAAGTTATTGTAATATCCTGATAAATTTTGCTTCTAAATGGCAATTGGATTTGATCTAATTTTTTGAATCTTACATTGGTTTTTTGGAAAAACTTCCTACTACCAATTATATCAATAATGGTATCAAGTTTAAAATCATCAACACCATATTTAGTAACAACTTCTCCTTGAGGTACCGTGCTAAACATTGCTTCTAATACTTCGGATGCGAAAAAATCAAGTTTTTTATAGTTGATTGGTACTTTCTCTCCTGGTAACACTAAATCATCAGAGATCAAGTCAAATGTAATAATATTGATTTTTCTTGAATGATTTGGACTGTAATGAGTTTTCATTATATTATCGGTGAAGGTTTTCATCATTTTATAATTTTCTTCTTTAATAATTAAAATTAAGTTCAAATCTTTTAATATATCTTGATAAACCGATGAAAATAATAATTGGGTTATGGTGAAACCTAAATTGGTATCTCCACCATTGACCAAAATGTTGGCCTTTCCCGTACGATGAATTATACTATCGACGTATGAAAGTGCCTGTTTGGCTCGAGTATACAAAACAGGAAACGTACATATTTTAGCCAATGGTGGTAGTTCGTCCTCGATTTGAAATCCACGAGCCTTTTTCCTCAATTTATCCTTAGGGTTTGTTGGTTCGGGTTCCGGCTGAAACTGTTCAACTTGTGGAGGTAAACTGTCATCGTCACTATCTGATGATGATCCGACTTCAAAGTCTCCATTTTCACCGGTGGATTTAAAAGAAAGTTTTGGATCAATCAGCTCCAAAGACGTATAAGTTTCATCATCGATGGGGTATATTATATCAGTTTTCGGATTCACCAACAAGCTGGTGGTCAATGCCCCTTTCCTATCGTAAGGAGTAAGAATCCCAACTACTTTTTGACCGACTTCAAATTCTGGTAAATTTTTATAATTATTGCCCACAATGGCGATTTCTCCGGCAAATTCATATCCAAGTCCAACTTTAGTATAACTGAAATTGATCATGTATTTATTAATTTTGGCCAAATCATACGAGTTTAATGACACATACTTAATATCAATCAATATTTTGTGTGCTGGTAATGGCAATTCAATTTCTGGGTAGTTGAAATTCAACTCAGTTTCTTTATTTTGGACAGAAATGTCTTTGAGCGAAATGAACCTTAAGTCTCTTAATTCTGATAAACTTGATTTCTTATCATGATTGACCTTCTTCTTAATTTTGGTTGAAATTGGTTTAGGTCCTGGTGTTTTCTTCTCAAGGTGTGCTAATTCAGGAGGAATCTTGTGGAATGGACTTGATCTGAGCTTTTCCATTTCTATTTCCTTCAATCTTTCGTGGTGTTCTTTCAAATCCTCCTCTGGTTCCGGTGCAAATCCAACAGACTTTCTGGGCTTGATAGGAGTATCTTCGCTTGGTTCGTCTTGGTCAAGCTTTTGGTCAGGTTTGTCTTGATCAGGTTTGTCTTGGTCAAGTTTTTGGTCAGGTTTTTGGTCGGGTTCGTCTTGATCAGGTTTGTCTGAGTCTTCTTGGGCTTTCCCGCTGTCCTCACTAACTTTATGGTCTTTGTTGAGGTCTATGCTCTCTAATTGGCTGCCAACCTCCGACGTTGCAGTTGTGGTATCGTTTTCTGGGGTAATAGAAGAATTTCCTTCTTCAATTGGTTCTGACATGGTCAACCTTTATATTTTCCCTATATTAATCTAAAAAAACACACAGTCAACTATTACTTGAGCCACTTCCTGTTGAATTTGTTAATAACCTGTCGTTAAACTATATCTAACTTTGTGTAGTTACTCTACTTTGATCCGGCAAGAATGGATAAAGAATAAAATGAAACCCTGGTATGCAAACTTCAAGGGGTTGCTAAACCTAATGAACTATCAAGATATGCTTTCTAGCTCCTGCTACTCTTCTCAAACCTGGGAGTTACAGTTCCAATACGTATAAAGGCAGTAACAGTGGTATTTCAAGTAATTTCAGAGGTTAAAGTCGGTTAAAATTGAATGATGCGATATGGAATGTTTGCGTTGGTGTACGGGTACGCGTTGATTAAATTGAGCTTTCCAGACAGTCAAATAGATCAAAATACTCTTGTTAGCTTTTCCCTAGAGACATCACTGATTGCATTTACCATAATCAAGAGACTAGATAGTGAGACGATGTGGGTTGTATCTGTTGTGTTCTACACATTGGCATTGTTGCTTACGATATGGGGGATACGGTACCATATTAACATATTCCGTTATTCATATTATACCCAATTATCATTAACCCTTGCAGTATTCATGCCCTTATCTATTATATTTCTTCTACCGGCGGATTACGTTGCACATAATACTTCCAAGGAGCTGTTGTGGTTTTCCTTACCGGATGATATTGTATTGTATTTATGGAAATCAAATTATTGGATAACTTTTATACTAACTTGGTTGATTATACCAATAATTCAAGAATTCTATAAATCTGGATGTTATAATAAATTTGATAAGTTGAGAGATGCTTTCAAGAGAAATTTGAAATTTCAATTGGCGATATTAGCGGTATCTATAATTGGGGTTCTATATCTTTTATTTGAGGCTGGTTTATCATTTAATCATATAAAGTTAATGATTATTGCCTTGTCTCACATATACGCGTTAGTTTTGGCTTTATGGTTGATGGCTCATGGTTTAATTAGCATTCCAAGAAACTATTGGCTTGCTGGGAATCATGTGAACCATTTGAATCATCTTTATTTAAAAGTACCTAATTCGGTTGATAATTTGGAAGATACTAAAATATCATTCAAGGAAGAAGTTTTACAAGTTTTAGTAATAACTAAGAATTTCACTAGCTCATCTCCTGAAGATTTCAAATTTAGGGATTGGATATTAGATCTTTACGGGAAAATACCCGATGACTTCAAAGAACAAATGGAACGCCAATATTTAGAAAATTCTCATAATTCAATTACAAGAGATCAGTTGACTTTTTCTTTCATGACAAAGTTAACTGCAAACTTCAACCTGAATCTATATAAGTTGATTGCGTATGAGTCGGAATTTCAAACTTTGGTCACTAACATTACCCAGTTGGAAGATATTATTGCTGCAAAATCAAATACTGATATACAACAACGTAATAAATTGAGTTACAGAATTGTTACATCCTCATCGTCATTAATTAATGATAAAACACGTTATACTGTGCAAGTCTATATAACTCCGGTTTTCTCAAGACTATTTTCACTCGTGCTATTTACGGCCTCGATCATAATAATCCAATCAGAATTTTTCCACTCAACCCATCTATCATTAATCAATGCTTTAATTTATTCCACCGGCCTCCATAAGAATGTTTCCTTACAGTTCATCATTTCAGCAGTCTCACTCTCTTATATGCTATTTGCGTCTTTGGATTCACTAACCCATTTAAAAATTTTTAACATGTATCATTTGGTTCGTCACCGTAGTGACATAGTATCAGCTTGTTTTTACACTACATATATTGCAAGATTAACCATTCCATTATCATATAACTTCATAACCTTATTTTTTTCCCGTGAATCCATATTTGAACAATGGTTTGGTAAGTCAATTCATCTTACTGGGTTATTTAATTTAATGAATAATTGGATTCCCAGGTTTGCATTCATTCCAGTAGTTTTAACCATCTTCAATGTTTATGATAAATTGAAAAAAAGATTAGGATTTAACTCTGATTTATACGATTCCTGGGCATTATTCGACGTTGACGACGGCGAAAACAATACCAATATAAATGAGAGTGATTCAAGTGTTAGAAACAAGAGAAAAGATTTAATCATTGTCGAAGCTAAAAGAATCATAAACCGTGAAATGTTCAGACGCCAGAACGATCAAAGCTCCGATAACCTTAGGTCTTTCAACTTGACAAATGCTGCAAATACTAACTACGAGAGTAACCGTCGTGATTTCCACACCAATTTGGTCTCCTCTACCAGATCAAGAATCGATACAGAATACCATGATGATGCTGACGACGACGATACACCAGCCAATGAAAATTTCTTCAGTCTAGACACTCCAAATACTAAAAATGTCTGGAATTCTATCGGTGGTGCCTTTTCTGGTTTTAGAAATCAAGTCTCAACTAGGTTTTCTGGCTTTCAGGGTTCGAACAATCCCACCGGTTACAGAGATGATCCTGCTGACGATGATGATGAAGCTCAAGAGCGATTAGTTTTGTAGAGTTATAAGTTCCCTTCTAGATAATTAACATAGTAACCAGCCTTTAAGCTGTAGGAGTCGGTTTGGCTTTTGACCCCGGACAAATCTTTAGTGCCGATGCCCCGGTTTTCCCTTGTTTTAGCGGGAAAAAACGTCCGAGCGGTACGGAGGTTTCTCTATGATTGAAGACAACTTCTTAAAGTAGAAAATTTCATTAGCATATTAAAGGGTCCGTGGAAGGCATTATAAACAAAGTTTTGTTTTAAGAAAGGAGTCTTGAGATTGTATCGATAGTTTCATTTGATAAGACAGACTCGTCATTCGAAAAAGATCAAAAACTTGACTTTTCAGGGGACAATTTTCCAAAGAGAATAAAGTTTTGCTATCCGTTATCTAAGTTGACTTAAATTCATTTAATTGAAGGAGTAAATCATTTAGGTTCGAGTGGATACTAATGACATGATCTTACCGTTTTCCTCTTCAGCTTCACCAATTTCAAGGCTAGTATCAGACTCTATATTGGCAAAGAAGATACTTACATCATGTTCAAATTTGAAGAAATATGACAAGCATAACCGATTTATCTCGACATCGGTTACATTCACAGCGATCGATAGATCCGAATCAATTCCATACAATCAGACAAAACCCCATAAGATTGGTAAGTTAAGAGTGCCTTTATTGAAAAGCCCAAGTCATCTTGGTCATTTTAGTTCAAGGGTCAATAGAATTTACAATGAGGATAAATATAGTGCCTATGTACTTAATCTACCCAACGATAGAACCGTTTTCAACTTCACGGTATTTGATGGACATGGGGGTGACCAATGCTCCACCTATCTCCTGAAACATCTATCAAACGAGATTGAGTCTGCAAATACATTGGCTGATCCCAAAAATGAAGCCGAGAGAGATGAATTGGTTGAAAAATACTTGAAAAACATAGGGGGTTACTGGAAAAGATGGTTCAAGCAAAGGAAAGAGAACTTTGCTAAGATGGAGACGATTGCAAATGAGATTAAATTGAAAAATTTAGATTTCCAAGCAGATGACTTCAATACTAGAATACCATTAACTTATTTGAAAACTGACTATGACTTTTTCGAGCAAGACGATAACAGCTCCGGCTCTACATGTACCAGTGCATTCATTGAAACTATATATTCTGAGCCAGGTAGTTTTGCGCCGGTATTTGAACCATATTATTTTAATCGTAAGACGATTTCAAAATTGACAATTTCCCATGTTGGGGACACCAAGGCTATATTAGTGGATCGAACAGGAGAGGCCCATGCTTTATCTCAGCCACATCATCCTTCGAATCCCATCGAAGCTGCGAGACTTCGTCGGTTCTCCACCAACTTCTTCATGACTGATTCGTTTGGCGAAGAAAGGTTTATAGCGCTTGCTAATACCAGATCGTTTGGTGATGTCAATTATAAACAAATGGGTGTTACTTCTGAGCCAGACCTATCTCAATTTATCATTGGTGACGCTGAGCTGATTCAACAGAAATTGACTGCTGATGAAATGAAAAAGTATACCATTGGTGGTCTTGGGGGTGATGAAGCCTTTTTGGTTCTTTGTTCAGACGGTATAACTAATGAATTGACTGACCAAGAAGTAGCCGATATTGTCATGGTTCATTTCAACATGAAGGGTCACCCTAAAGCAACTCCTCAATTGTGTGCTGAAGAAGTGGTCAAATTCGTAGAGTATGTTGGAGGTGACGATAATGCTACGTGCTTGGTTATCAGGTTAAATGGTTGGGGGAAATGGCCTATACTCGATCGTACAGGTGAATTAAGACAGGAGAGAATGGAGGCATACAGTCCTAGAGGGGAGAGATAATTCATCATCGCATTAGACATAATTCTCTATTCTTTTTGTATGTTTTTTTTATTAATTTTAATGTTCTTCTAACAAAACTTTAGAAAAACTACACTTCAAATTGCATAATTATAACGTATATTTACAAGGTAATAATGTTTGAATTGAAAGATTCCGTAGGCGATACCGATTATCATGACGATTCTTGAATATTCTAATTCTTGGAAAATTTATATTGAAATGGTTTTCTGGTACGTGCAAACTCACCCAACTTGCTACCCACCATGTTCTCGGTAATGTTCACTTGAACGTAATTCTTACCGTTATGTATTTGGAACTTTAAACCAACAAATTGTGGTAATATAGTACAGCTTCTAGCATTGGTTCTAATTGGAGTACCATTCTTTATGGCATCGGCAATAGGCAATGGCACAACATGAGGACCTTTCCATGCGGACCTTCCCAAAAGCTGTATAGCGGGTCTCATTCTTATTCACTTGGAAAACAGTTCTTCAAAGAGCTTCCACCAGTTATTGACTTCAAAGTGCCTGAATCAACCTTTTGACTTTGAAAGCTTTGAAGAAAAATGAAAATTTGAAAAAAAGAGAAAAAAAAAAAAAAACCGTCACGTGACCGGAATATATGCAGGTACTAGAAAGAAATTTGCAAACTCTTTTAATACGATGAGCTAGAGCTGGAGAAGGACTCGAGTTGATTGGTATTGATAAGTACAAGAGAGGAGACATGTTTGCGCAGAGATTCGATCCAACTGCCCTTCTACCAACAGAAGAGGACAACGTTGAGGATAATGTTGGTGGTAAAAGAAGATTGAGTCAGACCTCCATATCAAGCGAAGATAGTGAAGATAGCGAAAGTGATAGTGATAGCAGTGAAGACGATAGTGATAGCAGTGAAGACGATAGCGAGAGTAGTGAAGACGGTAGTGAAAGCAGTGATAGTAGCAGTGAAGGTGAAGGTGAAGATATGACCCAAGAAAGCCAATCTTCAGAGAAAAGTAAAGATGAAGGCAAGATTGAGTCAGAAGATATAGAAATGAAGGAAATAAAAGACCCGGAAATGGCTAAGCATGAAACCGACATGGAAGTCGATAGTGAACCAAAAGAGCCGCTTGAAAATGATCCAGAATACCTTTCAAAACATCTGCATATATTTACAAAGTTTCAAAAATCTGTCAATGATAATGGTGATCTGGGAGAAGAGATGGACGAGGAAAATGAAGAAATTGAAAAGCAGGATCTTGCTCCATTACCACAGCCAATGCTACCAAGAGATAAAAGATTGATATCCAATACAAATCATTTGAAAAACCTCGATTGGTTGGCGACACCTCTATACGCATCACCCGAAGAAACCAAACCCTTAAGTGAATTCAAAACATTAGCGCCTTTCATGTTAAAGAACCTTGAGGCTCAAGGTATTAAGGATGCATTTTCCGTTCAAATCTCGGTACTCAATTTATTGCTTGAAGATTTTGAAAAAAACAAGCTTCAACCTGATTTTAGAGGTGATTTATTGGTTAATGCAGCAACTGGGTCTGGTAAGACATTAGCATATCTGATTCCAATCATCCAAGCATTGCATAAAAGAGTGGTCCCCCGTGTTAGGGCGATAATATTGGTCCCTACAAAACCATTAATTAACCAAGTGAAATCAACCTTGTCCCAAATTTCAAAAGGAACTAACTTATCAATTGTTAATTTAAAAAATGATAAATCAATAAACGAGGAAGCTTCGAAATTGACTCAAAATGAACCAGACATCATTGTTTCCACACCGGGAAGATTAGTCGATCATATCACCAAGGGAAGTATAAGTTTAAAGTACCTTAGGTATTTAGTCATTGATGAAGCTGATCGTTTGCTTAATCAGTCATTTCAAAATTGGTGTCAGACCTTAATTTCCTCAATTGAAATGCATCAAATCAAAACTAATGATATTTCGAATACTTGGTCTTTAAAACCTCAAAAATTAATTTTCTCTGCAACCTTAACTACAGATGCCGGGAAATTATCCCATTTAAAGTTTGAAAAACCAAGATTGGTCATTATAAATAACCAAGAACAAATGGTTAACGAAATATTCAGTGTTCCGGCAACATTATCCGAAAACAAAATCTCCCTTGGATCAGCAAAATCGCCAACGAAACCTTTGATCTTAGCAAAATTCTTAATAGATCAACAAAAAACATCAAATGTTTTGGTTTTTGCAAAATCAAATGAAGCCTCCCTTAGATTATCCAGACTATTAACATTAATCTTCGCCAAACTTATTCCTAATGAGAGTATCAACGTCATGCATATAAACTCCACAAACAATATCACTAGTGTTCGTACTAAAATATTGAAAGATTTTTCAAATAAAACTATCAACATTTTGATTGCAACTGACTTGATCGCTCGTGGTATCGATCTTCTTTCAATCACTGACGTCGTCAATTACGACTTGCCCAACTCCTCCCGCGAGTACGTCCATAGAGTAGGTCGTACTGCTAGAGCCAACCAGCTTGGTCATGCCTATACCTTGTGTTTTGGTAAAGGTGAAACCAAATGGTTTAATAGCATAATGAAGGATGTTGGTAGGGGTGATAAGTCAATAAACGACGTCGAATTAGACTTTAAGACCTTGGTGACTAGTGAAGACGAACATCTTTACGCCGATGCATTACAGGACTTACAAAAACAAGTGTATAATAAGTAATTCTATATATGTATATTACATTTTTATTGCAACCATTTAATTTTTTTCTTTTTGACGGATTTTAAAGCGTTTCTGTGTGCAGGTTGTTGGACATTATCGTTTTTCAAAATTCGCAGATTAAAAGCTGAAGGCATCTCTAATTAGAAGGTATTTCTGGTATTAGCTTCAAACAAAGTTGGGAAACCTGTGTTAGTATGTCAGAGGGTAATGAGGACTTGGAATCCTTGGGGGTCAAATTGGTGGATCAAGATGAACTTGAGACATCGATCACCAAGAAGGCAAATGTTGCTTTGATCAATAAGGATGCAGAGTTGGATGAAAAAAGGCTCGAGAAGACAACTAAAGATCTTAATAAATCGTTATCAAGAATACGGCTACTTGAGAAAAGATTGGCGGATCCTAGGACCAAGTTGTCTCAAAGAAAACAAATTAAGGATGATATCAAATGGTTTGAAGAAAATGAGATTGTTCCGCTAAAAAGAGATGTCGATGATATTAGTGCTAGATTGAGAGAGGGGAAGTCACAATTGAGCGAAGCTAATCAGAATCAAGGAGCTAAAGATCAAATTAAAAACGAAAGACTACCTGGTGAATCAGAGAAAGACTTTTTGATAAGAACAGGGAAGATAACTGCTTTTGGTAATGAAAATGCTTTCCAACAGGACTCGGCTTCAACAGATGTAACAAGTCGAGTATTTTTAAGAGCCCCTGGCTTTGAAGATGCGAGAGAATCCGATGATGATAATGAAGTCGACGACGACGATGATAAAATACAAGAGTCACTAAAAGAATCGGAGAATATTGAGGACGAATCTGATTACAAAAGTGAAGATGAATATCGCGATGAAGCAACAGCTATGGATAATGAAGAGGATGACTTTGTTGTAAATGATGAAGAGCATGATTTAATAGAAGGTAAGCAAAAAGTATCAAAATCAAAATCGAAAGAGATGGTTATTAAAGATACCCGCAACATAGATGACGGTGATGAATTGGTTTATCAAGCCAGGCTTAACGATTGGACTTCAAGAAGATCTAGGTTGCGCAAAACAGATGATACCTCAGAGTCGCCTGAATGGATGAAACCTCATCCAACGATTCCTGACGCAGTGCTTAATCCTCAATTCAAATTACCTGGTGATATATATCCTTCATTGTTAGACTATCAAAAGACTTGTGTTCAATGGTTATGGGAGCTTTATTCTCAAAAAACTGGTGGTATAATAGGTGATGAGATGGGTTTAGGTAAAACTATTCAAATAATTGCATTTTTGGCGGGTCTTCATTATTCTGGACTACTTGACAAACCTGTTTTAGTAGTTGTACCAGCTACTGTATTGAACCAGTGGGTTAATGAATTCCATAAATGGTGGCCTCCAATGAGATGTGTCATACTACATAGTATTGGATCAGGAATGTCCAAATCATCTTTGACATCTGAGGAGCAAATTGAAGCCTATTTGGAGACCCAGGATCCCAATTCGGTTAATCCAAGTAGTTTCAAAGGTATAAACAGTCAAGTAAACGCACAAGAAATTGTTGACAGAATAATGGAAAAGGGGCATGTTCTTGTAACAACTTATGTTGGATTGAGAATCTATTCACGTCAAATTTTACCAAGACAATGGGGGTATGTTGTCTTAGATGAGGGTCATAAGATACGTAATCCCGATTCTGATATATCATTAACATGTAAACAGATTAAGACGTATAATAGAATAATCTTATCCGGTACGCCAATTCAGAATAACTTAAAAGAGTTGTGGTCATTATTTGACTTTGTTTTCCCAGGTAGGTTAGGGACGCTTCCAGTATTCGAACAACAATTCTCTATACCTATAAATATGGGAGGATATGCGAATGCATCCAATGTTCAGGTTCAAACGGGATATAAATGTGCAGTTATATTGAGAGATTTGATTTCGCCATATTTGCTCCGTCGATTGAAAAATGATGTCGCCCAAGATTTACCTAAAAAAAATGAAATGGTATTATTTGTTAAGTTAACTCAATACCAGCAGGATATGTATGAGAAATTCTTAGCCAGTGAAGATATCAGTGCTATTTTAAAAGGTAAGCGGAACGTTTTGATGGGAGTAGATATTTTAAGAAAGATATGTAATCATCCGGATCTTGTTGATAGAGAGATGTTAACTCGTAAAAAAAGTTATAATTACGGATCACCTTTGAAATCGGGGAAAATGCAAGTTTTGAAGAATTTATTACAATTATGGCAAAACCAGGGGCATAGAACATTGTTATTTTGTCAAACCAAACAAATGCTTGATATATTAGAAAAGTTTATTACCAATTTAAGACCAGTTGACGGTGAAGGTAAAGAATTAATTGGTGAACATTTCAATTACCTTAGGATGGACGGATCGACTTCAATATCCAAAAGACAATCACTCGTTGATACTTTTAATAATAATTCATACTACCATGTTTTCTTGCTTACTACTAAAGTTGGAGGATTAGGGGTTAACTTAACTGGGGCAGATCGAGTGATCATCTATGATCCAGACTGGAATCCATCTACCGATATTCAAGCAAGAGAAAGAGCTTGGAGGCTAGGACAAAAGAAGGATATTACCATTTACAGATTAATGACTGCCGGGTCAATCGAAGAGAAAATATATCATCGACAGATATTCAAGACTTTTTTAACGAATAAGATATTGAAGGACCCTAAACAGCGACGGTTTTTCAAGATGAACGACTTGCATGATCTCTTCACCTTAGGAGACCCAGAAGAAAAAGGGACCGAGACTGGGGATTTGTTTAATGGATCCGAGAGGGCCATAAGAGGAGGCAAGACTCGTAAATCAAATAAACTATATAAACCCAAACACAAAAACGATGATGATTTATATCAAGTTGCTAATATAATGGGAGTATCTAAATTGGATAAATTTGAAGGTGAAGCAGTACAAGATGGAGAAGAAGAAGAAGAAGAATCTAAGAGTGGTGCAAAAGATGAAAATAGATTAATGGAAGGGTTATTTGCCAATAGTGGAGTTATTCATAGTACATTAAAACATGATGAGATTATGGATTCTTCAAACCAAGAAATAAGTCTTGTTGAAAAAGAAGCTAACAAGGTTGCAAATGAAGCAGCCAATGCATTAAAAATGTCTAGAAAGTTAGCCCGTAAAAATGTTATTGGAACCCCAACCTGGACTGGTAAATTTGGAGCTGCCGGCAAGTTTGGACCTAAAAAGGTGAAGAAACCAATGGTTAAAAATAGCAAAAATTTACTTTCTTCAACATCTATTTTGAATGAATTAAAGCAAAATAAAGTAGATAATGAAACTACGTTGGTTAATGATAAAAAAGAGATATTAGAAAAAATGATTGAATTTTTCAAAAAATGTCCGGAACAATTTAGCAAATCAAATGAAATTTTACGGAATTTACCAATAAAGCTTGATTTCAGGAACGAAAAGGAGACGGTTTTGGTAAGATCAATGCTTCGAGAAATCGCTGATTGGGATTCCAACTTGAAAGGATGGAAATTAAAAGCGGAATTTAGTAGTTAGTTATCCATAACCAAATACGAGGTCGTGGACGGAGACCAAAAAAACACCTCCCAGTATATAAAACCGATCAAGTATTGTTAATCAAAGTAAGTACAACGCCATCATGAATGGATTACGTATTAGTAAACGGAGCTACTCGCAACTCGTTGAGAGATGTCCAGCACCGGGGTACGATACGGGCTGCACTTTCTGCGAGATTCCTAAATTCCCCAGTGATAAACCGATTGACTATGCCAAAAATCTCAACGGGACTAAAGTATTGCCATGGAAGCACGCTTTAATATTCTCGCATGGATTTGAAGACTTCAATAAGATGCCATCTAAGATTGAGCTAGTACCCGGGTCATTAAGTGGAGAAATTAACTTGTTGAAAAAAAAATTAGTCTCAGCGTATCATCCAATCATGGTATCGAATGCCCAGAGTAAATATAGCGAGATTAGTGATCTTCAACCAAATGAACAATTAGTTTATTTATATCCCGATAATAAGAAAATACGGTTTGGCCTTAAAGATACTAAAGAGTTCATTAAGAAATATTTGAGGCCTTCGCAGGAAGAAATGTCCCATCAAGAACCAGTATATAATCCATTTGCCCAACCGGAACCCCAACTCGATTTGGAAGAACAGCAACCCGCCAATTTCAGTGAAATAGATATCGATAAAGATCTCATTTTAATATGCGGGCATCTGGCCAGAGACGTGAGATGTGGACTCATGGCTCCGTTGTTAATAGAGGAATTTGAAAAAGTCTTAGATAAAGAGGAATTAACCTCAAAAATCGACATTGGACTAGTAAGCCATATTGGTGGACACGCTTATGCAGGCAATGTAATCTATTTCCCAAAGGATAAATCACGAAAAGCTATTTGGTATGGTCGGGTATTCCCCCAACTGGTTCAAGGAATAGTGAAGGAAACCATTATCAATGGTAATATCATTAAGGAATTATACCGAGGAGACTTATAATTCTTTTGCAGATATGTATGGAAAGGCACTTATGTATGGAATCCTTGTAAATAGTTCAACTTGTATGTAATCCCTTGTATGTATGAATTACACTTGTATGTATGAATTACACTTGTATGTATGAATTACACTTGTATGTATGGATCAGACCTGTAAAAGACATATTATTGTTAAATAGACCGTTCTTACATAATCTGCTCCGAGTAATCGCTAACACATAATTCCCTTCCAAATCTCATATTTTTTATCTAGATTTACATTACATTGCGCGACCCGCTATACTTAGTCTCTTTGCAGACCTTGCACCCCTTGTGCTTGACATTTTTGTATTGCAAGGTTAAAGCTGCAAATGACCTTAGCCTGGCTCGTGAGTAGCAGGCCAGATTTCACGCGGGCAGCGAGATCAACTTGACGGCTGATTCGCTAACGGTGATTCTGCATCGCTTAAAGGAAACGAATGGGAAAGAATTGTGTGGAAGAATACTGAACCCAAAAGAATAAAGCAAAACAAAAAGGAATGAAAAACAAGGAAAAAAAGAACAAGACAAAAAATGTCAGACAAAAGACAAAACAGCATGACAAAAAAAATCAGTAACGGTTTTATTGCCATTTTATGGTTCCAGCTTTCTTGCAACAATAGAACCGCGAGTTGCATACACTCGGCACAGCATGCGCAGCATGCATAACAGCGAAGTCTATCATCTTGGAAGTGGTGAAAATACCAACGCCCAAAGCTGTGAAAGATTGGACCATCTTATTTATGGAAATCAAAGGGAAAAAAAAAACCAGGTTGTTTTTTAAAGCATACACCACAGGATACATGGAACCAGGATACATGGAACGAGTAGCGTGTTATTCGTATTACCTTATGGCACGTTACATGGCATGTGCAATCTGTCTGGATGACCACTGCAGCTGCACCTCCTGCACCCAGACTTCCCAGCCCACATTCCCGGACAGAAGCGTTTTGTGTCGGCAGTGGCCTCCTGCCCCCGATTCCGTATTGGTGGCGTGAGTGGTACAAAACTTATAGAAGAGAAACAAAAAGAACATACCAATCATCGAGCACATTTCCTTTTTCTTCTGCAGACACGATTCACTAAACCAGCAGACAAAAAAACAGTCATCTAAATTCAATTACGAGAAAATTGGTTTTCCTACTACTCATGAGAAGAAGAAAACAAGACAAAATCAGTTACGAACCTTATTGAGCAGCCACATTTCTTACTATTATTAGGTAGCCAAAATAGCAAATATTAAAAAGAAATGGTACAACGGGTAACTGACAGCCAAAGAGTGAATAGCAAAAAGCAACAACAGAAGCGAAGTTGGAATAAAATGCTCGTGAAATGCATTAGAAGGTATACTCTATTGATCTCCTCCTACATATGCATTCAACACTCAATACTTAAGCTTCGGTATCTTTGATAACACTTTGCCGCCACTAGAATGCCACTGGTTACCCACTCGTATTACTGTTTTTAGAACATGCTGTCTGTCTGATTGTTGGTGGCTCCTTGTTTATCTAAGAGATCCAAGCTTAGCGGGAATAGAATCATACGGCATGACATGGCATGGCATAGCATAGGAGTAATGAAAATCAATTTCCCCCCTCCCAAAATGATGAAAAAAAATAAATATTTGGAAAAAAATCTATAGCAGAGTGAAAATAAGTGTGCATGCTGGTAACTGTGTGGGCCAGTTGCCTGCGGTTGTATATGCAGTGGTGAACGCACCATGCAGTATGTGCGTTCCCCATACAAAAAAAAGGCTGTCTTTTTCTTTTTGTCTGATTGTTTTACCTTTTGCTGATTTGGCTATTATTAAGTCCTGCCCAATTTCTTGTTTTTT